GCTGCAAAGGCATATCTTCGTGGACAAATATGGAAACACCTGATGTATTTCAGTGGAAATTCTCTAGTTCTTCATGTCTAAAAAATGAAGAAACATGGGGAGATGCTCGCAAAGACTTGATTTCTGGTAGGGAAACCAAATGGTGGGAGAATCTCCTGCAAATGATGAAACTCAGTTTCGCATATTTCATTCCAAGGTGCAGAAAGTCGTTGCTGAGTCGAATCCACCAGACAAATCTGCACCTCAACACTTTGGGTTTTGAAGGGAAATTTCGGGGTACAATTCATGATATGGAATATGTGTGGATTTTGGATAAACCGTGATAAACCCTTCCAAAGTCCATCAAAAAGCTGGTTGACAGCCCCATTTAGGTTTGTTTCAACATTGGTTAATTACTCATGTTTGTCCCTGTTAAATAACTGAGGCTCATTTTCAAACAAACCCGAATAGTTGTGGTTGGTCAAATCTCTCATCACCATTTCAAAACCCTATAAAATATCAATTTTCAGGAGCTACCTGGACATCCCTTTAAAGTGTCATGACACAGGATCTCACCGACTGCAGTACTCGAAAGGACGGGGTATTACAAAACCAAAGGTTGGTGTCCTCGGTTGTTTCGGGAGGCAAAATTGTCAGAAACCAGACGAAGATTTTTGACTTCTAGTCGCCTTCCTCACACCGCATAGTGGTAGGAGATTCAACGCGTATAGATCATTATAGATCTACAGGAACTTCAAACAAGATCAAACAGCAATTTAATTAATTACATCAATTTACGACTATTTTAGCTTTGGATGGTACCTCTCTTAACTTTTTTGGGGGGTTGCTATAGCCGCTGCCAGCCGCTGCCAGCCGCTGCCCCTTGCGCCCAGCCACCCGAGCTCGTCGCCTGAAGCCAACTGTGGAATCCATTTGGAGTTCAATGAAACGAGACGATGAAAGCAGATCAGATAACAAGTTATAACAGTCTAACAAGTTCATGAAGAAACAACTATATCATATCAATTGCTTCTAGCAATAAAATTTCTCCATCACCTCCATCACACTAGTCACCTATTGCTACTGTATATTCTATTGCAAGACGCGCAGCTACCCATTCTTATGGCATGCTGTGCAGCAAATGTTTTCTGTTGCTGATTGTTTGTAGTTCTTTGCAAGCCTCACAGGAACAATTGGATCCTGTCACAAGAGTCTGTAGATGCCAGTGATTTATGACAGCATATGATAGCCTTTGGAGGTGAACTCTATTTTTTGCTCTAAGTAACGGTTTTAAGCCTATTTTGGTCAGAAAACACTGTAAATACCGGTATGTTTGACCATTTTGAGAGCAAAAATCACTCCCCCATGAGGGGCCGTTCTGCATGATTTTGGGGTATGGCACCTGAAAATTGAGTATCCCCAGCAGTTGTGGCCATGTTTAATCGGTAAAATGATGATTCACTGGTGGATTTAGGGGTTCGATTTTAAGAATCCATTTGTGCAGAAATGATATGACTAAACACATCACTCCAGTGCATGGGAGGACTGTGACACTGCCATGAAACAAATGCCCAATACAGGCCAGTGCGAGAGACTCTCCTCGATTCAAGTTCATGATTTTGCGGGAGTTCTCCATTCATGCGGTATACCGAATCATAAATCATTTGCAACATGGTCAGTTGAATATTGGCTAACACAATTACCATCCCATAAACCACCCAACAAATGTTTATTTTACATCATCCCAAATTTTGGGTGAAAAAAATTGGGTGTACCCCTATTTGGGATGATGTAAAATAACCATTTTTAGGGTGGTTTATAGGATGGTGGCATTGGCTGCCTGGCTAGAAACCACAATCCAATCACCATCCCCGTTATATTAAACACCTCCGCTCCTAATCATCCCATGGAAAAGTATATAAATCCCCTACTAAAGCATGGTTTCTGGCTGTTTAATATTAAGGGGATCATGAAAACAAAAATATGTAATTCGATATAGTTCCCATAGAAATATGTAGTTTCATCAATAGGAAAAGATAATTCCACATGATTTTCCATCTAAAAAGAGATTCACTCTACGCCCCCAGATCGGAGTTCGGGCAGGCCTGAGAGGCCTGAGCCAAGGGCGTCACAAGAGCTTGGTTTCATTGGCTCCATGTCTTTTGACCTTTGCATAAATGAACATATTGTACATATCTATCTATCAATCTATCAATCTATCAATCAATCAATCTATCTATCTATCTTATCTACTCGATTTGATTCGTTTCTATTCTATTCTATTCTATTGTATTCTATTGTATTCTATTGTATTCTACCTAATCTATCTAATCTATCTAATCTATCTAATCTATCTATCTATCTATTCTATTCTTATCTAATCTTATCTAATCTTATCTAACCTTATCTATCTATCTATCTATTTATCTATCTATCTATCTATCGATCTATCTATCTATCTATCCCATTATCTTCTATTCTATTTCTACTCTATTCTATTCTATTCGTTTCTATTCTATTCTATCTAATCTACCTAATCTATCTCATCTATCTATCTATCAATCTTTCTTATCTTACCTTATCTATTCGATATGATTCGATTTGATTCGTTTCTATTCTGTTCTATTCTATTCTATTCTACCTAATCTATCTAATCTATCTCATCTATCTATTCTATTCTATTCTGTTCTGTTCTGTTCTGTTCTATTCTATTCTATTCTATTCTATCTAATCTATCTCATCCATCTATCTATCTATCTATCTACCTACCTATCTATCTATCTATCTGTCTGTCTATCTATCTATCTATCTATAAAATTCTATTTGATTCTATTTGATTCTGTTCGATTTTATTCTATTATATTCTATCTAATCTATCCAATCTATCTAATCTATCTAATCTATCTATATATTCTATCTCATCTATCTAATCTATCTATCTGTTTATCTATTTATCTATTTATCTATCTATCTATCTATCTAATCCAATCTTATCTTATCTATCTACAGTATCTATCTATCAAACCATCTATCTGTCTATATTACCATATATATGTATATGTAATGATGTTACGTATGTATTCAAATATATATATATATATAGCTATAAATAAATAACTAAATAAATAAATATATATATATACAATATGATACAACATGATATTACATGATATTACATACTATATACTGTATCTACATTGGTTCCAAATTATCACTTTAGGTCCGGAGGATTTTACTTTGTCTATCTTTTTTGGGGGGATTAGCATGTATATGTCCTTGATGAGCTTACTTGGAATGGATTGTAATGTTATGGTGGTCTTTGGGGTAAGCAGACTATCGTGAAGAGACTTCAAAAAGATCCATCCTTGCAGCAGCGTACCATTGTCAGATTTAATTTCTGAATTGATGTCTGATGTGGTAAACACAATAATAAACCATCCCCAATATTACGACAGTGGTAGACCATCCCCAGATGGTAGGTTTACTATTGGGTTTACCACATTATATTTAATTATATAATTATATATATATATACAAATATGGGTATGTCTCAAAATAGCGTGCCCAACCGGGGATGTTTGACTAGGGGGTATGATTCGTGGGTATGATTCGGGGTATGATTCGTGGGTATGATTCGTGGGTATGATTCGCGGACCTTGATTTAGTGTTTCCCTGCATCCTCCACGTATAGTTATTTACCCACACTTACCCCGAAAATGTTTTCAACTGTTGGTAATTATACGATACGTGGAGCGCTTTGGAGCTGGCATGCTGTTGACGCTGTGCGTGCTGCTGTCAGAGTGGTGTGTGCGCTTTGGAGTTGGCATGTTGGTGCCATTGCAGGATGCCGCTGCAGGGTGCTGTTGTCGGATTTTTCTCAGAAGCAGCAGGAGGCGTAGTGTAGCCCGTTGCGAATGGTTGCAAAGAAAAGAGCTCACAAAACACAAGTTCTGATCTTGCAAATGTACCAAGGTTCAGAATTTGGAAGTTTGAGGTATGATTCAGGCATGATTCGGGGTATGATTCGGAAACCCATTTTTTTTTGAATTCGGGAAGCTTTGTTGCTTGAGTCTCTTTTTCCCACCATCAACCTACTACGATTGCTACTTAATGGCTGCAATGGCTCGACCTGCCAGACGACCTTGGACAGGACCTGAATGTGAAGAATGTGAAGACCTAAATGCACATCTATGATTTATATCCGCCGGCCTGCCGGCGTCTCTTCTGGATGTTCTTCTCATGTACCTTTAGCTCAGCTACGCTTAGGCTAATGTTCCTCTTCGACGGATTTTTGGTTTGCCAGCCAGCCAGCCAGCCAGCCAGCCAGCCAGCCAGCCAGCCAGCCAGCCACAGCCGGAGTCCTCATCAGCCTCATCAGCAACACAGCAAGCAGCCAGCCACGCAGCCAGCCAGCAGCAACTAGCCAGCCCTATAGCCAGCCACCCAACCAGCAGCAGCAACTGAGCCAGCCACCTAGCCAGCCAGCCAGCCAGCCAGCAGAGCCAGCCAGCTTAGGGATAATGATGAGACTCTGTGCGCGTGGAGAAGATTCGCCACTCCGTGAAGGTACGTGAAGGTAGCCAGGGATCATCGGGTCTTGGCCAGCACTGGTCAATTAGCTTGTCAGGTCCATTGAAACTAGTGAGGCCAATGCAATCCCAAACGATCCCAAAAGAAACATTCATAATCGTGATTTTTGGGGGTATGATTCGGGGGTATGATTCGGGGTATGATTCGGGGGTATGATTCGCACAACTCGAACATCCTGCCTTTACTAAAATCTGCGCACGTTAAAAAAAGACACAGCCAATCACAGCCATATACATATATATATTATATAATTATTTATGCATATTATTTGTTGTAAGTATATATCGTGATCAGTTCTATACATATTTATACTTATTTATTAATTATATGTATAGTTATAAAAAAAGCTCATATAAGCATCTCGCTCCATTGTTCAAAGTGTGTAACTTCACATCATTTGGCACGGGTCATACGGCCCCCCTTCAGCCCGCCTGGCTGGTGGAAGCGGTAGTGCGGACAGTGATTCCAGCCTCGCTGGCTATCTTGCAATCTTCAATTGCACAAGCTGTCATCTCATAAATCAATGTAGAAAAAACAGTTGCAACTCCAAAAAGTTCAAGTCTCGGAGTTCCAAATGCACTATTTCGGGGAATCTTTACAGGGCTATCAGGGCTTCAAATATGGTCTTCCGGTCTTCCGCCTGTTGCTGTCTCTGCACCACCGCAGCTTTGCTTCGACTGGTCAATTCGCTGGTGGCGATTTCCAGGTTCACACCGACCTAATTTTTCGCGATCGGCATCGATCATCCCATGGGGAAAAAACCGTTCGTCCCAAGGGGGTGATGTTTCACTGTGTCAATGTCTTGAATCTTTGGAGTGAGAGAGTTGGTTCCCAGTCACCATACAAAATTGCTTGATGACCACAAGAAAATCCAATATACCGATCTGGTCCGTGCTTATTCGAAGCTCCATTTTTCCATGGAAACAGTTTGCTTTCTTCGTTACAAAGCTTTAACCAGCTTGACAGAGATGTGGCAAAATCTTCAGGAAAACAAACGGAAATAGCACTGGAAGCTGAATCTCCAAAACTGCGGATTACAGGGGGTAACCTTTTTCTTCGTTGTGATTGTTCCGCTTGTTGCGATGCCACGCAATGCCATGATGTTTCAGCAACAATACATATACAATCCATCGATACTGGTTTAAAGCCCCAACAAAATTCCAGGAAACCGACCTAAATAGAACTACATTTTCCATTGTGTTCCACCATTTTGCATCATTTTCCATCATTTTCCCAAGATTTCTGGGTAAATTACAATATTAATAGTAATACCATCTGGTTATTTAACATAGCCATGGAAAATCCCCAAAATAAATGGAGGTTTCTAGCTGGGAAAATCATCGCCATCTATACCATGGCTATGTTAAATAACCAGATGGCATTACTAATCTCAAATAAGGCCCACATTCATGATGATTCCCCCAGCCTGTGAATTCATGACTCCGACTGCAGCAACGGCCTCAAGATGGCGGGCCGGGATGGGCCGGGGAGTCACATGACGAAGTTCAGTAAACCATCATCATGATGATCAAATAAATGTATATATAAATATGACCCAATGATATCATACAATCATATATAAAAATAATTCCTATATAGCAGAATAAACATAGAATTATGACATCTTGTGATGTGTTCATCATGATCAACAAGGATTTGTTTCGTCATCATGAATTGTCATCGTATATTTGAGTCAATGAGGATCACCATCACGGTCCCAGAGATGGCTCTGTGGAGAAAATGTTCCAAGAAATGGCCGGAACATGTTCACGGACTCGATCACTTCAAAAGCCCAGGTGACATCTCGATGAGAGAAATGCGAAGCCTTGAATTTTCATAGATTAGTGTTGATATGTGTTGATATCTTATGAGGACAGTTTTCTTCCAGGTTGTGCATGATTTGTACCTCCTAATTTCCAAGTGTTTTGTTTTGTCATCGGCAGGATTTTGCTGCCAAAACCCTCCGGACTCCAAGCTGCCAAGACACGTCCGTGAGCGATGGGCTGCTGCTCTTGACCATTTTCTTCAACTGCTCACACACCACCGTTGGAGTCACTGTCGTGGTAATTCCTACCGTTAGGCCATTCACAAAAGGGAGGACATGGAGGAATAAAGGACGGGAACAATACCAAAAAACAATATCAAATGGGAACCTCAATCGATAGAATCCCTTGTTTGTAGTTCCAAAGTCTGTGGACAGCTGGTTTTGGAAAGTTCGGACAGTCCAGGTTGCCACTGTATCCATTGTTGCATTCCTTCACCCTTCCCAGAGTCCTTGGTTATCGATTCCGAAGATCATGGTGCTGGTGGAAGTCCCGGTTTGCAGACGACCTCGTGGATGAGGCCCGATTTTTCACAGGGTGATACACAGCACGTGCCCAGTCAAGCACATTCTGTTCACATGCATATGATGATCTATCTAATCTGATTTAATCTGATCTGATCTAATCCGATCGACACATCCAATCTATCTTAATTACCTATTGCCTATTACCTATATTAATAAATAATATATAATATATAAGATATAATATATAATAAAATATATATACTATATATTATAATATATATATATTATAATATATAATAAATAATCAAAAATATATACTATATATTATAATATATATATATATATTATAATATATATATATATTATAATATTATATATATATATTAATATTAGTATATGATGTCATACATGTCTGTCTTCTGCATCTACACCCAGCCCAGAAACGCCATCCAAGGCACGGCCCGTCGTCGTCTTGATGGCCAGCGTCGTTCGCAGCTCCGAAGAAACCTGGAGGACCTGTGGCAGTGTGGCAGTGGTTACTGTGGAGGCTTGCGAAATCCTGCACCAGTTCATTGATGATATCTGTGGATGTTCTTTTGTTTAGGGGTAACTCTCCTCAAACAGCCTTAGTTCAGCTTTGTCACTTGTTGTACCATCTGGCTATGACTAACATAGCCATGGAAAATCACCATTTTTAATAGGTAAACCCCGGTAAACCATCTATAAATGTGCCATTTTCCATGGCTATGTTAAATAACCAGTATCCATAGTAGTATAGTGTGGGATACACCAGTTCATACTATAGATGAAACATAGATGATATAGATGCACCAGTTACTAATGTTCATTGGTGATTATAGATGGTGTATCCCCTTATGATCCATGATTAATAGGCTTTCAACTATCCAAGGTGCTGATAAGTAATGGTGATGATGAGGGAACCCCGTCAATGGATGGTTTTTTTGAGGGAAAATCCTATAAAAAAATGGATGATGACTAGGGGTACCTCCATTTTAGGAAACAGACATACTGAGGATGGAAGAAATCCTGCCAGGTACAAATAATAGGATAAACCACCGTTTTCAACTGGTGCAGGATTTCGCAACCATCCACAGTATCATAAAGGTTGTGTGAATTCTAGGGGTGAAAGGAAATCAACATCTAGGTCCAATCTGTACATTGCTGTAGAGATGTGGCTAAGGACGGGCTAAAGATGGCCATAAAGTACCCAAAAACGACACCGCTATGGGCAATGTCTGGATACAACTTCGGCAAGGAACGCTGGTGATCTTCACCCTCACGGTCTCCACGTTCTTCTTAGCATCACTTCCTCGGGGAGGCGAAGTCAAATCAGCTTTGAAAGACCTACTGGTTAGCAAGTGGTTTACAAGCCAGTCATAAATGGGATAACCCCTCAGGGACTTACCAGGGTGCTTCACCAGTTCCTATCCAATGCCACCCGCTTGGATGCCATACTCCGCCACGACAAGTTGCGCAAAGATGACATAGTGATGATGGCATTGCATGTCTCTCGCTTGGCGGTGGTCGTGCTGAGTCTGCGAGTCTGCGTGGCTGGAGCGCCATACCTCAGTTCAAAACCAGTTGCAATCGTTGCCCAGTTCATGTGCTAGAAACCACTAGAAACCACTAGAAACCCTAAACCATCATCCCATCATCAGTTGCAATCCCAGTTGTGCTAGAAACCATTAGAAACCCTGAGCCATCATCCCATCATCCCCAAGTCATCAGCGTTTTTCTGGGATTTCACCATCCCCCCATCCATCGCAGTGGCAGGTCGATACAGGTCGTCCCCACCGAGATCACCGCGCCGGATGGGCACAGCTTCATGCCCTCCCCAGTGCCACAGCGCTGACTGCCACCGATGCAGGTGACCTGGGAGGTCGATCCAGTCGTCACCATGAGTTTCAATACTAGGATATTGCAAACATATTCTCAGCAACATGGCATGAATCACTGGATATCCAATGGATATCATAATAGATCATTAATCTATACTAAGATATACTATAAGATATACTAAGTCATGGTCTTGAATGCCATGACTTGGATGAGTTATGATGAGTTGGGGTACCTCTATCTTGGGAAACATAGACGGAAGATGATACATACTTGATCTTTTTCTACAAAGCAGGACGAAACACGCTTTTTAGATCATTCCAGATCATTCCAACATCTGGAAAGCATGAAGGAAATGAAACCACCGACCTGTTGGCAGCCCGCCACCAAGGGTGATCAGGAGAATAGCCTGATGGCATGCAATTCTAGTGGATATAAGTCATCCTGAAGTGGATAGAATATGGGAGTCTCAAACATTTTCCCCACAAAAAAAACATATTCTATCTGAATCTCCTTCAGGATAATTAGAGACCATTAGGGAAATAGAAAGCCCAAGTGAGAGGGGATGAAAATATGAGCAAAATACGTTCAAACAGCCACCCACCACAACAACAAAAACAAAACAGCAAAAACAGGATAACAAAAAGGCAATAGCCCCGGAAGCAAGAGAGAACATGGTGGGGAAAAAAGGGATCTTTAGTGGTAAATTCCCTGCTTGAACTTCACCTCGTGGGTGTATCTCCAATGATCTGTTGAAAGTGATCTTCTAAAACTGCAACTTTGCCGAGTGCAGAAATGGAGGGGTGTATAATGTGAGAAACCCTATGCCATAAACTTACCATTTGGGGATGGTATATACCGCCCATTTGTGGTGATGGCTTATACTTGGGTTTACCACATTGCACCCCTTGCTGGAGCATATGAAAACCCCAGACTTAGCAGTGAGTTCAGCAAATGAACCAATCATTCCTTCAATGAACCAATCAAGCTGCCCAACCTATCCATAGATACAATCCTCATCTCGCAACAAGAAAAATACACATCACCTTCATTTCGGCGTGTCTGAAAACTTGGGTATACCCCAATTTATGACAATTTTTGACAGCAAGAATGATGCAGGGTGCCCCCGAAACCTAATAGATGATCACCATGTCCCCAATCAAAATCCGCCGACCCCTGCCTAGCCTTGGCCCAGGCGGGGCGGCGCCCGGGATCACCGCAGGTGTGCGGCGTTGGCCTGCTAGGACCTCGGCCTGCATGGTCCACCAGACACCAAAGCCTTTGCCACTGCCTTCCCAAGTCACCGCAAACACGTTGCCCTGCAGCGGAAGCCCTTTGCCAGCGCTTGGCCATGTCGCCATATCGCCATACTCCACTACATCCATTTAGAGGGTTTCACAACCTGCGCGAAGCACGGGCCATCAGGACACAAAACCCCCGTGTGGGCCTTTACCGCTTTGCCACTGCCTTCCCAGGTCACCGGCCATGTCGCCATAATCCATTTATATAGAGGGTTTCAAAACGTGCGCGAAGCACGGTCCATCAGGACACAAAACCCCTCTGTGGGCCTTCCCAGGTCACTGCGAACACGTTGCCCTGCAGCAGCAGTCCTTTGCCAGCGCCTGGCCAGTCGCCATACTCCATTTAGAGGGTTTCAAAACGTGCGCGAAGCACGGCCCATCACGACACAAAACCCCTCTGTGGGCCTTTACCGCTTTGCCACTGCCTTCCCAGGTCACCGCGAACACGTTGCCCTGCAGCGGCAGTCCTTTGCCAGCGCCTGGCCATGTCGCCATACTCCATTTAGAGGGTTTCAAAACGTGCGCGAAGCACGGCCCATCACGACACAAAACCCCTCTGTGGGCCTTTACCGCTTTGCCACTGCTTTCCCAAGTCACTGCGAACACGTTGCCCTGCAGTAGCAGTCCTTTGCCAGCGCCTGGCCAGTCGCCATACTCCATTTAGAGGGTTTCAAAACGTGCGCGAAGCACGGCCCATCACGACACAAAACCCCTCTGTGGGCCTTTACCGCTTTGCCACTGCCTTCCCAGGTCACCGCAAACACGTTGCCCTGCTTTGCCAGCGCCTGGCCATGTCGCCATACTCCATTTAGAGGGTTTCAAAACGTGCGCGAAGCACGGCCCATCACGACACAAAACCCCTCTGTGGGCCTTTACCGCTTTGCCACTGCTTTCCCAAGTCACTGCGAACACGTTGCCCTGCAGCAGTCCTTTGCCAGCGCCTGGCCAGTCGCCAACCCGTCTGTGGGCCTTTACCGCTTTGCCACTGCCTTCCCAGGTCACCGCGAACACGTTGCCCTGCAGCAGCAGTCCTTTGCCAGCGCCTGGCCAGTCGCCATGCTCCATTTAGAGGGTTTCAAAACGTGCGCGAAGCACGGCCCATCACGACACAAAACCCGTCTGTGGGCCTTTACCGCTTTGCCACTGCCTTCCCAGGTCACCGCAAACACGTTGCCCTGCAGCGGCAGTCTTTGCCAGCGCCTGGCCAGTCGCCATACTCCATTTAGAGGGTTTCAAAACGTGCGCGAAGCACGGCCCATCACGACACAAAACCCCTCTGTGGGCCTTTACCGCTTTGCCACTGCTTTCCCAAGTCACTGCGAACATGTTGCCCTGCAGCAGCAGTCCTTTGCCAGCGCCTGGCCAGTCGCCATACTCCATTTAGAGGGTTTCAAAACGTGCGCGAAGCACGGCCCATCACGACACAAAACCCCTCTGTGGACCTTTCCCGCTTTGCCACTGCTTTCCCAAGTCACTGCGATTATGTTGCCCTGCAGCAGCAGTCCTTTGCCAGCGCCTGGCACTGGCCAGTCGCCAGACTCCATTTAGAGGGTTTCAAAACGTGCGCGAAGCACGGCCCATCACGACACAAAACCCCTCTGTGGGCCTTTACCGCTTTGCCACTGCCTTCCCAGGTCACCGCGAACACGTTGCCCTGCAGCGGCAGCCCTTTGCCAGCGCCTGTCCATGTCGCCATACTCCATTTAGAGGGTTTCAAAACGTGCGCGAAGCACGGTCCATCAGGACACAAAACCCCTCTGTGGGCCTTTACCGCTTTGCCACTGGCTTCCCAGGTCACCGCGAACACGTTGCCCTGCAGCAGCAGTCCTTTGCCAGCGCCTGGCCAGTCGCCATACTCCATTTAGAGGGTTTCAAAACGTGCGCGAAGCACGGCCCATCACGACACAAAACCCGTCTGTGGGCCTTTACCGCTTTGCCACTGCCTTCCCAGGTCACTGCGAACACGTTGCCCTGCAGCAGCAGTCCTTTGCCAGCGCCTGGCCAGTCGCCATACTCCATTTAGAGGGTTTCAAAACGTGCGCGAAGCACGGCCCATCACGACACAAAACCCCTCTGTGGGCCTTTACCGCTTTGCCACTGCCTTCCCAGGTCACCGCGAACACGTTGCCCTGCAGCAGCAGTCCTTTGCCAGCGCCTGGCCAGTCGCCATACTCCATTTAGAGGGTTTCAAAACGTGCGCGAAGCACGGCCCATCACGACACAAAACCCGTCTGTGGGCCTTTACCGCTTTGCCACTGCCTTCCCAGGTCACCGCGAACACGTTGCCCTGCAGCGGCAGCCCTGTGCCAGCGCCTGGCAATGTCGCCATACTCCATTTAGAGGGTTTCAAAACGTGCGCGAAGCACGGCCCATCACGACACAAAACCCGTCTGTGGGCCTTTACCGCTTTGCCACTGCCTTCCCAGGTCACCGCGAACACGTTGCCCTGCAGCGGCAGCCCTTTGCCAGCGCCTGGCCATGTCGCCATACTCCATTTAGAGGGTTTCAAAACGTGCGCGAAGCACGGCCCATCACGACACAAAACCCCTCTGTGGGCCTTTACCGCTTTGCCGCTGCCTTCCCAGGTCACCGCCGCGAACACGTTGCCCTGCAGCGGCAGCCCTTTGCCAGCGCCTGGCCATGTCGCCATACTCCATTTAGAGGGTTTCAAAACGTGCGCGAAGCACGGCCCATCACGACACAAAACCCGTCTGTGGGCCTTTACCGCTTTGCCGCTGTCTTCCCAGGTCACCACAAACACGTTGCCCTGCAGCGGCAGCCCTTTGCCAGCGCCTGGGAATCCTGGTGAAAATCATGGACAAAACATGACAAATATGGAAACATGTGGGATAACATCGCATAACATCGGATAACCATGGCCCTCAAAATGGGGGTCGGCGGCACCAGGGCGTTAGCCCATTTATAAAGAAACAGTTGGGATTTCTAGGGCTCCAATTGTCATCCAAGCTGCCGATTGAGACTTGAAGTTTCCTTCCGAGTCCAAATTGGTCCTCACACAGGTCTTGTTGCCTCAGGTATGGCCGGCTGAGCTTCATGGTGGTTGAGGCACGCCCACCAAAAGATGATGCTCTGTTACTGTTGGCACAATTTTGTGTTGGAAAAGCATCTATAAATTGATATACCCTCTGGTAATGGCTGACAGTTTGCGAAATGGAATATCAACAATTTTTAATGGGTAAATCATCTATAAATGGGACATTTTCCATAGCAATGTTAAATTGCCAGAGAGTATAGTTGAGATCTTCGTGGGAGAAATTACCCCCAGGCTCAGCAATGTGACTTCAAGACTATGTAGATCTTGGTGATACCATGTATAGTGCATGATAATATGTCAATATATAGACAGCTGGGCTGTGTATATACATATATATATATATACATATGCATATACGTATATAACTTGCATATGTGTACCGGTTATCTATCTATAATATGTATATGTGTGTGTATTGATTTGTCCAAATATCAATCACATATTTATAAGAGTCAGTTGTATTCAGTTGTACTTGTAGATATCAGTTATATATATACATGTACATACACATACACATATACATATAATATACATATACATACATATACACATACACGTATATATATATATACATAATATACAAAAACCTAAACATACTCAGACACGTATACATAATTATACATATACATATACCCAATTACACATATTCACATTCATATACATATTCATATACAAATTCATTTACATATACATGTACATATTCAAATACATATACATATAAATGTATATATATACACATACATGTATCACTTATGTGTATATCACATAGATAATATATAAATATTATACGCATATGTATATGTAAAATATTTCTCATAGTTTGTCTGGTATGAGTAGGGGATAATATTATTTGCTAAATTTAAAGCCATGCGCAAATTAAGGTCGTCCCTATCGGTTGGTTGTGAAGATCTCAGTACTCCCAGAGGTATCACAACGGGTATCGGTATAGGGTCGTTCCCATCCGCTATGAAGGTTTTGTGCAACCTCAGAAAGGCCAAGGCGAAGCAAGACTAAATGAGTATTACAGTAATTTTGTCGTTTACTCATATATATATAGTTATCCCCAAATAGATGGAAAAGTAAATCCCTACAAATTTGATGGTGATCTACTTTTCCATCTATTTGGGGATGACTATAATATATAATATACCCGAGGTTGTTATATGTTTGCCAAGTGCACGATCCCCTCCCCACCTGCAGCAATGGCTTCCGCAGTGCAGGGCTGTGGGCACGTGTTATGCTGGGCCGTTGGGACGCAAAACCTGGCTGTGACCTTGGAAGTAGCGCACTGACCACCCGTGTTTTACTTGGGAAACATGGGATTTACCTTGGAAAAATGGGGCTTACCTGGGGACACATGGGATTAAACTAGGAATAATTGGACTCATCTGGGAAAAGTTCGATTCAACTGGGAAAAAATTGGATTTACCTGCAGAAACATGGGATTTACCTGGGATTGAATTGACGTTGTATTGGGAAAAATGGGATTTACCTGGTGTTTACTAGGACAAAAAGGGGAAACTATTATTTTTACCAGGAAAAGAATGTAATTTTGCTAGGAACAATTGATGTCTACAGGAGAAACAAATACTGGGAACAATCGATTTTGACCAAGAAAAATCGGTAATTACTAGGACAATTTGATTTTGACAAGGAAAAATCATATCAATTTCAAACATAATGGAAATTATGCAAGAGAAAACGGGAAACAAAAACAGAAACATATGACATACATATGACATTGCTTTTTCACAATGGAATCTTACACGTACGGACAAAAAGGCACGGGGCTGACAAGGACGATGGGTGACTTTTTTCACCCAACTGACAAGTAGGGATTGACCCTTTGGTAATCAATCATGGCTGCAGCCACAAACAGCAGAATTATGCAGGAATTACATTGCCAAATTGGATTGCCGCCGAAAAAAATGCCATAGCTCACCAGGTTTGCCAGTCAATTAAGTACAAGGAAGTCTGAGGAATTCACGGAAGGTTTAAGCTATGTGAAGATATGCAAGGCTGCTCTCTCTGGGAACGTTTTTTTTGTGCCAGTATTCCAACCATTGGGCATCATTGGGCCATATCATCATTATTTGTCAGCTACCATCTGAATAAAACGGCTAAAAGAAAGAAAACTCTGAGTTCAGCTGTTAGGATCGCGCTGAGCCACGTCATTGGGATCTGGGCAACTGATAGTGTTCTTGCCACAGGGACAAGCATCACCCTCTTTGACGCACTGCAGAGTCATGAAGCTCGTGAGTTTTCCATCCTTGTCGTAGTTCACCACTGGACATGTGGTCTGCGATGCCTCCATGCTGTGAATTTGTTGTTGAACTCTCAGAACTGGAAAGGAAGAGATGGATCAACGACCCAAAACACTGAACTCGTTTACAAGCTTTGGTGGACACGAGCGAATATTTAGAACATTTTAGATATATTTATATATAATACTTTAAAAACATCCTCTGCAGAACTTGCATCACTCGACCATGGACTGCAACACGATAACAGGTCGGTTCCCACTTTTCTAAATCTCTTTCACCGTCCCGTCGCATGGCCAGCAGATGGTTTTTGCATCCTCAAAGGAGAAGAAGATTGCTTCAAAACAATTTGCCGCTTTGCAGCTATTGCATACATGTCAAAACTGGCTTGAAAGATCTTGAAAGTCGCCCCAAAACTGCGAATGGTATTATACCAAAAATGACCAACATGTGTGGTCTGCTTGCTGATAGATTTGGCCTATACCCGTGGCTTATCCCCTGCAGTTGCCAAAAGAAAAATATTCAGAACACCAATGTGCCGCACAATGAGCCACTTGCCTTGCACGGGCAAATGATGTCCAATTCGCTCTGGGGTAAGCACAGGTCGGTGTTGGCACACCTAAGATAGCAGGCATTTCAAGGCTGCTGATGGCTGACCATCACCAGTTTGCAATGTGGAAAATCATGGAAAGCGATGGGAAAAAAACAAAATGTGTGAGTTTTGTATTACAATGGGATTTAATCATGAGAATTTAATGGGATATCACTGATATCACTGGAATATAATAACCTGGAAAATGGTACCTTCCTGTACATGTGCCTCGACCTTTTTACTTCTTGCTCCAGAACCTCATGGTTTCCAGTTCCCAAGTCAATCCTCCCCGAGACAATGAATGACCCCAAGAGTCTTGGGTAGTATGTAACAAGCATCGGATACTGTACCCCTGTTTTCAAATGTTCGCAGGCATTTTGTTCGCAAGCATTTTGTTGTCCCATGATGCTCGATATGCTGATTCAAATTGGTCCTTCGAGACGGCATCTTTTTTTTAGACTAAGCGGATTTGCGGCGTTGGAACATGCAAGCAATGCTCTCGATATTGCATTATGCTGCGCAACCGGATCGGGCTGGATTTCTCCACAAGACCCTCTACATGCGCTCGAGCAGCATTGAGTTCGGGCACTTCCGTGCCACTGGGCGTGCAATCAAGGAACTTAAGGAGGATGGGATTGGATGTGAACATCAAAAGGTCCCCATCGTAATCGCCACCCCCTAGTGAAACACAGCCGGAGCCGATTGTCGTGCAGATGCAACAGTTGTCAGGGACAAACCAGGCGTGCTCGGGAAGAGGGCAGGCTTCCCAAACCTGGATGTCTGACGGTTGCATCACGGGAAACCGCCACACGGCGAATTGGCCAACCCAGCACTCACCATTGACGATGATGTGGCACTGGTTGGCCTGGCGCGGTTGCAAGCGGGGCTTCAAGCAAGCTAGTGACATGGCCATGTGTCCGTTTGAATGTCTCTGCATGAACGTTTCAGGGTGATGGTGAATCAAGAAGCCTTTCATGTTTGAGATGTGACAGCTCGACCATGTCATCCAAACAACCACACATTTCTCAAATACACAAAATGCAAACAACTCATATCTATCTAAACTTCGGACCACAGCAGCTTACACGTATGGAGCTGCACGAGAAAGTGCGCAAACTACTTGGCAGGACTACTCCTTCCAGGCTTTGGTTGAAATGTTCGCCAAAATTCAAGCTTCGAAGATCACGTGGAAGTTCCACTCCTTCCAGGCTTTGGTTGAAATTCTCGCTAAATTTCAAGCTTCGAAGAACACGTGGAAGTTCCACTCCTTCTAGGCTTTGATTAAAATTACTGCCAAATGTCAAGCTTTGAAGATCACGTGGAAAGACCACTCCTTCCAGACTTTGGCTGAAATTACCGCCAAATGTCAAGCTTCGAAGATCACGTGGAAGTTCCACTCCTTCCAGGCTTTGGTTGAAATTCTCGCTAAATTTCAAGCTTCGAAGAACACGTGGAAGTTCCACTCCTTCTAGGCTTTGATTAAAATTACTGCCAAATGTCAAGCTTTGAAGATCACGTGGAAAGTCAACTCCTTCCAGACTTTGGCTGAAATTACCGCCAAATGTCAAGCTTCGAAGATCACGTGGAAAGTCAACTCCTTCCAGGCTTTGGTTGAAATTACTGCCAAATGTCAAGCTTTGAAGATCACGTGGAAAGTCCACTCCTTCCAGGCTTTGGCTGAAATTCTCGCCAAATGTCAAGGGTCAAGCTTTGAAGACCGCTTGGAAATTTCACTTTTCGCAAGCTCTGGTTGAATGGATTGCCAACAGCAAGCCGTTCAAGACTTCTGGGAAGTTGCAAAAGCTCTCCAGAGGAAATACCTGCTATCCTCGTCACCCCCCTCTAGTAATAGGTTTTCGTCAGGGACTAGCAATCGTTGGATATAATGCCATGCAGCGAACACATCTGTAGGAACAGAAGTGCAAGAAAGTGTTACAGCCTTTCCCACAACGCCTTGCTCTTGCAACGTTTGACAAAGCGTCAGATTTGATCCCGATCACCGGGGTTTATATATGAAATTAGTGGCTCACATTGTGAGCCACTAGCTTCATGCATAAACCGCGGTGATCACAATTTGGATGGGTTCATAGAAGACAAAGAACATGCGGCAGCCAGCAGCACCAGCAGACATCATGTGGCAGCGCCCAACAGTGGTATATGCAGGTATATCATGTTCAGCTTGAGAAGAAGATCGTGGATATCATGGCACATAACAGCGTATTCATGCGTATCCCCTTAGCTATTCCCTATGTCATACATTGCATGTGGATGTATACTGCACACATTAAACCACACCATCCTTCCTAACACTCCCAAGCTACTGAGCCACGTAGCTACGACCTGGCGGCACCAGCTGGACCAGCTGCTGTTCTTCGGAGCTATGATCATCAAATCTGATGGTTGCTCAACATGAGATATCTCAACATATGGAGGTTTCCTGAAATGGGGGTACCCCCAAATCATCCATTTCTAGTAGGATGTTCCTTTATAAACCATCCATTCTGGGGTACCCCATTTATGGAAACCCCTATATATGTCTCAACTTTCCCAAACCTGTTCTGAATAACAACAAAGTCAAAGGGTATATCTCCCAAAACCACATGAGTTTCCCAATTTTCCCTGGTATTTGAAAAACCTGCTGATTCTGAGAACCATTGGGTTGCGCTGCAGAACACTTCGCCGAAGCGTTGACTTTGAAGTCGCTGCGTTGCCAAGTCGCTTGTTGGCGTTTTTGCCACACGGGCAAGGTTGATCGCTGGGCACCTATGGCAATCGCAATCTGGAACCGTCACCCTGTTGACTTTGAACAATGTCTACTTGGTGGCTCATCCCACCCAGTAAGTAGGTTATACCCCTGGTTATAACTGGGCTAAGTAGGGTTAGTTCACCTATAACTGGTGTTATAATCCACTTACTAACTGGGATGAACCACCAAGTACGGTGTCATGTGAAAGACATGACGGCTCCAATCAGCGACATCTCCAGACGGTCCTCTGCTTTTCCCTATTACACAGCAGGGATCTGGTCATGTGTGAAACATGTTGGATCATGCCCCTAGCTTCATCCCCTAGGCACACAAGTTTCTCTGTCGCTGATGTAGCTTCCATCCGCTGCGTAGTCAATTAAATAGCCTCAGGCCACGAAACACACCTGCAATCAAGTTGTGCCCTGTGCTGAACGTCCCAAAATAAGAACAGAGTGGAAAAGAAATATAGATATGATTCATGATATGAGTTTACCAGATTGTTTTACGTGAGCAGTTTCGATTGGTATGTTCTTGCCATTGCACATCTCATTTTCTGCTAGGTCCAATTCAGACCCGCTCGATAGTGGGCACAGTTGTCGTCAAGCTTCTTGGAAGACGCAATCCCGATCAAACTAGCACTATCATGGCCCAAACATTTCATAGACCAAACACAATCCTACTAGGCATTGTTTACTCTGTCTATGGCGGTTGTTCTAAAATTCCTGTATCTGCAAACGGCCATTCTTCGCGAATAAAATAATGACTTTCGAGAATCTTTCGCGAACCCCACGTTTATCCTTCGCGAGGGTCTCACGTTAAGATCTTTCGCCAAATCTTTCACAAAAAAAGTTACTTTCGCGAAGTCAGAAAAAAACTCTCGCGGGGTCTCATGTTGAAACCCGGCGGCCTTGGCAGTTAAAAACCCTTACGTGGACCTTTGGAACGACTCCCATGAAGTTCTATACAATGTAACACATACTAATATTGATATACAACATCAAGAACATCATTTGTCACACAAAATAACAAGTCCATCTGTCATTGTGAGATTCCCATTTTGGAGATCTTCCAAAATGCCACGGGCACCCCACCAAATCCACCAGCACCGTTAGCGTTTTCAGAGCCATGAGACATTTCTTCTCCAGGCTTCCGCAGTCTTGTGCGCAGCCTTCGTCTTTAAAGAGACAGCCCTGACTGGGGCAGCGCTCCGCCTCCTTGCCGCCTGAAGGTCAAAAAAATCACCGGTTTTTGAGGCGGATTTTCCCCACATCTATGGTAATTTAATAAGTTTTGACCCATGGCTGCTGGTTTTCACATCAAATCTCTGGGATTTGTGGATAAATCCATAATCACCCAAGATCTGCGCCAGGAATCTCTTGATTTCTCTGCCTATGTCCACCTGTCTGGGGGCATCCACATCAAATAAGCTAGCAAAGGGATAATATAAATATACATGTATATATATATATATATACATACATACATACATTACATTACATTACATCACATCACATCACATCACATCACATTACATTACATCACATCACATCACATCACATCACATCACATCACATTACATGCATACATATATATATATATATACAGACATATATATATATATAGAGAGCTTCAATGGGCCCTGGCAAGTATGAGTTATGAGGCCATCATCAGCCGCAGCCAACAGTTGTTAGCAGTTCTAACCCATCGCAATTTCTGTCAGGCACTGGAAGGGCCCGTTGAGCGTCAAAGCATTTCCTGTGTAATATCCCTTTGTCAAGGGCAACATTGATAGATCTAGTTCATTGACCCTCAAAATTCAAACTGACACAATCCTCCATTGTGATTGGTGTCCCTTCACCTGTGGTGAACACAATATATATATATATATTCTATATTGCGCAGTAGCTGGAAATTATAAACAAGGTTGCTCCCAACACCCCATATAGGCAACTGGCTAGATCAAGAGGTTTCCATGACTAGTATCACCTTATTAAGCAATAATTTGACCTATCATCAAGATGGATCCCACCTTTTTGGGACAAGGCACAAGGGCATTGATCAAGGCTGGCAGCACATTTCACGGCAGGTTGGACCCATCCAAGTGAGGTACCATTGGGTAAATAATCCTCCACCATGCTGCAGGACACCTGACCCTTAGACATCAGGGGCACAAAGGTGTTTTGCGTCGAAAAGGGGGGACCAAATGGGAACCAAAATGGAAGTGGCAGGCTATTGGAACATCCAAGAGTTGAGCTTCAAGGATTTCTTGAGCCATATTCATATCCTAGCATATGCTTTAATTATCATGTGCAATATCTTAAGATGGCTGCTGGGGCCAGAAAAGCACGGACAACCTGTTGGAAAAGAAAACTGCTGCTATAATCCATGAAGGAAGTGTGACCATATGTATGTATGTATGTATGTCTGTATGTATGTCTGTATGTCTGTCTGTATGTCTGTATGTCTGTATGTCTGTATGTCTGTATGTCTGTATGTATGTATGTATGCATGTATGTATGTATGTATGTATGTATGTATATATAATTAAATATATATATAATTAAATATATATATATAATTAACTATATATATATATATCATACACACCTATATTGTATATACATATATGTATTGTATATTATACGTATGTATATATATATATATGTATATGACTCAATAGTGATAAGTCTACATGTATCTATAACGGGGTTTCTGGCTTGTATTTCTGGCTTGTATCCCCAAACTATACCAACGACAGCCAACCACATCCGCCCATCTTGGATCTTGGCCCCTCGGCGCCTGTGGACAGTTGGAATAAGGACAGTAGCCGCCATGGGTCGGCAAGCATTCCACAAATGCTCCAAAGTCCCTCGGTAGTGAACGTTGCAACACGTGAAAAAACCAGGTGTACAGTAACTCCTGCATCTCAAAAATGGGATATCATCTTTTGTGACCTCAAACATCACATATTACGAAGTTATTACCAAATCGCTGGCTGATTGGAAATCATCTGACAAACAAACACCAAAATGGCTATAAACTTTCGTCAAGTCAGAGCTTCCTAAATACATCTAAATACCTGTCACACTTTGCCGCTTGCCCTGCAGTCTCACACAGCACTTGCAAATGTCATCAAATCCCTGCATTTTTGTGTGACATCCAAATTGGGTACCCCAAAATCCCGTGGATCCGATTCTCCTCCATTTGGGTTTGTCTGAAAATAGGGTATATTCCCAATTATAGCCATTTAATAGGGATAATGATGGATAATTAATGGTCATTAACCATTGGGTGTAGGGATACACTATTTTCAGACAAATCCATTTCTGCACCCAGAATCTCAACCTGCCCAGCGACGGATCATTCCACGTGCAGCTGAAGGAGTTCTGCCCCTGCGAACAGTCACAGCTTTGTCCCTGCGCCACGCACATCTCCTGGCGGCGGGTTGGAAAACAACAGCCATGGTAAAAAGGTCACCAGGTTTCCACTAGGTTCTGTAAGGCTTACTAGATCTTACCAGTGACATCAATTGCATGATTGGAATGATCTGCACCAACCCCAAAGAACTAGAATAGCCATGATGCTTTCCACCCATTTTTTAGGGATTCTTCAGGGAAACAACCTCGACCATCTCGACCCTGGGCTCACCGCTGTACTGATCCAGTTGCCCTTGGCATCGTAGCTGGGAATGAAGCAGTACTGTTCATTCGCAGCGCACACCACGGGGCATGTGAACTTCTTATTGCTCCTCAGATTCTGCAGATTCCGGGGATTCCGGACCTGGAGAGGATCATCCCAGTTTCTACAATGTGAGGCCCCCCAGTGATGTTTGTTGGTTTATAAGCCCCAGTAACGATAGTTGTAAGTACCATAAACCATAGTTATTGGAGTTATCAACCACCTTAGCTATCTTGGGGGCCTCACATTGTAGCTTCTAACTTTTACTTTAAACTGCTTGGTGGTTTTAACCATCTTGAAAAATATGAACGTCAATGGGACGGATTATCCCATATTCCATAAGAAATGTTCCAAACCACCAACCAGTTTACCACCTCTATAGTGGGCATATTCCACATATCAACGACAGCTCGTCAAAAATGCATCTCCCAAGGCACCCTGAATTTCACGAACGAGCTGCCAGAAGTCCCACATGGGGTAGCAAACGTCACCCTCAAACCATGGGTCGTAGCACGTTTGGGAATGTGTGCCGCACTGGCAAGACTGACCCTGCGACAGTTGGAAAGATCTTGGCAGCTGTCAGTTGCTTAGCGAAGGTTATTTTTGTAAATCGGTTGAGTCGGGTTTAGATGGGTTTAGATGGGTTTAGTGTGATTGTAACTACCAGTACAAATGGATGGGATGACATCACCTTTCAGGGTCATACAGATCTGTGTATATATATAATGTATATAATGTATATACTTTCATATATCGGCTAAAGAAAACTTTGGTCCCCACCATTTCAACTGGCAAATCTTTTTCTAAGTGTTGCTTTGCAATTACCAAAGGCACTGCCACGACCTGAACCAGGTCTTCAACATCCATGCTTCATCATCTCTTCATACATCCTTTCCCCCAGTAGTTCATGGCCATTTTTGGGTCTAACTCACCCATTTTCAGACAGAGATCCACAGCCTCTGGAACGCAGGATTCCGACTCGGACTCCGGATATCCGGACGAGTTGAAATCGGTCCGATAGCCTGGGAAAATTCCAAGGAAAAAGTGACATTTCGCGATGGGGGTCTCATGGTGAATCTTAGATACTGGCATATACTGGCCAAATTTTATAGCTGGTTAGGAGTAATTATACCATCGCAAAAGATAAAAGTACGAAAGTATCTAATTAACCAAGGTTGACCCAGGTCTTAGCTATACAAACCATGGGTTGCTCCATGCATGGAATATGTGTCCAAAATGTAGGTAAATATGGAGCATACATGGAGCATATGTGGTACCCTTCACGATTCAAAGGGATCAACAACAAAATTGCAGGAGTTAAACTGCCGATTTGCTTTTTGGGAAACCCAGACGGACCAATGTCCAGCAAAATTAACAAGGGTGGTTCGCAGTCAACCTCTGACTGTGCACAACCTGGGCTATGCATTTGATTTAATGAGTAGGTTGATACCCATAGACAAGGAAAGAGATGACATCAAAAACCAATCCTGCAAAGCAGTAAATTTCTTCATGGATGGCTGCAGTAAAAGGACTTCGTAGAAACGGAGATGGGAACGTAAAAACATGAGCATTCTCTTACCAATTGAGCGAAACGAGCAACAGTTAACCCCGGGCGATAAGTCCTTGCCCCTTGGAGGGGTCAGGTATGTGTCCAATTAATAAGGTTAGCAATCCCCAATGGTGATTTTCTGGCAGTCTATGAAATTGGGTATACCAAATTTCATCGGAATACTTACGATGTTCTTTTTTTATGACCCCAAATGCTTGGGACATATTTGGACGGTAATTCTTTCTATTGGCTATCTATATGGGATTTAAACATAAATGCCTTGTGTGGCTCGAATATGTCAACAGGGTAAGAATTGATATGCATATAACTATATAACATCACCTTTTACAAACCAACTATCATGATAGCCATATATATATATAATTATATATATATATATTATATTATGTATTCTATAGAATATATATATATATATGTGTGTGTAGCCCATGTAACAACCTACAGTATACCAAGGAACATCTCTTTTGACCTTCGGAACAGGTCACCGGACAACTCTCGATCTGTGGGGCACAGTACTCCTCGAGCGACGACTCCAGGGATGGCGGTGAGGATTTGCATAGATGGCTATATCAAATCATATAATATATATATATAATTTAGTTAACTAGAGATATGATTTAATGACATATGATGTATCATATATATACATATATTACATGATTATACTTGTACATCACAATGCAGAATATATCACAATATGATGTACGCCTCTAACACACTTCCTCCTCGTATGTTGTGTGGGATCATCGTATAGTGCCGTTCAGTCCTCCTCGTAGCCCCAATCATCGGTCCACTTGCACGGCTTGGCGTTGGCGCCGCAAGGGCATGTTTGGTCCTGCTTGACGCAGCTCTGGGTCGATTGCGCGGTAAAATCCTGAGATCTGGCGCCAAAGCCTACCCAAACGGCAAACATAGCTATGGAAAACCATCATGTTTAATAGATAAATGAACATCTGGTTGGTGGTGTCAACCCCTCAAATATGAGTCAGTTGGGATGATCATTCCCAATATATGGAAAGTCATAAAAGCCATGTTCCAAACACCAACCAGACATTTACTTGGATTTAATGGGATGTACCCTCTGGTAGTTTGGCACCAATATATGGAAAACAACCATTTTTAATGGATAATTCAACTGCAAATTCCCATTTTCAATAGCTATGTGAAATTCCCAGAGACTATAGGCGAATCTTGTGAAGCTGCATGGTAAAATGTCCAGCGCTTTCTGGCCTAGACATGACGGAGATGGAGGCGTAGTTCGCTGGGAAAATCACCTATAGGAATTTATTCTATAACAATAGGGATTTTAAGATTCCTATACCTCCAGCCGGCTATAAACCTACATTTATAGGGATTTTCCAGCAAGCCACGTTTGATGACACCAGAGGGGATCTATTCTCCAGAAAACGTTCCGTCAGAATTCGTGATGAATTCAATGAAACCCAAATTGGCGGGTATATGATTTCAAGGATGTTTGATCAAAAAAACAAAAGGGGTGGAAAATAATGATCATGCTGAATCAATGACATCAATGACCATAGAATAATTCTAATCAGTGATGTCACTGACAAAAATGGGCGAAACACCCCCGCGGTTTTTCACATCAGCCAGCCATCTCCGGAGCCAAGCATCCCACTCTCCTCAGGTGCCAGATATGAATTGGAACTGGGAGACGTACCACAAAACAACAGTTTGAGAATTAGCACTTCAACAAAGGTGGATGTTTGAGAGTTTGAGAGTTACCATTTCAACATATTTCAACGAAACATCCTGAGAATTACCATGAAACACATTGGAAAAAACTCCATCCAAGTGACAATCCTAGGATCCCAAAATCACCAAACTTTACGGGATTGGATCTTGTGTCCCTGCATGTCCCTGCCTTCTGCAGTGTAGGAGATGGGATCGCAGAGTTTTTCATCTGCAGCACATGTGATGGGACAGCCAAAGGCCGTTGACTCGCAGTAGGACCAACCTTCATATGTGCCTCGGGCGCAGACACCAGCTGGGAAAAGGAACAACAACTACAGTAGTCACCAAGTCGTCGGTTCAACATGGTTCAACCTTTGACAATCCACCAAAGAGTTGAGTTTAGTGAAACAATGTGAAACAACAATACCAGTACTTCTCTTACTGAAATGGTTCGGCCAATTTCGTTTGTTGAGAGTTTCCACGTCTGTGTTGTTATGCCATGTGATTTGCTATGACTGCTATGATGTTCATCGCTGCCAAGGGACACTTCACAGTGTTGTCACCACACGGACATTCTTCATTACTGGCGGCACATTTAATGGGCGAGCTTAGCATCGTGCCTCTCAAACATGGCGAATTGGGGCCATAAAGGTTGAAGATGCAGGCAGGATAGATCATAATATGATATAATTATATATATATATGTTTTTGTTCATGTTGGCATACACTAGTATCTTGGACACCTTGGTTTTATTCTCATAAAGCTCTACTATGACCCCAAAGACCAGTAAAACTGGTTACAAGAGCAATCAAGTCTGATATACATCCATATGTCTGGTGACACACACATATATATATATAGATATGTTAAAGGCTGGAGGTTTCACGGAACTCGATTTGATTCTGTTGGAGGATCATTTATGAATGATCGTTCTTCGCTGTGCTTCGCAGGGGGTTCTTCACTTCCATCAATTGCAAACACCTCATTACTGACGTTCACGCAGGGTTATTTGGTGTTTTCTTCTTTCGTGATATTACATCAAAATGGATGATCTGGGGGTACTCGTCCCCCCATTTATGGAAACCCCCATATATTCTTAATAGACATCTAATTAGCTAGTCATTGACTATTGATCAGCAGAGACAGCAAGTTCCGATTCGAAGTTGGAAGGCCGCCATATTTTTGGACCATTGGACACCTCGCCTACAGTATATATGAATAATAAAATAGGTATACATATATATATAATAGAGAGAGAGAGAAAATATAGTAAATCATATGTGTAAATATATATATATATACATGTTACATATTAGTGATAAACCACACGTCAAATCCCCGTGTTTTCTAGGTTCCACAGGCATCAGTGCCTGAGGTGTCATAGTTGGGCACCACACAAAGCTGCTGCTCAGGAGTGCATTCCTCTGGACATTCTTCCTTGGCAGCGAGAATCGATGAAGCAACAAAACAAGTGATTTGCGGGGATGCAATGTTTGATGGGATATTTCAATGGATGATAATTATGATATAATATGATATACATGTAAAACTCAAGGAAATATTATGATTTGGATTGTACGTTCACTGGGATGGTTTAGTTTAGGTATGGATTTACCAGCCGAATCTGGAGCTTCTCAACCTTCTCCAAGCCATTCTGGGATGGTTGTGCTTCTTGGCCGGGACAGTTTAATCATGGCATCGGTTGAACCAGTGTGCTGCAGAACTATCACTGGACATGACAATCTCAGGAGGACTGAGTGGGATGGAATAGTCCCGAAGATGGCAACATTTGAGTTGTGTTATTTTTCTGATGTAGGGTGTTATCATTTTATAGGTACCTACGCGAGGCTTACATTTCGCGTACGCGCGCACAATTTCAGCCTACGCGGAAGCTTGGGTGGGGATAGGTTGCCTACGCAGGCCTACGCGCGTGAGGTTTTATGCAATTTTTAGCTAAATATGCCTACGCGCCCACAGTCTCAGCAACATTTTCGTATAATTGCGCACCCTTTTACAAAACTGTTCATATCCAATGATCGCATTAAAAACAATGAGGAGGAAGAGGGCCATGTACTTATTCATTGGTTGTTACATGGTGAGAAGACATTAGGCAACTACCTATTTCGCCAAAAATGCATCGAGCACGTGAGCGCACGTTTTTTTCCAGTCCGCAGATGACTCAAACGAAGAGGAGGAAGAGGAACTTGAAGAAGAAGAAGGAGAAGAAGTAAAAGACGAAAAAATGATTCCGCAGGTGTAAGACGCTGGTTCTGCCGTCGCTTCTTGGCAGCAGGGAAACAACATATAATTTTATACGTTGCAGCAGCATATTTGGGGCATCCCTGCTCATGAGAGTTTTCGCCTACCCGTTGCCTACTTTTCGCCTACGCGGTGCCTACGCGGGGGAGCTCCTTTATTTTCGGATTTTGGCCATGCAAACTTCGAGGCTTGAGACTCTGCAGAAAAGGGAACGGAATAGTTCCATTAGCTTTTGTTTCTCAGCAAAACAGTTGCTATCTTCTAATTACTTGTGTTTTTTGGACAGCGGAAATTTCACATGCCGCATCGAGCTACACTCATTAGACCCTTCAATCTTGACCCACAGGCTGCAAAATTCGTCGAATCCGCGGTCGCCTACGCGGCGTCTGCCGTAAAATGAAGCAAAATATGCCTACGCCAGCCTACGCACCCCAGCAAACTGCCTACATCCAACCATGTGCAGGTCAACTTTCATATAAATCTTTACTTGTAAAAAAAAACTCTGCTTATTTGAAAAACTCCAGAACAACAAAAATTCTGAACTGGGACATCAATCAATGCAATTTCAACAAGCGTCGCTCATGCCAATGCAATAGGCGTCCCATCCGGATCCGCATTTCTTGGCGCTGTCGCTCTTGCAAATCACTGGGCAATCCCAATCATCGGCACCTCTGAAATGCAGCAACAAACTGAAACAGCTTAAACAGCTTAAACAACTTAAACAACTTAAACAACCTAAACAACTTGAACAACTTAAACAACTTGAACAACTTAAACAACTTGAACAGCTTAAACAACTTAAACAACTTAAACAACCTAAACAACTTGAACAACTTAAACAACTTGAACAACTTAAACAACTTAAACAGCTTAAACAACTTAAACAACTTAAACAACCTAAACAACTTGAACAACTTAAACAACTTGAACAACTTAAACAACTTGAACAGCTTAAACAACTTAAACAACTTAAACAACCTAAACAACTTGAACAACTTAAACAACTTGAACAACTTAAACAACTTAAACAGCTTAAACAACTTAAACAACTTAAACAACCTAAACAACTTGAACAACTTAAACAACTTGAACAACTTAAACAACTTAACACAAACTTATTAAACAACTAAACAGAATTAAACAACTTAAACTTAAACAACTTAAACAGCTTAAACAACTTATACAACTTAAACAACTTAAACAACTAAAACAATTTAAACAACTTAAACAATTTAAACAACTTATACAACAACTACAACTACAACTACAACTACAACAACAACAACAACAACAACAACAACAACAACTGGTTCCTACACGTCCGGATTCCCATGTCGATTAAAAACAGCTGAGGAAGTTCTGCTGGATCGCTTGGAGCCAGGCCGGAGGCCCTGATTTTATCGGTTTCCATAGTCAGCTACCCCGATAGCTGGATTGTTTACAATGGAAAATCCGAACATCAAATGGATGATACCTAGGGATACCCTATGGAATCCTATAGATATTTTCGAACACCTCCATATCTGTAAGGCGACCACATTTCATCATAGCTGTAACCACAACTCAGCATAGCTCGGTGCACTGGGTCTCAAGTGGCAGTATTCCGTCCAAATCATCATCCCTTGTCCATCGAATCCTGCGTGCAGCACTATGAACTTCCAAACTGCAAGGGTCTTTTCATAGATCTAAAATTCTCTGAAACAGGCTACAAAGGCATCAAATGATGACCTAAACAAAGGGTTTCCAAGATTCAGATTTTATGCATCACGTGTGGAGATAAAAAGACAGCAGTGTTTTTGATGTATTGAGCAGCAAAAGTGGTGATGTGCGACACATCTGGAAGCCTTCTTACCCATTGATATCATTGATGTTCACCTGTCACAGAAGAGCCGCTGCCGGTCCTACTTCATAGCAGTAGTTGTGCGTTTCATAGTCACAAACCAAAGGGCCTAGCCATGGTGGCAGCTGTGCAACTCTCACCCCAGCAAAGGAAGTTCTGTTGCTTATGTATCGATGTGCTGACATTGCCGGCGAAATCATGTAACATCATGTAACAATCAATGTACTACTTGCGAACAAACTTTCATAATCCCATCACCCTAATATTAAACGCCCCATAAATGGATATAAATGGTCCCAATGATGTGGAAATTCCCGACATCCACCATGGTTAATATATTTCAATATTAGGGGGAAGGGATTAGTTGAATAATGTTGAATATCACTCCTACACAACTTCTCGCAGATTTTTGGACCAGTGGCAGCTTTCTCCATACCATTCCTTTGCAAAACACTCCATCTTTCCCGCTGCGTCCTGAAGATTGGACCAGAGAAGAATGACGTGAACATCTGCATATGATTTATGTCACATATATGTTATATATGAATGGAAAAACTATGAAATAACCAGGAATCAGAGTGGAAGAACTAGATCAGAATCTGAATATATGACATGAAAATGCGCAAAGTACCCTCTTTCAGTAGCCTCTTGGTTGAATTGACATATATATATATATTACATCGTAATATGTATACATATAAGTATTGAATCATATCAATCTATAAAATGATTCTTCATGAAAAAGGATGATTTTCCATAGCTACATGAGTTTACCAGAGGCTATATACTCACCATGGTGTTTCAGTGGTTTGCGAGCTTGGCCACCTCGAAAAAGCAGGTCCTGGCAACTCATCTCATCTGCTTCGCAGGTGCAGCCACTCTCCGTGGCACAGCTGTAGTTGCCGGAGTGATGGTAGCCTTCGGCCGCCATCGAATCTGGATGCGAATGAATGAAACCATGAGATCGAATGATGATGATGATGATGATGATGGTGAAATTTCGTAAATGTTCCATGACATAGGGTCATCTAGTAACTTCTCGATGAATTTGCTTTGGGTCATGTGTTTCCTTTGGAACCAAGATCCCTAAAACCGACGACCGCCGTGGCAGCCGAGTCGAGGCACATGTCACCACTTCACCGCAATCAATGGGGCAACTCTCAGATTTCAGGGTGCACCAAGAATAGCCTGGAACCCGTGGCGAATTTGGCGCATTGTTGCTGTGTAGTTTTCTCTGAAAATATGGGAAAAATTGGAAAAAAACCAAGTAACTCTCTTGGAAATACCAGTGCCCCAATGGACTGGCATGTTGAATTGAGAAAATGATGAGAAACAATGGATTTTAGAGATGCCCTATATTCTGACAGACCTGTGTCCCAGTCGGCTAGCACACCTTGCTGCATAGAAATTGTATGTCCTGAACCTGAAGGTCTTTGTAGAAATACCAGAACAGCGGTCCTGTTTGTGAAGTGCATTGCATGTGCGCGACACAGGCACAGCAGGAAATCGGTATCGGTATTACTTTCAGGCACCGCCAGCTAACATCTTCCACCTTCGAGCAGTGGCTTCATCTGATTGGCGGTTGTGGTTGGTCAAGAACGGGTGTCCAGCTCATGGATTATGAGGAATCCTAAATATAGCCAGCATAAGCCCCGAACCAATCACCAACCATCAACCAACAGTCATTCATCAACATATCTTCGATGGTTTAAACAACTTTAAGCCCCTCTTTTTATAGATCTTTAATGATGATAACGAAAGCCGCCATAGAGTCGTCACGAATCTTTGCGTCACATCGCGCTGGATCCACCGAGGAGCTGCCGTCGCCTCCATCTGACATGCTGCATCTCTTCTCCCAGGTGGAATCGCAGGGGCATCCGTCGGCAGCTGTCACACAGCTCTCCTGGGGATGGCCATTGATTTCATGTCAATCCGCCGGCCTGCTGGCGTGTCTTGTGGATCTTGCTTGTTCGTAGTTGTACTGTTTGTTTTGTCTTTGGTCTTTGTCTAGACTTGCCCCTTGGCGCGAGTTTTTGCCTTGTCTAACTTGAACCCTCCCCCTGCATCATCCGCGTCGCGCTTTTCATCTTTGGTTTCAACCTTTGTTTCCAGACATGATTCGGTTTCAACTCAAACCCCGGTTTACGCAAAACCCATGTTCTGTGTCTCCTCTTCGTGTTTTTCCTTCGCGTCTTTCGTTGCAATGTGCTGGGTTCGACTCTGCCCACGCCTCGCGCAACATGCGCATGTTCTTTTATGTTCCCATTCCCATTGTGGTGCTCGCGATCGGTTTGCTCTGTCATTCTTACACCTTCTACGTTCCTATACCTCATACAGGTGGCCTGTCAATCCACTTGCTTTTGTGCAGAACACCATTTACACGCGCAACCTTTCTATGTATGGCCTTTTCCAAAAACCTTGGTTCACACACTGCTTCGGTTTAATTTCAAACCCTGGTTTACGCAAACACCATGCTTTGTGTAAAAGCGCGTCTTCCTACTAAACAAAACGCTGATTCACAGAAAACAACCTGTTTTAAGTGTTTCACAGAAGCACCATGTTTTACACAACATCTAGAAAAATCATGCTCTTGCTTCGCCCTTCTATCCTGACTGCTGCTATGCTGAGCTGCACGCACTTGCACTTTATCTCCTCCTATGTCCTGTCTCTGCTATACATGTTTGAGACGCCAAAATCTTTTCAGTTGCGTCCATGGCCCCAAATCTGCACCCCTATCCTGACTGCTGCTACGCTTTACTGCATGCACTTGCACTTTATCTCTTCCATGTCATGTCTCTGCTTTGAAGGTTTGAGAAACCCAAATAGCTCTGCCCGTGGGGCCGGCGGAACACGCCAACGGCGGTTAAATAATTGTATAATGGGATAGTGATACAATGACTGATCTCATTTTATGCTACGTTCATCTATTTTCCATCTATTTTCATCTATTTTCATATATGTTCATGATATTCAAAAGAAAGCGGTTTTTAATTCCTTCCCCTTCGAATTTAACTATTCCCCCATTATTTTTTCAGATCCAGGATCTGTTCTGCGGGGGCCCATCTGGCTAAACTGCATGGCCGCTTCGGACCCAGTCCTCCCATTCAGCTTCATAGTCGACGAAGCCTTCTGCATCGTAGGGTGTGGTGAAACAGTGATGCCTGCAGTGTGACTCCACGGAAACTCCACGGAAATCCACGGAAACTATCACCAAGTTGGGACACAGGGGACGCCAATGGCCTGAAGCTCAGCCAATGAAGTGTTCAGATGTGTCCAGCTAAAACTGCCAGGGGGCTCAGTGGCCGTGCAAGAAAGAGGACAAGAACCATGACTCTTGGGCTGGCAGTAAGACCAATCTTCCAAGGTGCATTGATCCTTCGCGGGCATAACTGAGAAACTAACTGAGAAACCCCTTCCATTAGTGTCATCAAACTGTAGCTCTGCAAGCGAGTTCCTCACTTTAAAGGCTGCCTGATGACACCAAGAGGGTAAATCCGGTCAATATCGCATTACAGTAAACCTCCATTAAGATATCCCAATAACATGCCATTAAGATCACCAAAGAAACCAGCTTCATATACGCCTTTCAGAAATCGATGGGACACCCAGTCGAGCAGTCCTCAAACTCCGTGTTGCATGGGCAGGGGCTGTCCATAGACACACAGCTCCTGGGTCACCGCAGGATCCTTTCTGGAAAGATTGGACATTGGCACCCCCTTTGCAACCCAGAAACTATAACCCAACCCATATAAGCCTCCGGACACATCCAAGAATGAGATATAAAAACAAATCATACAAATGCAGAATTGACAGTTTGTAACCACAAAACCAGCAGCACCAGCGCAAAACATCATCATACATCAACAAAATGTCAATATCCATCAAATCAATCACATACCATTTGAGCTTGTCTGAACATTCAAAACCACCATAAAATTGATGGTACACGTAAACCATTATTCCCCAGTTCTTTGATGGCCAGAACTTGTTGGGTTGCTCCCAACACCTCAGATACTACATACAACGGAGAACAAGTTAGTGAACAAAAAAGGTCAAATATGGTAAACATGATGTAAAATTACCCATGTCCACCCAACAAATTGATAAACATTGGCTATCATTTACCTATACTGAAAAAAATAGCTTAAGGCTCGAGGCATCATTTCCACCATCGTTTCATGGCGTTAAATAGCGTTAAATAGCGTTAAATCCCATCCCCAGTGGTTGATAAACTTGTTGGTGATCCCCACGTTTCAATGGTTGGCATCCCAACTGGGATCTCATCCCAACTGAGAATGTCTACATCCCAAATTTCTCTCCATGTTTTCTTGGTGAAATATTCATTTATTCATTATCCATAAATGGGGGTACCCCAATAGCTGGATGCTTTAGAATGGAAAATCCCTGAAAAACTGTATGAGGACTGGGGGTACCCCCATGACCTTGGATCGCACCATCCACAATCCTTAACATCCTCCACATCCTCGCCAGAACCAAGGGACTGCTGGACCGCCTTGGCAAAATCCACCTCACCGTTGGCCGTGTATTGCATGGTATAGCACACCTGGCAATCCCCCTGGTCAAACAGCCTGGAAGAGCCGCTGAACAAGAACCTGATAAGGACCTGTTGGGAGACTAAGGAGGGATGTAACATCAACAAACGTGGGCATATCATGGGGATATGTATGTATACATATATGTGTATATATATATATATAGTGTAACAATGGGATGTGTAATCAACTTGTATTTTGGGTGTGTCTCCGAAAATTGGGGTATAACATGGTATAACATGGTATGACCACCAGTCAGGGCGATTTTCACATCGCGATTTTCACAGAGAAAATCATGATTAACTGTACTTGGCACTTGGGAATATTCTATTTTGGGTCTCCCTTGTTTCGGACACTGATCCTGACAAATGCTGCAGAACACAGAAACTCGGCACTTTCCATGGCCTAGGTGAAAAGAGAGTTTTAAGTTTATGTATCAAAGCGGATTCTCCCTAAACTCCAGTGGTTGATCATCATCATTCATGTTCCCTATTCAATAGACATGTTGTATCAGTATAGTCGATGTTTTGGACTAATTCATATCTTCAAAGACCTGGGAATGCTCATGAGCACCGAAAAAAAAAAAAAACAGGTTTCAACACCTCCGCAGATGAAGAAACATCAACAAACGTCCAGCCTGCTCGTTTTCTTGGCATTCAAGCGGGCAGCCTTCAAACTTTGGTGTACACCACGAATATCCCGATGAGTCCGTACATTTCTCCTCCCACTGCTGATCCTTGGCCGATTGATCGCCATAAGGCGGGGCATCCAGAGGGCTGAAAGATCCGCAAGGAGACCTTCTTGAAATGGCGGAAAAATGGTAGATATGGCCCCAAATGGCCATTGAAAATCATTTTCATAGGGAAAATATGGGAAAATGATGAGAATCCGTTGGAATTGCTGACAGGTCACGCAAGTACATCCCACCGCGAGGTCCACGCACGTTTCCGTCGCCGGAGCAGCATAGTCCACTTCTCCTCCCAGAACCGTTGTAGCTTCCCAGGTAAGTCATGAACATTTCCCCGGTTTTCCCATGTCCCAGGATTGTGTGTGTTCTGAACCAGTGTAGCTTAATCACGACGAACCAACAAGTTATAACATGTTAGAACTCGTTCATGGCTCAGGTGTCAACCCACATCATCGCGGGTCCTGTGGAAAGGTACGTGGTGGCGTAGCACGTGGTCTGATTGCTTTTGCAATATACCGGACAGCTTCCCCATTCCTTGTCCCAGCAATATGAAGAATACTCGTCCGTGCACTTGACTTCCTGACGTTCTGGTCAGATTTTTTTTCATGATTCGCATGGCAGTTCTGACCAGTGAATCATTCGTATTGTTCATGATAGAGTATCTTCCAATTAAAGTATTTGGGGATGAACAACATTTTCCATTTTATCTATTCAGGCTACTTCAGGATATGGAAATTCTGGGGAGGGGTCAAGACTCAAGACCTGCTATTACCATATGCATCCATATGCTACATGCTATTCCATGGGTTATGACTGGTGGAATAACATGAAATAACCGAATAACATCGAATAATCCACCGGGTCCACCGAATAACCTTCCAAGGCTCAGTGGCTTCGTTGCCTGGCAGATGTTTGGCTGGCGAGCCTGCCTTGTTTGAGGCTGATATCGTACTTGACTTATAGGCTATAGGTAAGGTATATCTATAGTCTATAGGTGTTATATATTGTTATATAAGTATACAGTATAGTGTATATATATAGGCTAGAATGTGCTATATATTATATGTTGTTATATTGTTATATAACTATTACAGTATATGAATTTAAATATGGTGCTCTTGGGGGGTACTCCACAGTGTGGGCAAAATAAGCATGGAAAACTATGATTATTACAGTTAATGTCAAGTTTGTGCATGGCATGAATCATTGAACACATACTTATTGTAAAATACACCATGGAAAAATCTAGTCTGCAGTCCATGAAAACTTCTCAGTCCAAGAATATTCGTCAATTTCATTGGAAGAGTCGATATGTCTTCATGCTAGCCTACTTTCTCATCTCATGAAAACGAGGCTGATCATGAGTCCATAGTCCATTGTTTTTTGGTCCACATCAAGATTCAAGCCTGAAGCGATTCCAGGTACGTTTGGGTCGGAAATTGATGTACCCTCTGGTAATGACTAACATAGCTATTGAAAATGACCATTTATAATGGATTTTCCCATTAAAAATGGTGATTTTCCATAGCTATGTTAGTTTACCAGAGGATAATTTGTTTATAAAGATTGTAAAGGGGTAACATTCCCACTGTCCACCCAAAAGTAACATAAAGTAACTATCATGTACCTAGAATCGTCTGGAACACTCCTGCAACCGTCATTCAATAGCCTCTCACCCGAAACTAGAGTCTGGCAAATGAAACTTTAATTGTACCAACAATACGGGATTTATTGAACTTAAAATGAAAATACATAGTGGGATACCACCAACCATCAACCATAACTAGTCATGCAATGATTGGATTTAATGGTCAGGCTTTCCTACTAATTAGCCATGGCAAGTTCAGTCAAGTGCAGTGCCAACTGATTTTGCCAGGAGCAGATTGACCCAAGCATCATGCAAACATCGTATCCCAACATGGTGGGTTTCTTCAAGTTTTGTTTAATATGCAAATGACATGCGATGACTACCCGTTTTGTGGGGTATTCGACCAACTGGGGCTTGCCGGCTTGCGGTTCAAAACCACTTAACAACATTCATCACAGTTCATCAATATTCATCAATATTCATCAATGTCCATCATAATTCTGATGCCAGGTAGCATTCCACTGCAAAGGGATCATAGCAGCCTTCCGACTTCAGCTCGCAGGTCTGGCGCGCGAGCTAAGCGCTGCGCCGGACACTGTTATATTCCCATCCCCAGAGGAAGCGGAAGGGCCTGGAAGATTCCCCCCAGACTGTCAGATTACCACCTATAGACCTATAGCTATTATAAGTTTGTTTAAATATATATATATATAATTATATATATATAAATAACTATTATACATAAGCCCTACTAACAATAACCCAACAGTTTTTGGATGCTTGCCAACTTAGCCAACTTCGCCAACTTCGCCACCGTAAGTACCCAAGAAATCTAGGCAGATCCATCAATGGGCCTGCCTTGTAGCCAAAGCTTTCACACTGCACTTGCCATTGGTCATTGCAGGGGCATCCCTTTTCGTAGCTTGCGCAGGACGCAGTTCCCTGGCCATTGGGGCATCAGTTTCGTCACCAAAAGAGAAAAAATAAACAGGACTTGAACATGAACTATTTTTGACGTATCTATCTATCTATCTCTATCTCTATATCTATATCTATATCTATATCTATGTCTATATCTATATAAATATATATATATACATATATATGTTGAACTGGTGTGAAAAACTATTGCGAACGAGACAACCTGCTATTCTGAACTCTTTACTACATGAACAAAAAACACCCTTGCAGGTCTTGGGTCTTGCAGGTCTTGCCATGGTCTTGCCATGGTCCACCAGCCTCGACCTCCCAGTTTGGTTCACCAGTTGCGGTGAACACCGGTGTATAACAATACATCTCAGCACAGTCTCCTGGCGGCCCCGGGTCCATTCCCAGCGAGTTGGCCAGTCACCAGTAGCTGCTACAGTACAGGAGGGTACTACCGGGTGCCCATGTCTCTTGAGACGTCTTGAGCGGCAAGATTGGGATCCAATGATCTGGGTTCTAGTCAACGCCCACATTAACAAATCAGGAACGAGATTCCGCCTGGGCCTTCACCAGAAGAGCCACCATATGGTGGGGTGACACCACCTTCATATAGGTGCTGGATTTTCGACAGTTGGATCTGCAAAAAGGGTGAACACGTCACTTTGAGGACATTTTGCCAATGTCTGTTGGGAGCATTGCGGTGCAAACCCCACTACTAGTAGCCCAAAACCATGGACACTTGAGACTGCTGCTCTACCTAGACAATCCTGGACCTTGTTTTAAAAAGTTGAGATCGAATCATCCGAAATCAGCGTCATTTCGGTTGCAAATAGTTGGTATCACCAGCTTCAACACATGTGCTGCAACATCAAAATTGGCATCTGCATCCACGAAATCAGCAACGACATTCCAACGCCTTGACCAGAAGAGCTGTAGCCATATGGTCCGTCTTCACCACCGTCAACACCTTCATACAGTCGATGGTTTTTGGGCACCAGGCTAAGATAGGCTAAGATAGGCTAAGAAGGGTGAAGAATTGTTGTTTGGAATATCATCGATACCAATTCTTGGGACGGGGGTCCAAGTTGGTCTTTAAGAAGGTACTATTTTACGACATTTTGCCCATGTCTGTTGGGAGCATTGCGGTGCAGACCCCACTACTAGTAGCCCAAAACCATGGAAACTTGAGACTGCTGCTCTACCTAGACAATCCTAGACCATATTATTGCTTTTATTGCTTTAAAAAGTTGAGATCGAATCATCCGAAATCAGCGTCATTTCGGTTGCAAATAGTTGGTATCACCAGCTTCAACACATGTGCTGCAACATCAAAATTGGCATCTGCATCCACGAAATCAGCAACGGCATTCCAACGCCTTGACCAGAAGAGCTGTAGCCATATGGTCCGTCTTCACCACCGTCAACACCTTCATACAGTCGATGGTTTTTGGGCACCAGGCTAAGATAGGCTAAGATAGGCTAAGAAGGGTGAAGAATTGTTTGGAATATCATCGATACCAATTCTTGGGACGGGGGTCCAAGTTGGTCTTTAAGAAGGTGCTATTTTACGACATTTTGCCCATGTCTGTTGGGAGCATTGCGGTGCAGACCCCACTACTAGTAGCCCAAAACCATGGAAACTTGAGACTGCTGCTCTACCTAGACAATCCTAGACCATATTATTGCTTTTATTGCTTTAAAAAGTTGAGATCGAATCATCCGAAATCAGCGTCATTTCGGTTGCAAATAGTTGGTATCACCAGCTTCAACAAATGTGCTGCAACATCCAAATGAACATCTGCATCCAGGAAATCAACAACGACATTCCAACGCCTTGACCAGAAGAGCTGTAGCCATATGGTCCGTCTTCATTGCCTTGATGCAGTTGAGATTGTTGGTTTTTACCCGATGCAAAGAGTAGTGAGTATACCTTGATGGGGATCATGAAGCCATTTCTTGTGATGGTAGTTTCCTTCACATATGATGCTACCGAGTTTCATGTCATTTAACGTGGTCAGTCTCTGTTTTTCATGGCAGCAATTGGTCGTTTTTCAAGACAACTACGGTTGTATCCCAGTGTTCGATGGTACACATTTCAATGGCCACCAGTCACCAGTCGATCACCAAGTGACCATAGCCTACGTCACCATATCCCGAAGACCTCGGCATATGTCTCGCACAGATGCTGGGGAACTATCCAATTTTCAAATTCATCCAGCCCTTTTTTCATCCTGTAACTGTATCCATGTTCCAACAGGGTTTGTTGCGTCAGTACTTGAAGATTCTGGAAATGAACAATCAGGGCCTATGACTATCCGAGGGAATCACTGGAGTCCGCAAATTCCGTGCCAAATAGCCGCTAGCCATGCCATCATACTGGCTCGTTGCATTCTTATCCCATGGTATCCAATGGGTACAATAAATCTCCAATAAACCGTAATAAACCAGGTAACTTCATAATCCATCATAATCCACTATTTCAGAACCAATCAACCATCATTCATATCATCCATCAACAAAAAATGTCCCCATATGATTGATAGTCCAAAACCCATAGCTGGTAGCTACATTAAAAAAAAAACATCTTAGAACCACTCCATAGCCGTTTTCCACCAGCCATTGAGGCTCTGGCTGCAGATGCCGCGTCCTTGGCTGCTTTCGCTTGGCCTGCCGCTTCCAGCTGCATGGGGGGTTCCGAGGTCTTGGGGGGTTCCGAGGTCTTGGGGGGTACCCAAAATTTTCATTTTTTTTTTTCAGATGTTCCATGAAATCAATTGAAATCAACCATCCAGCTATTGGGGTACCCCAATTATTCCTACGGAAGACCTTTGTGGAGCATGACTTGGGAGCTCTTTTCCGCATTTTAGAAAAATCCAAGGAGATGCAAAGTAGTAGCCATTTTTTGGTGGATGTATATATATATATGTGTATATATATATTTGTTTGAATCCACCACATAATATATATATATATAATTATATTATCCATATATGTTGATATATATATATATACATTGATATATTGGATGATTCTGCAATGCCTGATGACAATCGTCACATGGCTTCAGAACCGCAAGATATTCCAACGAGTGTTTCCAGCATCACGTACCTGCATCAACCCCACTTCCCAAGTACTACTCAACATGGCTGCCGGAGGCACAGTGGGATATGCGGGAGAGGGTCGGTATGGCGATAACCCTTCATTATCACTCGGACAAAATGGCTTGGACCCAGATATCAACAATTTCTGGAAACAACATCCAGGAGCAAACCAACAGGCCTCTGGTTTGCGAAAACTCAAAGTCCGTTTGGCCACGTCCTGAGGGGCGCGAATATTGGGCACCAGTTGGAGGTTTTCACGCTCCGACCAGGATGAGACCCTGGGAAGGGCTTAGAAAAAGGCAACCCGCAAACATCGGAGACCAGGGGATAGTCAGCAAGTGCACCGCAAAAGTACAGACATCATTGATATAAATAACAGATATAACAGATATAACATCACCTTCAAGAGCACAGGTACCACAATGGTGAGGGCCTAATCCATAACACAGGGTGCGCTACCGAGTCAAAGCCAAGGGTCGGCCACGGCGAAATGCCCGCAGGCAATCAGCAAAATCGCTGCCAGCGTCTGCATGGCCTTGCACGTTCAACCGAACTTCGGTTGAGCCAAAACTTGAACCAAACGTGACCAATGCCAAAGCCATGTGCAGTTCAAAAGCGTCCTCAGGTCTTTTGATGGCACTTAGCCCCTGGCTGAGCACAGGCACCAAGCGCAATGATCTCAAAGAGACCTTCGAGCCATGCCAGCAATCAAGTGAGTGACGCCAAGGCTGCAACGCGTGTTTGCTTTGTCTGAACCTGTTTTCACATCAGCTAGTGTTACACCTCGCATGCTTCTAAACCGGTAAGTTTTGTACAAACCAATCTCTTAACGCACATTAATAACAAACAAAGTTTTACGGCAAGAAATTTTAACCCACACCAGCTCTGATACGAAGCAATTCTTACACCTAATCTTTACAAGCTTTTTCGCCACAATTGCTTTTGCACCAACCAGGTCTCTCACAACCCGGTTCTTACACCAACTCATGTCTGAATGCCAGGTTGAACACCAGTAAGCTTTTGCACAAACCAGCTTTGACACCAACAGTAGAACCAATTCAGATGTTTCAATCCGGACCCCAACTTTCAAACCTACTTCCCTATCTGCTATGTCTTGGGGGTTTGCCGAAGGCAACTCTAAATATTGCAAAGGTTGCTGAGTTTGAAGGAACTGATTGATGTATGTGTCACATCGCCATTGCTCATCCAGCTGAGTTTCAAGGATGGGAAAAGCGCTCACTCTTTTTTGCTCGCTCTCCGCGGGGAGAACAACAGCTGCTCAAGAATACTACTTCCTAAGCTTCCTAAGGCACTACGAGGGCTATAAGCGACGCAGGCTCGTGGAATGCAGAGTAACGAGTTTTTGATGCGCCCTAAAGATTTGGTAAATGTCTATCAGTAAATTTTCAGCAAATTATAAGTAATTGGCAGATTTCTATAAATTACCCATGACAATGGCAAACATATGCCAAGCATACCTAGGACACCAAAACACATAGTTTATACATGTCCTATCTATATAATATGATGAGTTCCCTATTGTTCTCATGGTAATTTGTCCATGGCAAACTGGTGGTGTGGAGGCTCCCAGCGACATTCCAAGCCAAGCGCCAGCCCAATCGCTGGCCGTCCCTTCCCCGGGCCAAAAAACGGGGGTGACCAGGGTCAGACTGGAATGTCTCATGGATCAAGAATGGCTTTGTCTTGAAATTGAAGGCTGCCCCCTATTTATCCAACGATTTATTGCATCACATATATATATATATTAATATATATATAGAGCCACTATTACAATATTATACCGTAGTACCCCATTTTCAGACACTGAACCTGAGGATATTGAAAAGCTGATCTACGCAGATCCGCATTTCTCTTGGCTTGGTTAACATCACCAATCCACTCAAGTTGTCTGGATGTTCATTCTAAAAGCTGCCATGATGCAGGTCACTGTTCCAGGATGGATTTGGGATGATATTGCTAATCTTTAATACCATTCAATACCATTCCAAAAAGTTCACTTCCAGTGCGAAAAACCACGTGAAGTACCAATCAAGGTCACCCTTGGTCCAGTGAAATGCCGTGATCTGGATCATCAACACTGATATTGGAAGCTCAATTGAAAAAGCAGGCTGCAGCAGGCTGTGATTGCTTTGTTTCAAGTGTGTGAATTGTTGAAAAAGCGTAGATTTCTTAGACATCTTCACCCCCCAAAAAAATGCTGTGACACAGGTTCAGAATTGATGAGATGATGTGAAACCCCCTCAGCCCGGGCAAAGGTCAGCCCTACTTCCCAAAGAGCCAGAAAGCTCTCTATGGAAGATTGGATCGTCCTATTTTACTGAAGCAAGATGCACAAAATTTGATAGTTTGATCATTCATAGAAAATCAGATGTCTTTTCGTACAAGACACTGAGTCAAACTGGGTCAAAGCATCAAAATGTTGGGAACTTTTCTGATGTTAATGGGAAAGGTAAGCGTTTTTTGCATGGCTTTCATCATTGGCATGTTCCTCTTCAGTAAAGCCCTAAACCCTATGCGTGCTGACACCAACACCTGGGCCATCACTTTGGCCACGGATCTCCACAAGTTGTAGTCATTCGTGACATGGGTGGAACCAAAATCTCAAAGGTTGCAAACTTCTCACCTTGCGGATATCCAGTGAATAATAGTTGATAATCATCATTCCATGATGGATCATAAAAATTACCATCTGGTTATTTAACATAGCAGCCTTATAAATGGAGGTTTCTAGCTGGGAAAATCATCTATAAATGGGCCATTTTCCATGGCTATGTTAAATAACCAGAGCGTATTCTCAGCACCGAATCTACAGGAAAAGTCTGCTCTTCTGCTTCGCAGATAGAGCGCGTTTCGTCGTGGCTCGCCGTGGCTCAGCTCAGACAGACCATGGCAAGCACAGCTGGCACGGCTGGAAGGAATCCTCAGCCATGGAGCTATGAGGTATCAAAGAGGCCACTTCCAATGTTTGGAATGGTCATCTTTTGTAAAAATGTATACTTCATTAGAGTTTGTCTAGGGTACCGTAGTACCCTAAATTCCAATGCATATTGTTTAATATTATGTATTTACTAATATTTTCCCCTGTTAAATGAGATCTAATTGGAATAATTAGATAAGGGTAAGTTAATATGTTTAATTCCATGCCATTCCATAATTGGATGATGAATGCTAATACTATATAGTAGTTTACATACTTAATATTATAGATCTATCATGTGGTTGGAAAAATCTAAGTAGCTCCTTAGTTCCCCATTTAATAGGGATTATGAATACCCCGTGCATTCCCTAGCTCCCTCCTAACCATTGGATCTTTTTAGCCATATATGGAGGTTTCTAGCCAGTCATGGGGGATCCCCAGTCGTCACCATGGCTTTCAATACGAAGTCCATGGCTAATCCATGACTGGATGATTTGGGGGTCCCCATGACTTAGGAAACATCCATACACCCATTAAATCACCATCCCAGCCATCCGATATCCAATGGATATCCAGAGAATAATAGTTTATAATCATCAGTCCATGATGGATTATTATAATTATTATCAACTCTTATGACTAACAATCATCTTAGCTTTTTTTAATAGTCGATGATAAATATAACAAACATGGATTTTTTTCATGAATCATCCGTCATGGATTGATCATAATAGTTATGAATAATAACAATAATAGTTGATAATAAGCATGGAACATCCCATTGATGGATTGATCATTCCATCCCATTCAAGGCGCCCATGGAGATGCAGGAGGATTGGATGTTGGCCGAATCGGGGAAACCTGCGGAGCCCTAGCTTTGCCAGCGGCCAATCCCGAAAATATCCTTTGACATGCTCAAATCCTGCTAGCAGGGTTTAAGTGTTTTACTTTCCAAAACAACAAACACCAAAACCATAAAACCCTAAAACCTTAAACCCTAAATTAAAACCCTAAATCCTGAAAACTTAAAGCAAAAGAGTGTGGGTGAACCAGGGAGTTGCGGGGAACATGTTTCAAAGATGGGTCAACAATGCATGTGAAACGTTCTCTCATAGTTGCCTTGATTCTCTGAAATGATTCTGAAATTTCTACACAAATCGCCCAAAATGGGTTGAAATTAGGCCCTCCAAAAAACTCATAGCATTTAAAAAAACATTTTCCCACATGTCCCACACTTACTTGCCGATTTGGGCATCTTACCACCGTGGCCCAACCCTCGAGCCTTGGGCCTCAGCTGTTGGTCAGGATCTTACGGATTTCATGGGAGATGTGGTTAAAACATGTTACAACATCCCCAAGTTTACCAATTTTATGGGATAAACCATCAAAAAGGGGTTAGCTTTATTCTTGTTTTGACAATGTTTTAACCACATGAATGGAATAAAGACCCGAAATCAGCATATCATGCATATCTGGATAACTTATCATAATTCGGTGAGACCTGAAATGTTGGGTGATTTTGAGGGAGAATTTCTCTCACCATCATTCTAGTGAGGTCGGAATGGTGTCGTTTATTTCAAGTGTTTCTGGAAAAAAACGAGGACAAAAATGAAAGGAAACTCCATGGTTTTTACCATGGTTTTACCCCCAATTTTGGGGGGTGTCCTGATGTTGCATCAAACCAATTCGGGAAATCTTACAAATCAAGTGGTGATATTCATCTGTAAACCGAGAAAAAACGGGAAACGCGGATGATCTTGGGTGCGTCCTTTAACACATCATCTCCCACTGCTCTTCACTCGAGGTCCGGACAGTTGTGTTGGCATTCTCAGGCCTGGCAGTGGTGAATCACCCAACATGGCAAGCCGGAAAGCCGATGTTCCAACACCATGAAGACCTCCATGGATTTTCGTGGATTTTCCATGGCCATGATCCTTTAAGATCTTGGGGGTAGGCGACAACAACGACGGCCGGCGTCGCACCCGGTTGTGGTAGCATCACTTGGAGCAGAGGTGGCAGAGGTGGAGCTTGGCGGTCGGGTGATTCCAGCCTTCGACTTGGGACTTCGCATGTGAAAATGGTGGATGATCCCCCCCGATGATCATGTCTTAGGAAAATGACCGAAAATACCAGGACATTGATGGTAAACTTGCTGAACAACATGACCAAATTTTTACCAGTGGACTGTCTATTTTCCATGAGTTTATATGATTTTTGACCCCATTCGGTACCATCGCCACAATGGAATCTGATGGAATCTGGTGAGGCCTTCTCTTCCCTCTGCTGAATCGCCACTTGGGCGCGGCTCTTTAACGATGTGGTGGAGATGTCCATGTTGACCCCCGCCTGGCGGTCTACAGGAAAATCTCGGAAAAGGCCAAGCGATAGGTAAGTTGCTTCATATCATAGGGTAGGATTTATATGGATGTATGGTTTATATATGTTTATATGCCTATAGTATTCTATATTCAGATCGTTTATGAACCAACTTATCACTGGGGAAGGCCCTTCCTGTTGGAATCTCACGTTTTTGTTGGATAACCATCACGTGAATTGAGCCTTTCTGGCTTTAGTGGACTTTCCCTGGGACCCGGTTCCAGCAGATAGACTGGAGCACAAGTGAAGTTGAAAGTTGAAATTGAGACCATAAACTCGGGGCAGTTGCGGGTGCAAGTACATTCCCATGAGAAGGTTTGGGATGATCCTTGATGTTGATCCTCTTGGAACTTACAACTGCGATAGTTTCATGATGTTTCATGTGTGCCACTGTCATGATTGATATGGCATATATGCTCATCCCACTTTATCATCAAGGATTCCTTATGATCCGTAGCCTCCTGTAAACTAACGTAGATGTGGAAAGACCATGAAAGACCAGCATTTTTAGCATTTTTTAGCATGGTTTTCCACATCGCTCCAGGAATGCCTGGGCATTGATCTCTCCGGCAGCACTCACGGCCTCAGAGGCATTGTTCGCCAAAAAACGGACCGTGGGAAGTTTTTTGGTGCAAATTGATGCAAAGCCAAGAGGAAATCAAAAGGAAAATCTACAGGAAACCATGGTTTTTACCATCAACTATAGGACTTTCCTGTAAATTTTCCCATCATCCAATTCTATGAATAGGAAATCAGTAGGAAGTACTGGTACTGAAGCAAACCTGACCCAGAAAGGATGCTGACAGCACCAATAAAGCCTAGCACTTGGACCCAAATGTATCCATGGAGGTTTCCTAAAATGGGAGATCCCCAGTCGTCACCATAGGTTTCAGTATGATGATTTGTTGAATGACAACAGGATGAGGACTGGGGGTACCCCCACAAGTTATGGGAAACCTCCACCATTAAAACATATTAAAACAGACCTCCAAACTTGAACCCATTGCTTTCCCAAGTGCTTTCCGCATCATGGATCCCGCTGGGGCTAGGACTGAGGTCAGGGAAGGGCTGCTGCTCTTCACCATCTTCTTCAACTGCTCACAGACCTGCCTTGGCGTCACCGAACTTGCGACACCTAAGGAAGCGGCGCGGTTTCGTGTGGTTGGGATGGTGACACTCCACATGGAAAATATGGCTTGACCATGGTGATAAGTGATAATCTCCAGAGGTTGTGATGTAACCCTTGTGTATCCGCTAGATTATTTCTTTTCTTTGAAACAGAGATGGAGATTGAACATGTTTCGCTTTGTCCATCCGAAAGTCGCAAGTTGCCTTCGAATTGGAACCCCCTGATGTAAAACAAACCAATGGGTTGTTCATGACGGGTGAAACAGTACGAGCACGAGAACTGCAACTTGTGGTTCGCTGAACATGCAAGTGTCTTGTAATTCTAGAAGTATGCAAGTCGTTGTGGACATGGTTCCAAGACAGTCCAAGATGAACACAACGTCACATCTGCACTCCAAGCAAAATTGCAATCACAAGTTGTGTCGGACGACTCTTCGAATCTCTCTGAGACTTCCGCCTTGACCACCCTTGATCCCCTCTGATTATTAGCATCAAATAACATCAATGAACCAATGGCCCATGAGCCACGCCTTGATTGTCGATGTGAAAGATCATGGTGGATGTCGTTCCACTCAGTTGTCGAACATTGAGTCGGCCTCAGCCATGCTGAATTCACAACTGCAACGAGACCATCTAACCCACAAACACCGGTAAAACCCTAGGACCATCTGGGACTTATGTATGACAGCCAACCAAGAAATATTGGAATCCCCACAACGACAAATAGGGATGATTTAAGATGATTTTAAGTATAGCAAACCATGGGCCTGGTGGTATGTGTATGTTACCTTAGTACCAAGCTGTATCCCACTCAGGCTGAAGTGAGTCATTTTTCGCTGCTCTTCAGACATTGGAGATCATTTGAGTTGAAACATTCTTTGCACACTTTGGCCCACAATCTAATTGCTTTGAGCGCACCAGGCTCTTTGCAAAGACCATACAACGATCGCTACCAATATTGCTATTTTGTTCAAAACCTATTCTTGCCATATTTTAAGGGGAATAAACATCCATAAACCATTTACTTTAGGGTTTTGACTCATGACAAAGTATAGTCAGACTCTGAAATTCGCGTCAAGAGGCGCTGCGTCGTGGCAGTCTTGATGGCAAGAGAAGTCTTCAAAGTACTTGGGACTTGCAGTACCTCTCACACTTCCATCAAAGGCAGTTTCGCCAAATCCTTCAACCATCTTCAACCACGGTCACATGTCAAAATCCAGAATTTGCAGTCAGTGTATTGATGATGTCAATTATGTCCATCATGACCGGGTGGTGTATGCCAGCTTTGCTGGGCCAGAGGGGTTACACCCCACTATACCACAAAGCAAAATCTCTTGCTACGGTGTAAGCCCTTAGTACCCATTAACACCTCACAGCAAGGCGATCCAAGTGGATACCAAAAAAAAGAAACCTCCAAGCTTTACAGAGTCCCTGGCCCATCACTGCCACAGGGGTACACTGTTCATCTTCACTCGGACTGTCTCTGCTTTGGACTTGGCATCCGATCCTCAGCTTTCGGTGGGAAAGTGTCCCACATCGCAACTGGACACACGTAGTTCCTGCGTGAAAGATATACACATATAGTAAAACTAAGATAAATTCTAAGCTATATATAGTAACCGGCTAGCACATAGAATATTAAAAATTTTAACGTACCACTAAGAATATGGAAATTACATAGCAAAACCATAATTTGGAATGTCATCCACATAGAATATTTATCCACATAGAATATGGGCGTATAAATATAATATAGAGGTATATATATATAATATATATATATTATCCAAATCTCAAGACTCTCCAAGCAAATCGTTGATCAGTGCTCTTTTTCCCCTTTCATGCACGCTCGGGATTAGTCTTTGTGCTCCGGCTCTGCTGCTCGTGCAGTTTGAACCTTTTGAAGCTGAAGTTTTGCCAATCTATCCTTGGGGTGAAGCTCCAAGTGACCCTGCAACATGAGCTCAATCACCCTGAGTAATGCCTGCTTTGCAGTGCGACCACTTGATGGTCCAAAAGATCTACCATGATGGGAAGACCCTCCACCGTAAGATCGCCACACCATGTTTCCTGGATGAATACCTAAACTACATCCTTCAGGCCTGACAGTCACCCCCGCCGCTTTGAGTTCCTGATATTCTGGTCGGTGCTCAAGTGCTGCATTGCGTGATTTCTTGCCATTCTCGTCCTCTTTGGGTTCTGCTGTCTTGTCATCATGCTCGTCCTCTTGCTCTGAGTCTGAGTCTTTGACAAAGAGAAACCCACTGTGTAGCTCTGAATCCAGTTCATCACCGGAAAAGTCGCCGTACTCAATTGGTTCACCATGCTCCATTTCGATCTGCTTGTCCTCTTCCAAGTCGAGAGTATGCACCGCATCATGCTCCACACCAAGTCCTGCGTACACAATTTTGATGCACATAGAATATAATTCAATACACACACACACACACGTGTATATATATATATAATATACATATACGTTAATACATATTCAAACCAAACAAATCCTACCACAGTATTTGTTTGTGTATGCACCGCATTATGTTCCATGTCAAGTCCTGTGTGCACCAGCTTGATGCACATAGAATATAGTTCAATACACACTGTTGATGTGGTGTATGTGTTGGAAAAAAACAACTCCCGACACAAACCAACAACACAGATCCTGAAAAGTGATCCACATCATCTGGTACTTCAACTTGAGGAATAGCTTCACCCTCCAAGAGATGAAGAGACCACTGTTTTCCGTTGCCCGACTTAACCCAAAGGTCAGCTGGATCCAACGAAGGATGAATCACCAGCATCAGGCATGTTTTTTTCAACTGTGCTTGAGACTTTTTTCCTGGTTGCATCACCTGTGCCTTCCTTGCTTTGTCTAGGACAAGTACCCTTGTTGGATTGGACACCCATTGCTGATATGCTTCGTTCATTTTGGGAGCCAACGAACCAAAACCATTTGCTTTACGTTTGGCTATACGTTCCTCCCAAACAGAAAGTTCTCGTTTCCACGTCAACAGAACATTGTCAATTGGAAGCTGAAACCACGATGGTAGTGCAATTGGCTCAGCTGTTGGGTTTTCGTAATCGTTGATTGCCCAGAACTGATGCAACTCCCCCTTCAAAGTTGTGGTTTCAGCTGCAGCAACGATATCTTCTTCACCAGTAGGTTCAACAGAAGGAATTTCATCCAAACTATACAAAGTTGCCATTGCACCCCTTGTTTGTTCAAAAGATGCCTTTGCTGCTTCCATGTTGCCATCATGATGCCATTCAGCTATTTGCTCCATGCTGGTCAAACCGCGGCTGACCCATGCCCATTGAATCAGCTTCCCACCTTGATAGTTTTTGAGGGATTGAAGAGCGAATGCATCGGCTCTCAAACTCCCTTCGGTAGTCAACCTGGGTGTAGTGCGAAATGCTTGGACAGTCACTGCTTATTTGATATTGTGAATAGATTTTCTCTTTCATATTCTAAGTGCATCTCAAAATCATCTTTTACAATCATAAACTAATGAAAATTAGCTCGGCTCTCAAATTCCCCCCGGTGGTCAACCTGGATGTAGTGCAAAATGTTCGGACAGTCACTGCTTATTTGATACCGTGGGTATGTCTTTTCTTTCATATTCTATGTGCATCCCAAAATAATATTTTACAAACAGAAACTAATGAAAATTAGGTAAACCAAAAAATCTGCACATGCAACTCAAACCGCGGATTGCCATCCACACTGATCGACATCTCAGCCAAAGTTGATCGTAGAGTTTTCCCCATGCCCACCGTGATCCGTTGCGCCGCGCGTCTCAATCCATGATACCACTGATGGAAACCATCACAAGGTCCACCACAAGCTCCCCAGCCTGATGAACATGTTATATATGTTGAATTTCTGAACATTTTCTTTTTCACTATATATATATATGGAACCAATATATCAATAGTACACACCTGAATCTTTTGATATATGTATATGTGTCTGTATACACAAACTTCTACAACAAACAAAAATAGCTTTCAAACTTGTATTTGCCTCCTGGGATTGCAACATATTGGTAGGAAGCACCGTGAAGCAGAATGCAGTTGTGAGCACGTTGAAACCGATCTCTAAGCTTTTCGAAAGTGCTGCTTTGATGAACCGTTGCTTTGTCCATGAGTATCAACGCTTTTGAAGATGCATCGAGTCCGTGTTTCATCCTTTTTGCACGTAGTTCGCTCCCCAAAAATTCAAGGTATTCACCCAAAGTTGCAGCATTCCAGTAGTGAGTGGACCCTGAGTGACGAGTTGAGATGTGTAACACATGGCCCAATTCTCGATTCATTGCGTCTATCGTCTTTTCTGACCTTGCAAAGCGACTTTGGTTTCCATGGTGAATAAAGTTCAAATATATGCAAAAACAATGCACATAGAATATTTTGGTCTATATGATCTGGCAACCAGAAACAATATATATATATATAAGTAACCATACATATGTATATTCCTTTCAAGCTGATTTATGTATATATGTATATTCTTTTGATAAGTTTTGTATGTACCATATGTATTATATATTAGTAATAGGAACGAAAAACAATAAGAAACAACTGAGTTTTGTACGCTGTTCCGGGTGCCATAGTAACAAAAGCTCTACCCAAATCACCATCGGCCCAACTTAACGTCGTCGTAGTTCTTGGTACGCGAGCGTAGTCCACCGGGTTCAAATTTCCAGCGGCGTTGAGTCTGACTGGTTGGCAAACATCTTTTTTGTTGAACCAGTATCACATTCAAGAGAAAGTGCTTTCCTGATACTGTTCAATGCTTTGGTGACTGAAGGTGTATTGTTCTTTTCAAAGAATGAACCACGTTTACTTTCATGTTTGTACAGGACACGACGAGCTCCTTCATACTGCATTGTCCACACCTGGTCAAAGTTTGCAACCAGTCTACCATCTATCCGATGTTGCTCCACACACAAGGTTACAAAGGCCCTCACATTGGCAACCATGGGATGATCGTAGTCCAAGTGTTTTGATTGTTTGGTCACCGAACTTGTTCGGATCCCCAATCGGTTGCAAACTCGAGATGCACAAGACCTGGGCAGTCGAGATGATCATTGTCGTGATGGACCTGGGCAGTCGAGATGATCATTGTCGTGATGGTGTAAACCATGTGAGTGTGCACACAAAACGATGCACTTAGAATATTGTTCTCGACAATATATATATATGTGTGTGTATGTAAGCCCATATATATAATTAAATATACATATATATTCATTCATCCATTGTTTCTTTTTTTCCAAAAAAACATAGTTGCAAATCATCAGGCAAGGTTCCCCAGTGCAGTAGGTTGGGTGCTGATGTTGCAGGGCTGGAGTGTCTCTAACAACTTGCTCAATGCTGTCATTTCATCATCCTTTGCCATTCGCGCAACATCATCTCCAACATCTTCAGACTCAGCGATTGCGTTTTGTGCTTGCAAGATTTTCTTTTGTACTGTTTCCTGAACATCGGCCTGCAACTCTTCAATCTTTTCATTCCAAAGTTTCACCAAAAGTTTCAACGTTGATTCAACGAAATCGTAAGAAACTTCTTCGCCAGCCGCTAATCTGTCCATGATGATCGTATCCAGTGCTAGGGCTAGGCTTGGTGGTATCACGTGCAGCCCATCACTTTTGCTGAATTTCCCTCCATTCCACTTCTTTGTGGTAATGTTCAGAACATCACGCAGTGAGTTAGGAACTTCAGAATGCTTTTTTGCAATCTTTGGAGCGTATTTGACCAACAAATCCCAGTTTTGTTTTTTTCGATGTCCTCCCCAATGACTGTCCGTGAAACACCCCTGATATGCACCTTTCCTTCTGGCAGTAGAGAGGAAATGCTTCTCTTTGTACTTCACCGATGGATCTGCGCAAACACTCTCATACTCCTGAGATGGGATGGCAAATATGTCTCTATGCCATTCCATATTCTAAGTGCATCTCAAATCACCTCTACAGAAAGAAAAATCATATATATATATACATGGTTCCATGTTCCGTATTCCTGCCCCACCAAATGGTATAGATTACCATGTAGCACCCGGTACCATTATGTGTTGCAAGCTATTTGCAGCATTTCCAATGTTCAGCATCGTATATGCAAGCTATTTGCAACATTTCTGATGTTCATCTTCGACCTTCCATCTTCCACCTTCCACCCGACCCTTCCCACCCAACCACTCACTATGCCATTCCATATTCTAAGTGCATCCTAAATCACCTCTACAAAAAGAGAAATCATAAATATATATATATATGGTTCCATGCTCCGTATTCCTACCCCACCATATGGTATAAATTGCCATGTAGCACCCGATGCCATTCTGTTTAGCAAGCTATTTGCAACATTTCTGAGGTCCATCTTCGACCTTCCATCTTCCACCTTCCACCCCACCCTTCCCACCCAACCACCCCATCCCATCACAAAGGTGATGGGTTCAATACTATTGTTGGCTCATACACATTAACACAGCATGGAAAATAGGTTGGAAAGCTATATCTACATCATAAGGGTGACATATGTTATATATATATATATATATACATATACAATATATATATATATATATGCATGTATATTGGCAGTCGAGTTTCTTCAAACAACTTCATCTTGTCCCAAATGCTGATCACAGATTGTTTCCCATCTCGTGCAGTCTTCGCCTTCTCAGAATCATTTCCTTTTTTTCCTGGTGGATCTTGGTTGGAAGCAGTGACAATAGCCTCACAATCTTGAGGTGCTTGTTTTTTTGGACGTCCTGGTCCTTTCTTTCTATTGGATTCTCGTAATGACATCAAATCTTTGATATGTTGAGGTACTATCATCGCATCTGACTGCTTTGTTTTCCCTACACATCTGCGTTTGGGAGGTGGCAATGGCACCAAGGCTTCCTCTGATGAACTGATGCGTTTTGACAGTTGTGATGAGGCTACTATCGATTCACTTGATAGACTGATGCGTTTCTGTGGTCGGGATGATGCTGATGCTTCTGCTGGTGGACTGCTGTAAACACTTTCATCTCGTACATCATCATCATCAGAGCTACTCTTACGCTTGATACCCCGTTCACTCGATGATGCTGTAGACAAAGTCCCTTTAGCATCTGGTGTTTCGAAGAAATCAGGTTGAGAGCTTGAGTCATTTGGAGTAGTACCACTTTCGAAACCAGTTTGCAGAGCGTTTGTAGCGTTTCCATGTGATCCTGCGAGATTGATCCATCCCTGACCATGTACCAGAGACGCGATGATTTTGGCCTGCATACATGTAGAAGCGAAAGCGTTACCAGCAAGGTCTTGTGCTTTTGAAGCTTGTTCCCACATGCTTTGAACTGCCTCTTGGTTCTCAAAGTTGCATTTGAACAGTCCTTGTGCTGCCCACATCTCTTGTATGGTCACAAAACGTTGAAGCTGATTGCTGTAAATTTTGTGCGTAGGTCGCACACATGTAAGGACATTGGTTGCACTTTCACACTCTCTTGTTGACGAAGTTGACGTGTCTAGGAACACATTTTGGCAGTTTGCTTGTAAACATGCTTTTTCCAAAGCTTCCTGCAGTTTGTCATATTGTCGCCCCTCCAGCTGCTGATGTGGCAAAGTAGTGTCAAACACAGAATCAAACGGTAACAACACATCAGAAGCCATAGACTCCATGGTTGCTTTCATTTTTTGCGCAAAGGATTGGGAACATTGACCAGCATTGATGTCCGCTAATGCATACACCCGATTCCGTCTTTGAGGTAAGAGGTAGTCTTGTGCATCAATTTTGGAATGTTCAACAACATAGCCAAGTTCTCCCAGGTCTTTGGTCATGACCTGCAGGGAGAGGAAGGGAATATGACCATATTCTATGTGCATTAAAAACAATCCCTTTTATACATAAATATCTACAAAATAACAGATATCGAATGATAGAGAGATAAAGAGATACAGAATACAGACAAAAAATACAATACCTTCCTACTTTAGCTACACACATAAGACCGAAGAAATCATAGCACCATTTTCATATCTTGATTATTCCCCAATATCCATTCACATATTCTATGTGCATTAAGAACATTCCCTTTTGTATTTATAAGCATATAGATAAATACTATATATATATACCACTGTAATACAACATCTGAAGCCTGAATTTGATATGAATCTGAATCCCGTGGCCTCCATGGGGGATGGTTTCTTGTTCACTGCAAACATCACTCCCAATACGTTCTCGAAGAACAAAAGTGCAGGATTTGTAGAAGAAACAGCACCTTTTACTCCATGTTGGTATGTGTAGCCACTACTTCCTTCACCCGTACTGTAGCAGTGCTTGTAGGAAGACCGGTCGGCATTCTCCAAACTGATGCTTTTGCATGATGGACCAACAAATAGGATATCAACTTCAGCTGGCGCATTGTGGACACAACCACAGGTATCGCAATACCCTTTGCCATCTGCAAAAATACGAACATCGCTGAAAAGATGAAATGTTGGTTTTTCACCCTTGGCAGTGTGAGCATCAGCAATGAACTTCCTCTTGTAAGGTTCAATCTCAACGCTAAACTCATGACGCAGTTGAATATTTACCTGGAGATTTGAATATGGATCTCAAATAGCAACATGTGGAAAACATAAAGTTATACAACAAAGCTGTACATTCAAAAGAAAATCATGTTTGTATATATTTATACAGCTATGTATTGAAATAGTCGTTTATTTTACTACATGAAGGGAACTATATACATATTTATATATAAACCACTATGTTTTGGTAGGTTTTCCTTGAATTTAATCTTCTAAAAACATATATATGTAAAATCAGAAGCTCCACCGAGTTGCGTCGAAGAGCTGACCAAGAATTTGGAAGGTGCTTTTCATAACGCACACGCAAACATCAGTTCCTGAACATGTAGATCCCATAGTCACTGTGTGTCCATCGAGTTGTCGGAGTCTCTCACCAAGAATGTTCCTATCTTCTTCAGATAGTCTGTCAACGAAGTACTTGCATGTTTCACGTAGGTCAGGCTCAGGCACCTCTCTTTCGACAAAGGACTTCAACTTTGCAATGTTGACCCACGTGGCTTTGCCTCTACTACTGGGACCCTGTAGTGGTTGTTTCAGCTCAACGATATCCTCCAAAATCCATTGGTAAAGAGGCTTCTTGTTGTGCACAATTCGCTTGCGCCATGCTAACTTTTGTTCTTCAGAAGCAGTTTTAAATTCAGTGCATGTTCTAAGATCTGCAAAGTTGTTGATGATCTTGATCGTAACAAGCGTTGCTGTGCCAACGAGTTTGCCTTGCTGCCCACATTCCATGATGCCAATTGTAGAGTTGTCCTGCAGCTTGTGTTTCCAGTTGCATATCAAATGTCTTTGCTTGCAGGAAGAGGATTGTATCAAGCTTTGCCAAGTCTCTTCGTACAGCTTTAGCACAAAGCTTTCTGTTCCAGTTGAAACTGAACTTTCATCTTCAGATTCATTTTTCTTCTGGCTGTTGTTTGCTACTCCTTCCTCTTTTGGTATCATGGTTGTTGTTGCTTGCGCTGCATCTGGTGGCTTTTGCCATTGTCGCTCTGTGTGTTTTGCTTGCATGGCTTGTGGTGCATGCTTTGTCATTGATGGTGGTTGCGATGGTCGTGGTTTGAGTGTTGGTCGTTGTGACGGTCTTGGAGGTGGTGCTGGCTGTGTTGCAGTTGCAAGAGCATCTTTTGGCAAATAGTATGGAGATTGGCTTGGTTGTGGTGGATGTGGTGGTGCCGTTTGTGGTAGTTGTTGTGGCTGCAGTGCTGTGGATGCATGTTTCATCGGCATCGTTGCTGAAGATGTATCTGGAGTGAATCCAGAATGATCTGTTCTTTGTGAATCTTCACTTGGTGAGAATGAACGAACTCGTCCTTTGGACAACACTTTGTTCAGCCGTTCCATGATGCTCCCTTCCACGTTGTGTGTTTCTTGGTGGTCAGGTCTTATGAAAAAGAAACTGCTTGACAAATTTGTTCTTGCGTCTGTTGTGCTGATGTCTGACTGCTGTGCTGTCGGAAGTGCTCCTGGGCTGTGTGGCTTGTCATGATCGTCACGCCGGTCGTCGGTCTGATGTGCTTCGCATGCTTCTGCCTCTGCTGCTTGTGATTGCCCTTGTGCATGAACTGTGTTGGTGGGCTGCTGGTCAATGGTGCATGGTGGCTGCTGAGATGTCTGGTCAGTGTGATCGTTTTTGCTATCTTCTTTGGTTTGTTCTTCTGGTGGCTTGGCAATCTTCCCATATTCTATGTGCATCGCTTTGACCGGCTGGTCAGCTGGTGATGCTTGTGTTTCTGTTGCTGGAACTGGTGTTGCTGCTGGCTCTGCCGAAAGTGCTTGTGGGCTGTGTGGCTTGTCGTGACCGTCATGCTGGAGGTTGGTCTGATGTGCTTCGCATGCTTCTGCCTCTGCTGCTTGTGATGGCCCTTGTGCATGAACTGCGTTGGTGGGCTGCTGGTCAATGGTGCATGGTGGCTGCTGAGATGTCTGGTCAGTGTGATCGTTTTTGCTATCTTCTTTGGTTTGTTCTTCTGGTGGCTTGGCAATCTTCCCATATTCTATGTGCATCGCTTTGACCGGCTGGTCGGCTGGTGATGCTTGTGTTTCTGTTGCTGGAACTGGTGTTGCTGCTGGCTCTGCCGAAAGTGCTTGTAGGCTATGTGGCTTGTCGTGACCGTCATGCTGGAGGTTGGTCTGATGTGCTTCGCATGCTTCTGCCTCTGCTGCTTGTGATGGCCCTTGTGCATGAGCTGCGTTGGTGGGCTGCTGGTCAATGGTGCATGGTGGCTGCTGAGATGCTTGTTCTTCTGGTGGCTTGGCAATCTTCCCATATTCTATGTGCATCGCTTTGGCCTGCTGGTCAGCTGGTGATGATTGTGTTTCTGTTGCTGGTGCTGGTGTTGCTGCTGGCTCTGCCGGAAGTGCTTGTGGGCTATGTGGCTTGTCGTGACCGTCATGCTGGAGGTTGGTCTGATGTGCTTCGCATGCTTCTGCCTCTGCTGCTTGTGATGGCCCTTGTGCATGAACTGCGTTGGTGGGCTGCTGGTCAATGGTGCATGGTGGCTGCTGAGATGCATGGTCGGTGTGATCGTCTTTGCTATCTGTTTTGGTTTGTTCTTCTGGTGGCTTGGCAATCTTCACATATTCTATGTGCATCGCTTTGGCCTGCTGGTCAGCTGGTGATGCTTGTGTTTCTGTGGCTGGTGCTGGTGTTGATGCTGGCTCTGCGGAAAGTGCTTGTGGGCTATGTGGCTTGTCGTGACCGTCATGCTGGAGGTTGGTCTGATGTGCTTCACATGCTTCTGCCTCTGCTGCTTGTGATGGCCCTTGTGCATGAGCTGCGTTGGTGGGCTGCTGATCAATGGTGCATGGTGTCTGCTGATATGCTTGTTCTTCTGGTGGCTTGGCAATCTTCACATATTCTATGTGCATCGCTTTGGCCTGCTGGTCAGCTGGTGATGCTTGTGTTTCTGTGGCTGGTGCTGGTGTTGATGCTGGCTCTGCCGGAAGTGCTTGTGGGCTATGTGGCTTGTCGTGACCGTCATGCTGCAGGTTGGTCTGATGTGCTTCGCATGCTTCTGCCTCTGCTGCTTGTGATGGCCCTTGTGCATGAACTGCGTTGGTGGGCTGCTGCTCAATGGTGCATGGTGGCTGCTGAGATGCCTGGTCAGTGTCATTGTCTTTGTCTGTTTTGGTTTGTTCTCCTGATGGCATGGCTACGTGTCCGTTCTTTGTGTTACTTGCATCGACCTGCTTGTCAGGTGTCTCCGTGCTTGATGTGGCAACATCCTTGATGTTGAACAGTTTGTTGATGTTGGCTTGGTTGATTTCCTGTGATGGTGGTAATCTCCCTGTCAATGGCTTGAATTGGAATGTTTTGCCCTGGTAAGTCTTTGGATCGAAAAATGGTGGAACTGTTTGAGTTTCTGCACTTTCAGTTTCAGCTGGTACTTGGTCAGTGGAGGTAGTACATTCAGTTGGCACATCCACCCTCACATCAATCACAGCCGGTAGCCACACAGGTGCCACACACACAGTAGAGGTGCTTGGCATCAACATGTCGTAGTGCCCTGCCATGTGACCATCAAGTCCAGTGATAACTTGAAAATAGACATGAACATCAGGATGACGATCCACACCATATACTCCATCTTGTGGAAGATAGTTTTCATGGGAATCGGCAACCATTTGGAAAGCCTGGTCAGGGATATTAGTCTTCATCCACTAGTTGGTTCTAACAAACATTGTAGCTCATACCCCCAAATTTCGATCTGTATGCATATAGTATATATATATATATTTGGAGATGTTTGGAAAGATATACAACTCACCATATCATTTGTTTTTGTTTGTGTTTATATATCATTTTGATTACTTGTTTGCTCAAAAATCTTTATATATAGACATATTTGTTTATGTCGTTCAAATTCACATATATCTATATAGACATACTGATCCCAAATAGTCAAAACCTAAGCAAATAGTAAAGATTGTGATGCACTTAGAATATGTTGGTAGAACGAAAATCGACCAAATAAACAAAACAAAGTGCCTCGTTTGACATAGTGCAGCGAACAGCTAGATTCAACTTCTTTGCAACCGAAGCAATATGTGCAACGTCAACATATCCATGCTTGAATAGATTTGGATCTAAACCAGCATCCACTGCAAGTTGAAGTAAGTGTTTGGCAGCAGTCTCTTCTAGCTTCTCTTGTCGCTTGTTGATAGCCCAGCCATTCTCAGAACGTTCGATTCTGCAAAACCTTTCTGGCTGCAGACCAGCAAGAACACTCTGCCAAAAACAATAGCCATCTGGTGGTACAGCTTTTTTTTCAAAGCATTGTTTTTCCATACCTTGTTCGCTTGAAACTATTTTCCCAAGCTGGTTGCAAATAGCTTGTGACACCAAGAACGCTGCTTCGTCATCAAACGTAACCCCGAGCTGGTCAACTGGAATGACACGATAGTCAGCATTCTTGCGACGATTTTTTCCTTTGCTGTCTATTTCAACTCTAATGAACTTCTCACTTTCATCATGATCGTTGAACATCCAAGTCATCGGCTCGATAAATTTTCCGAATACAATCAACAGCACTGGTTTCTGAACACGAGCAAACACTTCCCGAACGGTTGCCACATGTTGCAGAGGACTATTGTCATCACCATCGGCAAATAGCACAAGTCCCATGGGTTGATATTCAAGGCTGTCCCACCGAGAATTAAGTTCTGGAGTATCAAGGGTGGTTGTAACATCAGTACCCAAAATCACATCGAGAACAAGATCGTTGTTTCCACCCAAAATTCCAATTTGTTGCTTGCGTACATACTTGTCCTTGCTTGCTAAAAGAGCTTGGGTAAGCCCCCGGTACATAGCGTATGGACAAGAAAGTAGATCAGGGCCATGCAACTTTGAATCCACCAGAAACTCCATGGTCACATCTCTTGTGTTGCTTAGGCTTTTGGGATTTTTTTCAGCAAAGGTTACAGCTATTTCATCCATGTTGGGGTGATGGGACGAGCTCAGTGCACTGAGCATGTCTTTGATGGCAACTGCATCCTCTCCGTTCTTGGCGATGTGCTTCATGGCACTCTTCAGGGAACCATCCTGCCGATAATGAGCTGATACGCATTAATATTCTATGTGCATCACATTGTAACCCTTTGGGCTTGCTCCTACACAAAGAAAATAAATGTATCCGTAAATAAAGTCCTTGAACATTAAAGTAATATAATATCTCTGGTGATGCAAATATATATCAAAACCACCACGGAACCTTTTTTTTTACAAAAAGACATTGGTGAACTATGATAAGAAGCACATAGTAATGTCCCATTGGTCCACATATCCTACATATTCCTACAGTCGTATCATATGTATATATATATATACATGCATAATGTATATATATATATATAGTTAGTGATCCTCAACCCGTCCTTGTTGGCAGTGTACATTTGCACCAACCAATCTGAAGCAGATTTGAACGACTTGCACGATCGTTCCAGCGTTTGGTGTGGTCCTTCAAATTTTGCGCAATAGCCAACACCTGTTCGTTTCACGGAAGAAACCTTCAAAAGTGCTGGTTCATGAATAGATTGGCACATACTTTCGATTATACCATCCTCCACATGTGTTGAAGAACCTTGAAACAGTCGATGCAACAACTGCTCACGCTGATTGCTGACGCTCTTCTTAAAGAAGCTGGAGTCAACCCCATGTGCAGTTAAGAGATTCTGTCGTAGAGTAGGCTTACGCGTCACCTTCTCAAACTCAGCCATAACGCAAAGGACATCCTTTTCAAATTTGGTGGCGGCCATCAACGCCATGGTTTGGTTTCCAAAGCATACAAACGTGAAGTTTCGCTTGGACTTGAATTCGGACATAGAAACTCTGACATGCTTCTGGAATATCGCAATGTTCTTGCTGATTTCAGTGTTCTTCGCCTGCAGATGAAATGTTTCCGTATTACCAAAACAACAGATTACAATGGATTTGTTGGCATTGTTGATGCACTTAGAATATGCTGGAAATAAAGAGCATACATCAAACTCATTCATCTGTTCCTCATAAAATAGCCCCAGCAGCATAGCCCCAATACGAACCGAAGTCGATACATATTAATTCTATATATATATATATATGTTGCTGATTTCAGCATTAGACCATATAAGCTCTCTTCCCAGGGATTTAAATATTTCCGTATTACCAAAACAACAAAATACAATGGATTTGTTGACAGTTGTGATGCACTTAGAATATGATGGGAAAGAACATATATACATCAAATTCGAGAGTGATGGCAATGCGTGTCCGGACGTGGTTCGACGCTGATACGCTGATACGCTGAGTAGCTGAAAAGGTTACAACCTTGCAACGGTAGTACGCTGATACGTTGTTACGCTGTTTACCCTGATACGCTGATACGCTCGTAATACGCTGCTGTACGCTGATACGCTGTTATGTTGGTACGCTGTTACGCTGATACGCTGTTACGCTGATACGCTGATACGTTGTTACGCTGATACGTTGTTACGCTAATACGCGGATACGCTGAAACGGTGTAACCGATGTGACCGATGTGACAGTGTGACTAATGTAACGGTGTAACCGGTGTAGCCGTTGTATCCGGTGTAACCGGTGCAACCAGTGTAACGGTGTACCCGGTGGAATGAGATATTTCCGTAGTACCAAAACAACAGATTACAATGGATTTGTTGACATGTGTGATGCACTTAGAATATGATGGGAAATAAGGAACATACATCAAACTCATCCAAATGGTCTCCATAAGATAGCACCAATGGCATAACCGCATAAATATACGAACCGAAGCCGATACGTATGAAATAGTTATTGTTGAGTTTATCGTTACACCATTTTACCTTTTCCCAGAGAATTAGATATTTCTGTATTACCAAAACAACAGATTACAATGGATTTGTTGACATTTGTGATGCACTTAGAATATGCTGAGAATTAAGGAACATATATCAAACTCATTCAAACTGTTCATCATTTCATAGTTCCAATGACATGAACACATAAATATAAGAACCGAAGCCGATACGTATGAAATAGTTATTGTTGTTGAGTTTATCGTTAGACCATTTTACCTTTTCCCAGAGAATGAGATATTTCCATATTACCAGAACAACAGTGGGAAATAAGGAACATACATCAAACTCATCCAAATGGTCTCCATAAGATAGCACCAATGGCATAACCGCATAAATATACGAACCGAAGCCGATACGTATGAAATAGTTATTGTTGAGTTTATCGTTAGACCATTTTACCTTTTCCCAGAGAATTAGATATTTCTGTATTACCAAAACAACAGATTACAATGGATTTGTTGACATTTGTGATGCACTTAGAATATGCTGAAAATTAAGGAACATATATCAAACTCATTCAAACTGTTCATCATTTCATAGTTCCAATGACATGAACACATAAATATATGAACCGAAGCCGATACGTATGAAATAGTTATTGTTGTTGAGTTTATCGTTAGACCATTTTACCTTTTCCCAGAGAATTAGATATTTCCATATTACCAGAACAACAGATTACAATGGATTTGTTGACAGTTGTGATGCACTTAGAATATGATGGGAAATAAGGAACATACATCAAACTCATCCAAATGGTCTCCATAAGATAGTACCAATGGCATAACCGCATAAATATACGAACCGAAGCCGATACGTATGAAATAGTTATTGTTGTTGAGTGTATCGTCAGACTATTTTACCTTTTTCCCAGAGAATTAAATATTTCTGTATTACCAAAACAACAGATTACAATGGATTTGTTGACATTTGTGATGCACTTAGAATATGAATACATAAATAGTTTTAATATGATCTGGTTCAAAACAAGAAGCTTTGTCATCGTCATTCTCCATAGTATCATCCTCGTCATCATCATCTTGAGGCGATTCGTTAGGAGGCGGCAAAGGAGGTTGTACTGCATGTGAACCCCTAGCACGCGCGACCTCCTGTGCAGAACCTGCTGCTGCAGCCTGCATGGGCAAATGATAATGAAAGTAATTGGTTTTGCACAAATGTAGTTTGTGTGCTTTGATTACACAACATTGTTCAATGTCAACAAATCGACTTATTAAATTAAAAACGTACAGTTGAATGATTGGATACATATATCACAAACGGTTAGTGTGTATATTCAAAATGAATCAAAACGATGCACTTAGAATATTTTTGTGTGTGTGCCTGCGTATTGTCCCTGAATCGCCGCATGTCATAGGATTCACGCGACTTCCCTTGTAGCATGTCGTAGTACTTGATCACACATCTAGCTTGTTCAGTGTTTTCACCAACACATTGCATGGTGCGATTGTAGCATTGGGTAATGATCTTCGTTGATACCGTAGAGAGATGCATTGATCGTTGCAAAGGTGAGTACCCTGCATCAGCAGGCCCCGGCTCCACACCCAGCGCATCATATGCATCCACCGCCGATAGAACATCGGCACATTGGTACCACCCCGGCATTGCTCAAACACAGCGTTTTGTATCCAAAAACATATACAAATGCATAAGTGTATAATTGTACAAATGCACCATGCATTTGAAGTTTGCAGGTAGTCAGAACTCATATTCATATACATTATACTTTCAAACATATTAATGGGTTTGACCCCGGTATGCTCACAATATCATGAACATATGGTGCATTTACCTATATAGAACACATAAAGTAGCAAACACTATGCGAATGTGTTGTCATTTTGTCATTCTTTCTGAAGTCTAAAGTAAACAGCGCGGACATCGCAATGCAACATGATGGTTTGATTCATGATCAACTCAGCACATCTTTACAAGGTTTATATTCTATGTGCATCGTCTGGGGCTATGCACTTAGAATATTATTTTCACCCAGGAAAAATCATGTAACTTTATGACGTTATCGAAAATACTAATAAATAATATTCTAAGTGCTAGCCCGGTACTATATATATATCCCCTTTCTAATCCCTTTCTATTCTTTTTCGTAGAAAAAGGGAGACCGTTCCATATAACATGATATAAGATGAAGAAATCTTCAGCCTACAGCTGATCTTGACTCGACTCCGTTCGCAATTTGGCAAAGAATCTGCTCACAGGTAACCCCCAAAGCGTCCTATCCAAAGGAGACAGAAAACCTCTCTGCCTCACGAGAGGACTATAGCAATATATAGCAATTAACAAAACATCAAGAGACTGCTTATCTACAGTATTCTACAGTGCTATTTGTGTAATCATAGCAATCATCTTTACAACCATCAGTCCATCAGGCTTATGGTAATTCAATGTAATTCATATATAGTTATAGCACATGATTTCCCCAATCACCACTTCCCACAGCACTATCAGTAGCGATTGCCTCTACCAAGCTGCGCAAGCTGGACATGGTGATGATGGCGTTGCAAGTCTCCCGCTGGGCACTCTGAGTTGTGCTCAGTCGTCTGGTCTTTGTGGTAGCAGCATACCTGGGGTCTGAGGGCCGCAAGATCTAGCACTGAATTTGGCAACGAGTCAAAATCTAGGGACGCCTAGGTACCCTAAAATAGTTGCCTAATTGATGTTTATTCCTCCAAGCTGGCAATAATAGGTGTTGACCCATCGCCATTTCTTCCTTCCATCTTCAGCCGTGCGTATCAATGCTGCATGTTCCTTCTGAGAGCCGAAACATGATTTCCCAGAAGTTCTTGAGGGAAATCTTTCAGGAAGGTGATTAAATTACATCTGCCAATCCCGAAAAGAATTCGGTTTTCCTGAGCATTGAATTTCCTTTAACCGTAACCCATCTTCAATCAATGTATTGATGACTTCAAGGGCGGTCAAGGAGCATGTTGACGCAGCTCGTGTCCTGTGTCACCGCGGCGCCAGAGGGGCAGCGCTTCATTCCGTCACCAATGCCGCAGGTCTCATTCGCGCCAATGCATTTGATCTCGGTGAGCTCAGCACACCATGTTCAATGGATTGGTTTAAGGGAACATTTACAGGAAAGCCCCATAGAAAAAATGGGAAAATCGATGGTTTCCGGTGTCGATTTTCCCCAACAAACCAATCCATTGACATGTGGGGCTAATCCCATACCCCAACCCTTTAGGGCACCTTCCAGAAAGCATGGTTTCGTAGGGATGAAAAAAAAAAACATATTAGGATGGGTCCAAAGTCATGGGGGTAACCCCAACTCATCCAAGTCATGGTCATCGGATGACCATGACTTGGTATTGAAACCCATGGTGACGACTGGGGATCCCCCATGACTTAAGAGATCACCCATATGGGTCCCCAAAAAGGATAAGCTACTAAACCAGTGTTTCTTGGGCATTCTTGGACCTGATTTAAAGGAAAAACATAAGCCGCAATGATCCATAAATTAAAATGAACCCCATTATAAATTATACATCGTGTTTTTGCTGCAAAAAGAAAAACGCTATCTCCTCGTTGCCGCAGGCTCAAAAAACCAACCTTGACCGATAGAGAGTGCAAGTATAACAGAAAAAGGCAACGACAGCCGAACGAGTTGCAGTCTCAGACTTGAAGTTTCCCTTGTCATCCAGGTTGATGAGAACGCAAGTCTGGTTGCCTTGCAGATGCACGAGGCACCAGTGTATTGGATTCCCCTGGATTAAGAGAGTGATGCTGGAAGAATGCCCGACCTGAAAGTAAAAACTCGCAGAGGGAAGTATGAACCAGCATCATTAAGAAGGTGCTCCCCATCGAAACATGGCCCCTCATATCACCAAAGTATCAAGCACAAATCGAAATGAGCCATGAAAAATACCCCTATCCCATCCCATTGGGTATCCCATTCATTGTGGATTATCACCCACAACAAACCAGTTAGGTTCATGAACCCCCCACAAGTTCACCAATCAACAGGGACTTTGGACTGCAATGCCTCAAACGGGTCTGTCTAGAGTCTAGATCTGGCATGTCTTGGAGTATACAACCAAGATTGCCAATTTTTGTATGCCCAGTAAATTTACATAAATTATTCACTATACCCCATTAGAACAATGATGAGTCACAACCTACACCAAAATGATGATTCCCCAGTCGATTTCGGGATTTTGTGTCAGTTCACCCTTTTTGGGTACCCATTTATGGTCCCCTATAGCTGGGCAGCTGCACACCTGCGAGGAGGGCTTCAGCTGCGCAGGGCGCTGGGCATCTCTTGTGCTGGAAGCTGGGGACACAGATCTTTCCCAGGGCCTCGCTGCGTTAGAAATCTTCGTTTTGGGAAAATGATCAAACACATGTCAACATATGGATGTTTCCCAAAATGGGGCTACCCCTTGATCGCTGGATATAGCTGGATGGTTGATTTCCATGGGAAAATCCATCTATAAAATTCTATAAATGGATGAGGACTGGGGGTACCCCTATTTCAGGAAACCTCCATGTCATAGAACTAAGATGACTTAAGATGACTTAAGATTACTTAAGATGACTTAAGATGACTTAAGATGACTTAAGATGACTTTGGGATTTGGGGAGGGAAACACAGATCGCCATATGAAGTAAGACATTTTTGCAGTTTCAAAAACTTGGACAGGGATGGTCCTCGCAGCAGCGCGTGAAAAGCAGGCTGCGTTTCTGCGACGAAACTTCAGAAACTTCAAAGCCAAGTGTCACATCTGAGTCTAAAGAACAAAGGTATAATGTGGTACACCATGTAAACTGCACACTGTAAACCCAATGCCATACTGCAAACCCAATCATAAACCATCGCCTAAATCAGTAATAAATGGGGGCTACAAACCATCCCTAAATGGTAGGTTTATGGCAGCCAGGCTTTCCCACACTGTCATGGCCATTGCCAGATTCAATCGCATTATATATGTATATACCGCTTGCTCGATGTACAGAAGATTCCCCACAAAAAAGTCTGGGTGAACTAACTATAATTAGTTCACTAACCTAAAAGCTTCGGCTATATTCGGTATCGGGATAATGATTCCCTTAATCCTAACATATCCTACCCTCTGGTAATTTAACATAGCTATTGAAAATGGCCATTAATAGTGGATTTTCCCATTAAAAATGGTGATTTTCCAGTTCGCTATGTTAAATTACCAGAGGGTAACCATCATCCAGTGAAGCGCAGTTGACTTCCCATCTGCGCCAAGTCACATCGTTGGGATCTGGGCAGCTAACCTTGGAGCAATGCTCCATGTTGGTTGACTCCCGAAAATTGGTGAAAAATCCCTGATTTTTGATCGGCTTAGTCCCCAATGTTTGTTGGGACAAGATCATGTTAAATGTTCAAACAATTGTGGCTTAAATACATGTTCAATTGCCCAATTTTCTGGGTGAAATATGGTGAACTCCCCAATGTTTTCTTGGTCAACTCCCCCACTTTTTGCTGAACTCCAGGCAACAGTGTTCTTTCCACAGGGACAGGCCGTTCCTTCCGTCACGCACTGGGTGGAAAAGCCACTGGGCTCGCCATCCTTGTCGAAGTCTGTCACCAAACACTCGGTCTCTGCGACCTGCAGAAAGAGGTGGATTCGTGTGGATTTCTATGGGGATTTCTAGGGGATTTGTGTGGATTTAATGAGATTTGACGGGATTTAATCTGGATTTCGTAGGATTTATATGGGATTTATGAGATTTAATAAGATTTAATAAGATTTAATAAGATTTAATAAGATTTAATAAGATTTAATAAGATTTAATGGGATTTTATGCCACAGACGGGATTTGATGGTGATGAAAGCAGCAAACGTGGGGATATGATGGGAATATAATGGAAATTACATGGGATTCAATGATATTGAATGTTGATTTGAACCATCAACAATCTGGATTCAATTGGATTTTTCATGCGATGTTAGTGCGATATACAACCAACTGTATGATATGAATTTCGTATTCAATGGATTAGTTTTTGGGGAATATCCCCAGCTGCATAAAAATGTTGTTGTTTAACCCCAAATATAGAGGAGCTTCCAGCGAATTTTCTGGGACATGAACATCATGCTCATCGAAAGCATCTCTGACTTGTGAACATATTATATCTGCCCCGCATGTAATCCAAGTGTTCATGTGGTTCAAGACCGAAAACTGCAGAGTACAAGGCAGCTACCCTCTGGTCATTCCACATAGCTTGGGGAAATTGCCCTTTTATAGATGATTTTTATAGATGAATTACCTATTAAACATGGTGATTTTCCATAGCTATGCTAAGTTGCCATAGGCTAAGCATCTTCAAAAAGCGTCCGGCCTTGCAAGGACAAACCAATTTCTTTTCCTCCAGTGGCAAGCACAAGTCGCTGTTGGCACACCTCGTGGCATCTACCAGCTCCCCATCTGGAGATGTCTCAGTTGTCAGTTGTCAGTTGGGTCAAAATTGGGTACCCTCTGGTAAACAAACAGTTCGCTATTGAAAATGGCACATTTATAGTTGATTGACCTATTAAAGATGGTGATTTTCCAGTTCGCCATGTTAGTTTATCAGAGGGTACCCCATGATACCCCCCTAGAAATGGATCATGAAAAATCAACAGCCATGAATACAATCTGGGCTCCTCCAAGGTGGAGTAATTTAAATCAACCCCCAGTGTCAAGTTGCTTCTCAGTGTTCTTGCCGCACTTGCAAATGTCGTCCTTGGGCACCTGCACAAAATCTCTGAGTCGCCCTTGAGATCAGCTGTGTTTTCACGCAATCTGACACGACATAGGCGTCCCAATCGTCCCATATCCCAGATCATAGTCCATGCTGCGAGTATATGTATAATGTTTGTTGCAATACCATGCAAGATCTACTAAAATGCTGCAAAATGTCTCACCGCATCTCGCTGTTTTGCACCTTGGTACCCCTAAATCATCTATTTGAGTAGGATTTTCCATGAAATAAACCATCCATTTATGGAAACCTCCACATCAACCTCCCATGGATTTTTCGGATTTTTTCAGGCGAAGGAACACATTTCTCTTGATCGCTGATGAAGGCCCCGTCTGCAGTGTAATCAGCTTCATAGCCTAGGCAGGTGGTCAGCCATAGCCTGCCGACATCGGTTCTCCACTGGAAAAAATGCCAGAAGCATCGAGTTGGAAGCTCTGAATCTGCCCTATCTTTGTGTGAAAACAATATACCCTCTGGTAAACAGCCACATAACTATGGAAAATCACCATGTTTAATGGGAAAACTCACTATAAATGGTCATTTTCAATAGCTTTTTGTATGTTTACCAGAGGGTAAGTTCAATAAACAATAGCTGTGTATCCATTGATTTGATGTTTGATCCTTTCCTGAGTTCCATCATGTTTCACAGTGCTGTGCCAATCTCATGGACGCATTGAGAACCTGGATTACAGTGTATAGGTGAATATCTAAATATATATATAATATATATATACATAATACATCATAATACATGCTTATGTGAAACTTATGCGTATATGTGTACCAAACAGATATGATTTTGCAGGCATAGTGTGTACAATATATTCAGATTTACATATAGCATGTATCATGGTGTGTAACACGAATATAATAAGTCTACACACGCTTTCCGGTCCGCCAGACTATTGCTCATGTGGGGGCTTCCATAAATGGGGGATCCCCAAAATGGATGGTTTATACTGAAAAATCCTACTAAAATTAAAATTTAGGGGTACCCCATGACTTAGGAAACCTCCTAAAGTGGCTTAGCCAAGCAGCACTTCTTCTCATTCGCAGCACACTCTTTGGCACAGCCTTCGTCTTTAAAAATGCACCCCTCCTTCGGACAGCGCGAAGCTTCTTTGCCGCCTGAGAGGAAAAAACACAGTGGGGAGAACACAGGCGGGCAAAAAAGCTGGGAAATCATGTTCGAGAGCATTTGAGATATTTGAGTTTGCAAGCACCGTGTAAATTATACCCTCATATACCCTCCAATCATCGTCAACTTTTCTCATTCCATGATATTTCCATGACCCAACGATTTTTTGTCATCCACCATCACTGAGCCCCCCGGCAGGGACATTGATCATGGCTTGCAGCGCATTTCACGGAAGGTTGCACCAAACCCAAGGAGGTGCCATTGGGCAGGTAGTCTTCAACCAAGTCGCAGGCCACCTGTCCCTTGGCGTTGGCTGTGTGGCTGCTAGTTTTTGTGATGTGTTTTTTTTCAGAAGGATGGCAGGCTACCAGTTCAAAATGGTCATGAACTAATCCTCAATGCTTACTTTGATATCAACCCAATGATGTTTCTGCAATGATGAGAATCTGCGAAAATCGTCCAAACTTCACTATCGGATTCTGAAGATCTCCCGAGGTTGTCAGCTCCATCCATCGGAGCTAACACCACGTCGGTTTTGGGGGGTAACATCACTCAACACACCAAGGCCCTAAAAAGTACCAAGGCTGCAAAACGATGCTTCCCCAAATAGAAATCATGTTTTATCCACAGGAAGACTTCCACTTGAAGCTTTTTTGATCTTTTTTGAATCACCCCTAGTCCATCCGGTGACCAACGGCGTACGCCCTCGCAGCTCGTACCAAGCTGCATCTGCGCAATCGGATGGGTAATATCCATTGTGCTTTGGCAAGCATTCCGTCCAGGATCCCCACAGCCTGAGAAGCAACATGTTTCTTATGGTATCATTCCTCCTTTCACAACAAGAATGGTTACGTGCTTCAATTCTGTTGGATTTGCACTTGTGTAGAATGATACCACTGCAAACTTCAATCCCTCACATTGGTCATTACCTTTGCCGCAATCCAAAGTCATAAAGAAACAAGCAGCGGATCAGTCCAAGTGCAAGAGAATGCATTTTGCCCCTTGCTGCAATCGCATGCTTGGCCCTTCGCAACACATTCCTCCTGCGCAAGTGCAAAACCTTGCAAAGTCGCAAACTGGCCACAACCCCGTGCGTAATGCGTCCATACATGTCCATACATTCGTCCCCAGCCGTGGCCTATTCTCTCTGATCTCTATGCTGGGGTTGGATGCATCAAATACATATCAAATACACCATGATGCGTACTTTATCATACTGTATCTCATGAGTTGCAGCCAGTTTCAAGATGTTTCAAGCATCCAACGCCCCAATTTGGGCCGCCGCACCGTGGTTTTGATCCAGTTGCCCTTGGCGTCGTAGCTGGGAATGTAGCAGTAATCCTGGTCGTCCTTGCAATAGACTGGGCACTTCATTGGCTCGTTGGACCTCGTTGCAACACGTTTTGCATCGGCTTGATCAAAGTATGGTGAAAAAATGGCTATGGGCTATGGGTTAAAACCCTGGTACCCTCTGGTAAACTAACATAGCTATGGAAAATCACTATTTTTAATGGGTAAATCCACTATAAATGGTGATTTTCAATAGCTATGTTAGTTTACCAGAGGGTACCTTGTGAGCCTCAAAATAGCTGGTAAATGGATGTTCATCCCACTCAAATTGATAATCATGGGGTTTTGATTCACTTGCATACATGACATGTGTCCCTATTTATATGGAGTATAAGTATAAGAATTCCCAACCAGCATGTATAACTCCCAATTCACAACAACAAAGGTATATAACTTTCATGGCTCATGAAACACCAAGTCGAAAATCGGTCCAAGCAGCCAGAAGTCTGCCAAGGGATAGCAGAAATTCTCGTTGAAGAGTGGGTCGTGGCATTCTTGAGAATTTGTTCCGCAGGGGCATGACCTCGCCTGCGCCAGAACATGAAACATCCCAGCATGGTTTTTTCCGAGAAAAACAGCTCAGATTCTACCGCCAGCATGGGAATCAGACGTTACGGTATACGGTGAGTAGTTCAAGCAAAGGCACATTTGAAGGAATCCTGTCACACAGCGGCCTGGCCTGTTGTGTAGCTTGTCCCAGCAAATTGCGTTCAGAGTTTTTTTGAAACAACTCATGGCCAAATCACTACCAGTCAAATCAAAGGAAAATCAGTGCTAGTGAAAGCCGTTAAGATCCGTTACCCTCTGGTAAACTAACATAACTATGGAAAATCACCATTTTAAATAGGTAAATCAACTATAAATGGGCCATTTTCAATTAGCTATGTTAAATATTGTTAAATTACCAGAGGGTAAGATCCGTTAAGGACTTTTGAAACTAGAATCTCCCCACCCTGACGTTGGATTATACATTGCTTGATGATTCGAGGTGGATATACCCTCTGGTGATGGATTTCACGTAGCCAAATGTAAAAAGTCCACCACTTTTCATAGCTAAATCATCATGAATCATCCATACATGAGCCTAATGAGCCATTGTCCATAGCTATGTTAAATAACCAGAGGGTAATCCCAACCATCCCTTAAATATACCCATATGAATCACATTAAAGGTGCTCGAACAGTGGAGTGGTGGCTGTAAAATGTTGTAAGCTTCGGGGAGGGTACAGAGGAACGGAGGTTCCAGCAGCTGCAAAACGTGGGACAAAGGAATGGGCACCATAGAAAAATATTGATTTCATTCGCCATACCTTTTTTGGAGTAAATAGAATAAATAAAGGAAATAAAGTAAATGGATGTGATGGAATTCTTTTGATCAAAGTCAAATATGTGCCTTGTTTCGTCTTTTTTCCCATATTGATTGAAGTAGAACATGAGCTGGGCGAAACTGTCAATCCTTTAGAGTCCTTGCTTCCCATCGCTTCCCATGAAGGGGTTGCGCCCGTACCTCTGACACGCAGCGTTCAGAGTACTTCTCGGGATAGCCAGACGCGTTGTAGTCAGTCACATAACCTCAAGCACCGTTCTTTCCCATAGCAGTTCGCACATGTTCAGCCATGCATGCTGTGCCATGCACCTACCCATTAGTGGGCACCAGACAAATCCACGGTGACTGGGGTGGGTATGTTGCTGCATGTTACACTACGGACTAGACTTTGGAACTCAAATGAAAGCAAATTCTGGAAAAAGAACACGCACAGACACACACCATGTTCAAATCATGATACTATGATATAATTTGTCTAAGTCTCTATCATCAGGGTTATTCATATTCATACTCATTTCATAGTCATTTCTTTGCAAATCACCAAGGAACACCTCTTTTGATCTGAAGTGCAGGTGACTGGGCATGACTCCGTTTTCGGATAGCACCACTCCTGGCGAGGCTAAAAGCTTCACGAAGGGTCACCATGGACGAAAATTCTTGGAGATGCCAATCAAACATGAGAACAAAAACCATCAACAACTGGGTTATACGATGTTCAATATATATATATGTATATGTATATATATATACATATGTATATATATATATTCATATATATGTATATATATACGTATATATAATTATATATACCTATATATATATACACATATATATACACATATATATATACATATACATATATATATATGTAAATATATATATACATATATATATACATAGATATATGTATATGTATACATACACTAATTATAAATTATAAATATACATACATTAGGCAGTGCCTTGGCCTCTTTGTCGGCGAGAAGCTATTTCTTAAATAAACCCAGTTTACAGAAACTATCTCCTAAATCAACCCCAAGCTGGGAAACTTTTTGAAACTATTTCTGGATTTTACTGAAATGGCAAATAAAGACGCCAACGCACTCCACAATACATACATGGGTAGACTCCATTCAAGAGTTCATTACAGTGTTTTAGAACGATGAGGCTTCAGGAATACACAAGAGTTTTTTGCTGTGTTTTATAGAGGTGTACGTTTCATAGAATCGCACTTTTCATAGAAGTTTTGCACGTTTCATAGAAGTTATGCACGTTTATAGGAGTATTGCACGTTTCATAGGAGTTGCGCATGTTTCACAAGCCACCTAATAACGTGTTGTTCAACTGCATCCCAACTTGGAACTCTTAAACCACAAGAAACGACGAACTCTTAAACGAAGTATACCAACTTACATAATATATATATATATACACTGTATATAATATATATATATACACGTATCTATATGTATTTATATATATAATGACTTCTCACACTCAGCTCCTTGCCAATTGGCCAAATGAATCACAGCTCATGCACAGCCCACGCGCGTTGCTCATTTTTCAAGTGACCAATTCCTACTAAAGTTGGCTGATTGGCAGTGACCTACTAAACTTATTGAGCTGGCAGAGTTCGATATTTTTTCTTTATATGTTTAATTCAATATGTTCACATGTGACATGTATATCATTAATATTCATTAAACATATTAAACAAAACATATCAAACTCTGTCGGCTTCTCAGTTTTGACAGCAACATCATTGGTGCCCATCATTGCCCATCCCTGCCTCTTCGTAGCCCCAATCATCTGTCCATTTGCACATGTGGGCGTTTGCACCACATGGACATGTCGCATTCAACTTCGCACAGCTTTCTTCGACAGGCGCTTCCCAGTCCTCAGCCGCCACTACGCAGCAGCTCAGCATCTGCGGCTAACAAACTGCACCAGCCAGCACTCCAGGTATTTACAGAATCATGTTTTGTCTCATACTATTTGAGTCTATTTGAGGATCCATTTCATAGGACTCAGTAATTTATGTATATAATTAATTTTGACCACTCCCACTCCACCAACATTTGATCGGATTGGATAGAAAGTAGTTGCTTAGAGTTGTTCTAAGGCATTTGGTCAACTGACCTCCGGCCATTGGTTGCCACCGGGAATCATATAGACCTGCGATGTGTGTCGACTCTGTCGACTGGATACAAGAAATCGACTGAATCTTAGCTTTGTTACTGATGTAAAGACAACCAAACCCACTTGCAAGCAGTTTTGGGATGTGTTGGGTACAGTGATTACTGTCATATGGATTCGGATGATGAAGAGTCGGTCTGTTTGTCAAAAGGTTTCAAAGCAGCTCGCCAAATGAAGAACGAATATGAACTAATATCATCGCTATCACGACTCATGCCCTCAAATGCAGAAGAAATAAGCTTTGCCAAATATCCGCAGAAAAGTAACATGGTTGAGAGCAGGACAGCTGTTTGTCTTCGAATACCACTGAATTACTTGGATTCCTGAAGTCTCAAGCAAATCCCTCTAACATCCCGTCAACATCGAATTGGCACAAACAATCACAAAAATCTGTCGTCCTTCAGTCGTGTAAGACATCGGATAGCAGTACTTCTCGTCCGCTGCGCAAACCACTGGACAGCCGTAGAAGGTTGACTCACAATACGACCATCCATCAAAGGTGCCTCAATTCTCAGGCGGCTGTTCAGAACTTACACCAGGACATATTGGTTTGTTTGAAAATGGCATATGATATATACATTATATCTATCCCCGAAATGGTCATGTTGATAGGGAAAATATGGGAAGATGATGATAACAAGTGGATTTACGGGTACCCTATTGACTATTTTCAGAACAACCCATATTGAATCATATTGAATGATGGAGAAATATATAGAATACGTCTTCGTGTTTACGTGTTTTCAGCTTTGAATAAAAGCGTTGCTGCAACGAAAAGGCTGCATGCTTCCTTGAAAACATGCGAACCTGCAGCCATGGAGGAAAGGAATGCAAAACAGCCATGGACGATATATGGCTATCCCATGCTATCCCTGGATCTCCCGAACAGCGAAGCAGAAGCAACCAGCCACCGCAAGGGCCCAAGGTACACTTCTGAGTGTTGTCACCGCACGGGCAGTCCTCGTTCTTGGGCGCACATTGGTCTTTGCCGCTCAAGTAATTTCCTGGCAAGGTTCGTTCAGAACATAATTCACAAAACTACGTACCTAGACCCTCCAAGTACCTGGAAAAATGATGAAACATGTGGTAAAAGTTTAACAGATCCATTTTTGGCACTGGACATCACTGGACCAATTTTCATGTGTACTTGGAAAGTCGAAGTAAGACGAGAGAAGATGAAATAAGACATTTAACAGAATTTGAAACGCTGCACTGTCCACCGCCCATCTACAAAAAGGCGTCAGTATCAATGTCGCTCAAGTTCGAATCTCACGGACTTTGAGTTGAAAGCTGCGCCTGAGGTGTCATAGTTTGCCACCCAGCACGTCTGTTGTTCAGATGTGCAAACCTCTGGGCATTCGTCCTTGGTAATTAGTCATGATGACTTTGCGAAAATGCATCCAGGCTTCAAATTCTCTGTGAGGATCAAAATATGTTCAGATATGTTAAGATCCCTTTTGGAAACTGCATCAATGTTTACCCCCAAAAAATCTATGTAGTTAAACCTACCATTGGAACCGAAACCCTTCGAAAAGTGAAGGCCCAACCAAAAAGCCGAGGTTTATGAAAAAAACCTAGGTTTTCCAAAATCTCAGATTTCTTGAATTTGGATACAAACCGCTGTGACATGCAAAATCTGACTCTGGCACCTCATACCCCCATCTTTGCCCTCAGACCACCACTCACGCACTTTTTCTACTTGAATTACCCCTTCAAGTAGCCAGCTTCATGCCAGTGCGCATATGAGATTGAAAGTGTGCGTTCGATGACACGTTGCACCACAGTGGCCGGCGCAACACGTCTCGCCAACCTGCTCTTCTTCCCAATATAATCTTCATCCACCTGGACAGCCCAGGCCAAACAATTCATAGAAGTTGTCTGAGCCTGAACAAGGTCTGCAAATAGGTGGTGCAGTATGTGGCTTTTTGGCATGTACCCATAGAAAGATGTGTTCTGATCGTAGCTGATTTTGGCAAGCTCCTGGTACAAGCAGAGGAAGCGCATGCCCAGCTGTCCGATGGCTTGACACTTGGCAGGTTTCAGCCAAAGGTCACTGGCATAGAGCATGTGCAAGCAGCGGTTGATGCAAACAGTAGCCTCATGAGATTTGCGCAAAAGCAAATCCCCTGCTATGTTATTCACAGCAAACCATCGCTCCAAGAAATGGCAGAAGGCAGTGGTTGTGTGGCCTTTGTGCCATTGGCCGTTTGGATATGTCTTCCGGTCAGGCCATCCCACCAGCGCGGTGGTAATGGCAGTGATGTATGGAGCGGTCCGTTCCTCGTCACAGAACTGAAGGTACAAGTCCGTCAAGTGAGCGAACCGCGCATCCACTGCACCACCAGGAAGCCGGTCGCTGATCAATGCAAAAACACTGGCAACGAAGCTCTTCCCCATTCCCAAATGGAAGCAATGCCACAAATCAAAATAGAAGAACGCAGCAGGTTTTGAAGGATCATGTGGGATATCCAAGAACACTGGTCGAGTGCTCCATGGCTGATCACCCTGCAGAAACATAGTTCCCCTGTGCGCTGCATTCATGGACATGTCCTCAAAGTCAAAGCCTCGCCTTCCGGCGTGACACCAGTGACAAATCCCTTTTGGGACCGAGGCAGCGGTCCAAGGTCTTTTCTGTACCGTGGAAAAGCTGCGTTCCAAGTTGGCCGCCTTGGCCAGCCACATCCAATCTCCCACGATGTTCAAGCAGGCCGCCCAGACACGGCCCCCGTGCTTGCTTTCCACGCCCTGCTCAATCATTGAGACACAATCTGCAGCCATAAACGAACACAAGTCTTTGAAGGCTTGTTCGTCCTTGACCATCTTGGGAAGGCACCCGGTCAGCATCCGATGTATGTGGGTGCTGCCACAATAATTGAGGCGGAGGGAAAGGTATGGACGACGGGCACGTGTGCTGTTGGCTAAGTCTGTTCCAAAGCCCAGGCAACTGTGATAGGCAGTTATTAAAAAGGGCGACTTCTTCCTGCCACGCCCTTCATCTCCATGACAGAGAATCGGAAGGCATTTGCTGAGGTCCACCGAATTCTCTTCTACAACCTGCCACAGCATGTGCTGTGGGTTGGCTGCCTTGTATAGCCTCCAAAATTCTGTCAGGATTGCACGCTCGCGTGCTTCATCGGGATGGTGAAGGCCAAGCATGACATGCCAAACATTGAAATTTGTCAAAAATTCAATCCAGCTGCGCAGGCTGATCACTTTGAAACTGCCCATATAGCGAACTCCCGGGCTCTTTTTGAGCTCTGAGATTTGCACAGGCAGGCGGATCTTGTACTGCCGTGAAAGCACCTCCACATCACGCTCACTATGGCTCTCAGAGCAGTGTGAGAGACGCACCAAGCCATTGCTTTTTGCTGCGCTGACCTCCCCGATGTCACTCACAACGGCCTTCGCTGCTCGGATTGCTGAGCGGCAAGTCGATGCCTCAGGACCGGCAAAGGTTCACTGAAGTCTGAACACTTTGGCACACGCCACCATCAGTGAGTGCTTTTCAATGCTTCAAATGCATGCAGCTGTTCTATATATATAGTGCATGGCTCGGATTCTTGGGTCAATGCAACACGGCAACCCTAGCCTGCCCTGCAACTCTCAGTTTTTACCATGCCCTCAACTTTGAATCACACGCCTATATACATGGCCAAAGATGTTTTGTACAAAGGCCACCCGCCGCATGCCGAACATTTGGGTACAGCTCATATATATATATATATATCACTTCATGTCACAGCGGTTTGAATTTGAATGATCTGTACACCAGGTAGCACATAAAAACACCTTCTAAGTCAGTGTTCACAGTGTCTCCTCCCAAGCGAATGTTTTTGCAGCCACGCTTACCCGGGAGCAAGGGAGTGGGTGAGCACTGCGCCAGTTCGACTGCAGGACCTTTGGGTTCAGCAGCCTGAGAAATTTTGGTAAGTATAAAACTTGCCAATATATATATACACACATGTGTCACATCTGCATACATAAATTTGAAACCTTATCTGGTGTATACCTGTAAAAAATGGTGAATACGTTCTGCAGGCTTTGGCCTTGCGTATACAGCTGGAAGCGATGGACCCATGTGTATATCACGTCAATAGAATGTCGCAATGTGTGTGCGTGTACATGTGTGTACATATATAGACAAATGGATGCGTATACTCTTAAAAAATGTTGTTTGATTGTAATGATTGCATCTATACCTGTGTGCATGTGTGGTTTTAACTTTGACCATTGCACGGCGTACCACCCGGCATGAACCATGAAAAATCATCAGCCCAGATGCTAGAAAATTTCTCAATCAATGCCGCTTCCAGCATCGCTGGTCCAAAAGGTTGATCACAAACATACAGCACCATCATGTTTGACCACTTCTCTCGAGCATGGGCATATCCGTACAAAGTGTTTGACCATCGCCAACAGGGATTGTGCGTGTAGCCAATTTTGAATATCAAAGGATCCCATTTTTGGAACGTTCGTTCGATCACTGAAATGGAATGTTGCAGCACCATCCCAGAAAGAGCATTTGGGGGCGGCAAATCAAAAGCCAAACATGAACTCATAGCGGCTGCCTCACTTGCAATGGTGAGGAGGCTCGGGTTGGATTGGAGTTTGGATGGCAGGGAGGCCACCCACTTAGCCAAGGGAATGGAAGGCTCAACATGTCCTCGGCAGGCAGTCAGCATCTGATGAGCGCGGCCCCAAATCTAACGCCCATGGGAAAGGGCCTTCGGCTTCCTGGGCAGGAGGATGGGAGACAGCCGGTGAACATCTAACCGGACCATTGGAGGCACTAGATCATTCCAACCAAATGCAGTCAGGTGTCAGAACGGTGGCATGTCAGTAAATCCAACAGCCAGTCATCAGAAGTTTCATCATCCATTGCAAGGCGGCGAACAGTGTTGTGCCATTCTGTAGGCTATATAGTGATATATGGATTTCATATTTTTGTATATAGCTATATATTTCATTCCCCACCTGCCAGGTGAGGGTTGTTAGATTTTATCAGGGCGCATGCCCGCCACTTCCTCCTCCTCCGCCTCCTCCTTCTCCTCCTCCTCCTCGACTAGCTGTCCTCCTCGCCCTCCTCCTCGCCTCCGCCTCTTCCACCTCCACTTCCGCCTTGCCAACCTTGCCAAGCTCAGTGCGCACTGCTGGACCTCAACCGGGGACCTTCCCAGCTCAGTGTGCACCGCTGGACCTCAACCTGCGAGCTGCCCAGCTCAGTGTGCACCGCTGGACCTCAACCGGGGACCTGCCCAGCTCAGTGTGCACCGCTGGACCTCAACCTGGGACCTGCCCAGCTCAGTGTGCACCGCTGGACCTCAACGGCCAGATAGAATGCCAGAAGATATGCCAGATGGAATGTCAGAAAGAATGCCAGAAGATATGCCAGAGAAAATGCCATGAGATATGCCAGATAGAATGCCAGAAGGTATGCCAAAAGGTATGCCAGATAAAATGTCAGATAGAATGCCACAAGATATGCCAGATAGAATCCCAGAAGATTTGCCAGATAATATGCCAGCAGATATGCCAGATAGAATGCCAGAAGGTATGCCAGGTAGAATGCCAGAAGATATGCCAGACAGAATGCCAGAAGATATGCCAGATAAAATGCCAGAAGATATGCCAGATAGAATGCCAGAAGGTATGCCAGATAGAATGTCAGATAGAATGCCAGAAGGTATGCCAGATAAAGTGCCAGAATGTTTGCCAGAACATATGCCAGAAGATTTGCCAGATAGAATGCCAGATAGAATGTCAGAAGATATGCCAGAAGATATGCCAGATAGAGTGCCAGAAGATATGCCGGAACAGATTGCAGAAGATATGCCACGTAGAATGCCAGAAGATATGCCAGATAGAATGCCAGAAGATATGCCAGATAAAATGCCAGAAGATATGTCAGATAGAATGCCAGAAGATTTGCCAGTAACAAAAGTATAGATGTCATGGTGGGGATAACTCGAAGTAAAGTAATTTATATCATGATACATATAAAGAAAATTTATATAGCTATATATACATATATATATATGTTACTACATGCATGCATGTATATATATATATTGGGTATTTACTCTCTTAACATCTGGCTGTGTATAGCTGCATATAAACCTTTGAATATATTTTTTGGGAAGCTTTTGGGTTGAAGCATCGTGAAAGAAACGTATATGACAATACTCGCATACACACCAGGTGGGGCATCAGACTATATATATAAGTATAAAAATTTGTAAAGGAAAGATACTTGCAAAGAACAAAAAATATGAGGCAATTATGGTACGCCCATTTGGAACATGATTTATACTGTTGTGTCCATCAAGTGTTGTTTTGAGAATATAATTCATGAGGAGTGAAACCCTGCCCATATATATGCACGTATACCCAAAGCCTAAATGGCAACGAAGTAGCCCCTTACATTTTGGGAGTTCAGGTCTTGAACTTTCAGCTGGTCATTCGGAAGCCAATAAACCTCATGAATTTTATCTTCAACTTTTGGTCATGTCCCACCGGTTCCGATCGGACTTGGACGCTGCAGTCTGAACACGGCTGAGGCAAAGACTCCATCACCGATGTCTTTGACGAATGCCTTCAATGCGTTTCCAGCACCTGGCCAATGAACGTGCGGAAAGTGGTTGCCCTTTGATGTGGGAAGAGAAGGGTCGGGATTCGCTGCTGAGAATTGTCAGCACTTTTCTGTCCAATCATATCTCACGATGATCAAATTTAGCCCCAAAGACATCGAAGCTGCTCTTGGTGCCAAACTCTCCCAAACCTTCCCAAAGCAACAAATGTTCCAAATCGACGCATTGACAACTTTGATCGAAATTGTCAAAATCATAAACTGAACATTGCATAGGAGAATTGACACCCCATAGCAAAACTGATTCAGACCACAGTTGGGCCTTTCTCCCGCAGGGTCTAGCCTGGATCGACCATTTGAATACCAGGTTCCCTGCAGGTTTGTTCGAAAGTGTTGGCATTCCAACAGTAACCGGATTGCGATATATGGATTGCTTCTGTTTGGCAGGCAATCCCTCCCACATGTGAATCAAACAAGATTCGCGGTGAAAACAGCTCACTTGGTTTTTTTCAACTTTGAGGATGCAGATCCGCTTCCATTCCCATCACGGCCACGTTTGCGCTTGTTATCCTTGGGTTTTTTTTCTGCTTTGTTCTTCTTGTCCTTTTTTGGCTTTTTGCCATCCGTCTCCTTATCCTTCTCCTTTTCCTCTTTCACCGGAACCTGCCCGTCCTTCTTCTCATACTTTTTCGCACTCCTGGTGAAGGGGTGGGTTGCACGCGTGTTTGGAGGGTGGCGGTTTGCCATGAGGCTCAGACCGAGTCTTTGCTTCAGCAGCACAGGCGGCTGAGCACCTGGGCGGCTGGTATACTATAGAACTCGTGGATGTGGGCTTTCAATGGTTCCCATTTGCAATTGCATATTTTCAAAAATATGAAAGATTCCTTGAAGTTATATTTGTCGGTCTGTTTTGAATTCAAAAAAAGAAACATTGTAGAGCTTGTGCATGCGATTCAGGTATGAGATCCGTACGCCAGGGTTGCAGTGTTCATGGCAGCAGTGGCTTTCGGTAGGAACCTCACAGATTAGGGATATCAGAATGAAACAAATTGAAATCTATATCAAATACTCAAAATTCAAAGCTATATAAAACTTAATCAAACGAAAGACCATCCATGCAGAGGCAAAACATATCAAAACGCATCCGAAACCATAAGACTAGTAACTCTTTCGGGAACCCACTGACTTCTCCGTTGGCCATCACTTCATTGCAAATATCATACTGGGCATCCAGTTTCTGGACCTGATCCTCCAAAGCCTTTTTCAGCCTCATGCGGGGCAGACCCATGACCATGTATACATGCAAACATGGTTTGCTGATGCATATAAATATATATATATATTACAAATTACATCGAAGCACCATCCATGTATGAACATTGCACATCAAAGAATGCATCAAAGAATGAGGGCAGGGCTTTTGCATTTGTTGGCTCTGGGTATAGCTTTCGCTGATCTCCCGTATGAGTTGTCTAATCTTTCCTGACTTTTGGATCATGGAATCCAGGAACTTTTTCATCTTCTCTTTGATCTGACCGGGGCAATCGACTGGTACCCGCAGGCTCACAAGACATACAAATCTCGAATATATATGAGTTTAATTTGGATGATCGTGTTCGATGTGAAATTTCTTATATGATTTCTCTTTATATATAAATATATATATAGATACATGCATTATATATGAACTGTCCAAAAGCAAGATGAACTAACATCAACGCCGTGTTTGTAATTCAAATGATGTGAAAACCCTTTTTAGGCCTCATCAACCTGATTTCCTCCACCACCAGCTGGGTTGGCAGTATCTGCAGCCAATCTGGCATCCATCTTTGCAAGGCCAGAGAAATCGGACGTCAGGCTTGGTTCCTCAGATGCCTGAGGATTCAAGGGTGCAGCTCATCAATCATATACACGGAAGCTACTCAGTCGAAAATATAGGTTTATGAAGTTTATGAAGCTTATATATATATATATATTGTATGTATGCAATATATAGTTTATGAAGTCGAATGGTCGCACGGTTCATTGTCAATCAAAGATTCGTGGAACCTTTCTGATGCACATACAAACCATTATGTTGTTTCACATTGCTTTGTTCACGTGGCTTTGGGCCTCCAGTGCAGTGTTTTTTTTCGGGTCTCTTCTTGGCTCTGCATCTCCTCCCTCGAACCTTTCTCCTTGATCACCACGTAGTACTCCTCGACATTGTCGTAGACGTTCTTCCTGCAGACTGCGGATACGACGTGATTATAGATCATTGATGCCCTTTCAATCCATGATATCCATGATGACATTTTTTGGACTTATATTATATACATGCATGATTATCTACATATATATATATAAAAGTTGTTGAATAACTGTTTGGCTCTGGGAAAGAAAAACGCCGACAGAAAATCCTAATGAAACTCCTGACGTGAGTTGCTTCCTTGCTCATGCAAGCCTTCTTGGCACCATTAATCCTCACCCTTAGAACACAAAATGGAGATCAGCGAATGAAACTGCATCGATCATTATATAAATATGCAAATTTGCGTTATACGAAGCTTGACCCATCAATATCAAAGCAAAGTCTTGGCACAAGTTTTAAGGACTGGACTGGTTCCATCCATAATCTTCCTTCATTTCCCTCTCACTCAACCACTCTTCATCGATGGTAACTTTTTGGGTGGACTTCTTCTTGATGACGATTTCCAGCTGAGAGACAAATCGAGCCTCCCCAAACAGAAATCAACATATACGATTCCTTCATGCATGTTCACGCATATCAACTGCATAGGGGACATGTATATATACAACATATAGTTGATCACCTGATGTACACGATATATAACATGTAAGTAGCAACATGGCACGATGCGTACAGAGAGCTGAGCTGACCTGGCCTTGTCAAAGTTGCAACTCATGAGTAACGCAGCGGTTTCGTTCTTAGGTCGTTTGTGGTATTCGTCAATTACCCATTGGGGTACGTTGAGATCTGTTCTCTTTTTCTTCATGGTACACATCCTCCTCACTTGGGCTTTGGCAGCATTCCGCAAAAGCTCCTGGCCATTTCCCCCCGAAGATGCCGAAGCATGTTTTATACCGATTCCAACATATATATATATTTGTGAAGGAATATATATATATATAAAGATTATAAAAGGATCCATTGATGCATAACATGCCAAGATCGGTTCACACCCATTGAGGTCACAATGTTTCTCCTGACGTGTTTGCTTTGGAGGCTTGGCCACCAAAGCGGATGGGGCACCGGGTTTGACAGAAGGAGTTTCCACTTCACCCCCAGCCGCCACACGAGAGGGCGTAGGAACTGGCCGTGGCAAGGTCTCCTGAAACGAATCATTGATCATGGGATCACTTTGTTTTGTGTTTTGAAATTTGAAACACTTCGCTCCACAATCAATCTTCTGATACCAAAATATGCCAAGAATGCACGCATGGACTCCTGTGTATGTGCACCAGTTTCAGCTGGTGATGGTTTCGGTTCATCACCAGGCTTTGCCTCACCCACTGGAAGGGTAGCGGGGGAAGTCGAAGGAAGCAATGCCATTTCCAGCTGAGTATCTGTAGCCTGTCACGCTGGGATTGAGGGTGAATGCAAGGGAAACTTTATTGAACCCGATGATTTGAACCCATTTATATATATATATGAACCCATATATGGACTGTATAGGGCGATCCCTGGATGATCTTCAATCTATATATATATATATTTATATCAAACACCAACAGTCCAGCTGCAATCCCTGAAGGCCAAGCCTGCAGCGTCTCTGCTGTGGACAAGTCCATGTCCGGAGCTTCAGCTTCGGGTCCACTTTGGGCTGTCACGGCATCCTGGGGATACAGACTGGGTAAATATATGATTTGGTGATGAGCAAAAATACACATCGAAAGGTTTGCACATATGTTTGGACATGTTTGGTATATATAAATCAGATCTATGCAGCATATGGGCAAACATATATGCTTGGACCACTTATGATCACATAGATTGATCCATGTATATAGATGGATCTCGAGGTATATGTATATAGAGAGAGACGGGCGCATGGAAAGATATGGGTGGTTAGTTTTATGTATATATATATATGTGTGCATATAGTGCATATAACATCATGGTATATATAAAGATGCATGTGAAGATGCTGAGCCAATGGGCCTGGGCTGGCATCGATGGACTTTCAGCGACATGACCAGCAAGGGGGTCCATCTTCTCAAGGTCCTGGTGCGTGGACAAAACCCTGGATCCTTTGTGGGAACTTGGGTAACATTCCAAATCACACAACTCAATCAACAAAAAAATCGTTGAACATATGATTGGGTATCCTCAATTGTCTTCAGGAGCTCTGTTTCCTCTTCATCAGCTAATTTAGAAGCTTCAAGAAGATGCTGCACTCCATCTCCCAGGGTAGTGCAACTCCACATTCGGGAACTCTCAACGGCAGGCTGTCCAGACATGCCCCAGCTATATATGGAATCTATAATCCCAAAACCCCAAAACCCAACTATATACAATGGGCAGAACCACTTCCAAGTAGGAGCTGCGGATCGAACATTATGCGATTCAAATCCTTCCACTTCCATCAACACCAATAAATAGATTCGGTAAACTGAATTTGCGCATTTTCCGCATTGAGGTCATTTTTTTTCACGAGCACTTCAGAAATGCCATTCAAACATCGATAAGTGTGCAAATTCACCGCTGTGGCTGTGGAGCAAAAAACCCATATTTTTTTTACGGGTTTTTACGGGTTAATTACGGGTTTTTTACGGGTTAATTACGGGTTCCAAAAAGTGAGGTCCCAAAAGTGCGATTGAAAATACGGGTTTTGTACGGGATAAATACGGGTTTGTACGGGATAAATACGGGTTTTTTATAAAGAACCTTTCTTTTTTTTTACGAAAAACATAAAAAATCATAAAATTGCTATTAATTGAACTTATGTTCAATTGCCAAGGTCTAGGATTTGCAGATTTTCCGACTGGCTTGATAAGAATACTGGAAATCCTGGTATAAACATCGGTTTTATTGGTGAGTACCCCACAATCACAGCAATGGCTTTGGAACTAGGGATGCCCATTCACGTGGGATCACCATATGTCGGTTCTGGCGCAAATAATTAAAGACTTCAGTCAATTCGGCCCATTCCAGAGCCAGAAATTCATCAGGCATTTCCTGATATGAGACCATGGCGCTGGGAACCTCAGCAGGAGTTGGTGCCTGGCCATTCGGAGACGTAGTCAAGTGGTGGTAAAGGTCGATGATTTTGAAGCCGAACTTCACTGGATACTCCCTTAGGATACGGAAGCGGTTGGGCATAAAACATGGACCCGTATAGCTTATTCAAACCAAGTCCAAAAGATATATATATATATACATATATATATATATAATCAGAGATTCTGAGACTTCATGATTTATTCCCCACCTGCCAGGTGAGGGTTGTTAGATTTTATCAGAGCGCATGCCCGCCACTTCCTCCTCCTCCTCCGCCTCCTCCTTCTCCTCCTCCTCCTCGACTAGCTGTCCTCCTCGTCGCCAAGCTCTTCGCCGACTTCCAAGCTCAGTGCGCACTGCTGGACCTCAACCGGGGATCTTCCCAGCTCAGTGTGTGCACCGCTGGACCTCAACCTGCGAGCTGCCCAGCTCAGTGTGCACCGCTGGACCTCAACCGGGGACCTGCCCAGCTCAGTGTGCACCGCTGGACCTCAACCTGGGACCTGCCCAGCTCAGTGTGCACCGCTGGACCTCAACGGCCAGATAGAATGCCAGAAGATATGCCAGATGGAATGTCAGAAAGAATGCCAGAAGATATGCCAGAGAAAATGCCATGAGATATGCCAGATAGAATGCCAGAAGGTATGCCAAAAGGTATGCCAGATAAAATGTCAGATAGAATGCCACAAGATATGCCAGATAGAATCCCAGAAGATTTGCCAGATAATATGCCAGCAGATATGCCAGATAGAATGCCAGAAGGTATGCCAGGTAGAATGCCAGAAGATATGCCAGACAGAATGCCAGAAGATATGCCAGATAAAATGCCAGAAGATATGCCAGATAGAATGCCAGAAGGTATGCCAGATAGAATGTCAGATAGAATGCCAGAAGGTATGCCAGATAGAATGTCAGATAGAATGCCAGAAGGTATGCCAGATAAAGTGCCAGAATGTTTGCCAGAACATATGCCAGAAGATTTGCCAGATAGAATGCCAGATAGAATGTCAGAAGATATGCCAGAAGATATGCCAGATAGAGTGCCAGAAGATATGCCGGAGCAGATTGCAGAAGATATGCCTGGCAGAATGCCAGAAGATATGCCAGATAGAATGCCAGAAGATATGCCAGATAAAATGCCAGAAGATATGCCAGATAGAATGCCAGAAGATTTGCCAGTAACAAAAGTATAGATGTCATGGTGGGGATAACTCGAAGTAAAGTAATTATATATATATACGTAACAAATCAACAGCTGTTGATTTCAGGTGAGACGCTCTGACTTTCGAAGTTCTTTGGTGCCTTTGTAACAGGTCTCACCTTTTTTGTTGACATAGGTCTCACATGTTTTGATTTTGGGCGTCCCACTCGCCATCTTGGATTTCAACCGCCCCATAAGCCGGCCCATGTTGAGCTTCGAAATGTGACAACTGTTGCAGTAAGCGTACTGCGGCTTCGGGGTGAGGGCGCCATAGTGCGCCATAAACCACTTTGCTCTATATACCTTATATATGGATGAGAAGAGAAGGGGATGAGAAGGGGATCATACAGAGATCGACCAATGAAACATCGCTGTTGAATTTGGATACATGGAGAACCGGATCCACCCAAGCCGAACTGTCGTAGTATATTTCAATTTGGGGTATGTAAACAACATGACAAGTCCAAACTGTTGTACGAAAATGAAATTTCTTCAGGGAACATGTTTCCTGCAGGAACCAGGCCCAAACCCAACCACATCCAAATAGGTGCAAATGGAAGCTGCAGCGGTTCCACCACAAGCTTGGAAGAGGTCAGCCAGCAAAGTTTGGAAGGGAGGGAAAAATTCTAGGACTGAAAGCTCCGGCTGTTCTACTACCCAGCATCCTCCTAGAGCTGTGACCAAAATCAAAAGAAGACATAACCTCAGATCCAGGGACCCTATTTGGATTTCAATATATGGTTCAATTCACTTCCTTTCAAATTTGTATTGGCATGTGCATGATTTGAAATCAACATTCCAATATATATATATATAATAAAGATGGATGATACTTGATGTCTTGATAAATATAGGTTTGCATCTGTACAATTCCAAGAAACAATGAAGTATAAACATGTTTTCACCAAGAAACCGACTTGCCATTTTGTTAGATGATATGACTGATTCGTATTCCTCATATCCAATGGACGTACAGGGTGACCGGTAGGAAGTCCCACGGTTCACTGCGCTCCAGCTCGAGCATTTGATTGCGAAGGTCGCCAAGAATCTCTTGGAACAGCACAGCAAAGAGTGGAGGCCAAGCCTATAGGGCAACGAGGGCTTGGCGGTTGGCAGGGTACTGGGGTAAATGGTTGGAAGCGCAGTTTCACCATGAATGAAATGATGAGATTGAATGGTCCCAAAATGGAGTCGCAACATGAAAGGATGAGATTGAACAGTCCCAAAATAGAAGCGCAGTTTCAACATGAAATGATGAGATTGAACGGTCCCAAAGGGAAGCGCAGTTTCAACATATGATGAAGTTGAACAGTCCCAAAATGGAAGCACAGATCAGCCTCTGCCAAACCATGCAATATATATATATATATGCATGCAATAATCATATTTATTTAGACACTTTGGATTTACCTTTATATATTGATGGAATACCAAGCTCCAGTGACCAAACTGGTTTTGGATTTCAAAGTGTCCCCATGTAAACCATGAGACCTATGTTCATGAAACCACCCAAAGGGTTTCCCACCACAAATGTTCTTTGACAAACAATGCGACCAGAAAACGCAAAACCAGATGCTGAATTTATGTCCATACTGTTGGATTTGTACATGTGGTCCTTTTTCTTCTTGGCATCGTACAACAGGTCAAAGGAAGCCGTTCTGAGCCCCGATGCCCGAGCACAGCGGCTCAGGTTCCCCTTCCCAGCGAAGAATTCGTACATGTCATAACCATCCTGGTGTTAAGCAATATGTTGGTTCAGGTCCGCATATTTTTCTATAATACCAATTCATTCACATGATCAAATAGGCACTGTGTCCTTTTTTTTGAGGTCCAGGTTAATTGACATATATACTCAACTTCTTTAATCAATCACTGCATTGCGCACCCTATTGTAAATCCTGATGTCAAGACATTTCGTTTCATCAAAAAAACGGTTCAACGAGACATTGCATTTCATCAAGACACATTTGTTTCACACACCATGTTTATCAAAGATATCATGGGTCCTGAGTCATGATGTATATATACATTGATATATATATATAGTGAAAGATCGATTGATACCAAGAAAACATCTGACATTCCCAAAACATATCTCCTGGTCATGGTGCAGTGTTGGAGTCCACATGATCATCAAGATGCACAAAGCCAAGACCTCATATCGATTGAACATGGTGACTGTAAATATATATATATATGCAGGTCAATGCCATTCATCGAGTGCAAATTGATTCCAAACAATATATATATATAGATGAAACTGGGAAACTATGAGACCCTGACTTTGGGGCACTTCATCATCTTGAGTTGGAAGAACAAGTGGTCCAGACCAGTTGAAGAATCAAGTGGGCCACCCAAAGCCACCATGACCGCCCGGATGGCCACCCGCCGCAGGTCACCCAGATCAAAAAGGCTGAAGGCGTGGACGCGCTAAACTGCTGAATGCTTGACATGCCGTTCACTTCGGACATCGCTGTATACTTTCACACACACACACATATATATATATATATGCAGTCTGTGGGGTGTATAGGTCTGCGCATTTGTGCAGTATACAAGTATTCTTACCGACAATCAACAGAACATTATTTGTGCAGTTGCCATTTCTGTGAATGCATGTGTGCACCAATTATAAGACATGACTCCGTCCACGTGACACTGCCCCCCTTCCACGGTTGAATCTTCATGAAGTATGACAAAATTAACGTTTGAATTTCAATCCCAAAAACCAAAACTGTTCAACTTAGCCAGATTCACGTCCTTTGCTCTTGGCTTGGAATTTGGATCGCACCTGCCAGATGTTGCGCCGAATGCCCGGCATGCTGAAGACCTGCGCCAAGGAGCTGCGGGGGACAGACTGACAACAGGATGGACCTGCATGGTGTATAATGATGCATTGTTCTTCAAGATTCGCCACTTCCACAACGAACAGGATATGCATACCATATATATATATATAGCTGTAAATTCATAAGCATCGATCAGCATATATATATATAGAGAGAGAGAGTCTATGCAGCACACTTGGGAAAAAGATTGATGCATGTGTTTGCAAACAGTGCCAAGATGTCAAAATCATCAGTGAACCTTTTCCCACAACGCTAAAGAACCGATCGAGCTGCAGCCAAAAACCACAAGCAGCCAGTTTCATCGCTGCTGCTGTATATAGGGCAAAAAAGGTTGACACCTGCACTCCTGCTCAGCAGCTACTCTTCGACCAAAGATGGAATTTATAAATGAGCTCAGCTATATTCGAACGGGTCTTCATAACCAAACCCCAAAACTGAACGAACAAATTTAAGAAAGGATACCGCCATATAGTATATGCATGGCATGGTTGGTTTGCAGCTGCTGGCCTATGAGCAAAACACCGACCAATCAACACAAGAATGCCACTATATACCACCCTGTTGGCTGGCTTCTCGGTTTACAGAGATCCCTGGTTTTGTACCATGGCTTCAATTTCATTGGGGGTAATTTTCTGGCCACCCATTGGCCAACAGAAACAAGGCAAGACCAGCATTGTGCTTCAGTGTCATCACATTTTCTCCATCACGACTGTAAGTACCACCAGCTTCGACGCCCTTCAGCTCACAACATTGGATCATCTTGATATGAATATGAACCATGCCACTTTTAAGTTTCGTTTGCATTTGATGTGCACGAAACGATGCCATCAGTATATGCACTTGTATATATAGACAGCTAAGGCCAACACACCTTTGATTTGTATGATATTTATGCCTGCATGGTCACATGTCTAATTTATGCTGAGTGGCTGTTTCCATAGCACAAAACATTGCGACGCCAATCTTGTGTGAATCGGCTGCACTGGACCCATTGAAGCTGTAGGTGATCAGGTCTTTGCCCGTGTTATTGTTCGTAACACCTACTGCAGTCCTGGTCCAGTAGATGTTGAGTTTGTGCTCCTCGAACTCATTGTCAGGGATCAAGCTACGGGCAAAAGCTTTGAACTGAGGCGACGTGACTTTTGCTTCAGGGTCAAGTTTGCAGGCCAAAGCTCGCATGCCATCAACTTGGGCTGCAACAAACTTGGGATCTGCCTGCTGCTTCATGGCGAACTCCTCTGTTGTTGGCTTCGTTTTGCTAGACTTACTCTTAGCCTTTGCCTTTGCCTTTGCTTTTGCCTTTGCTTTTGCCTTTGCCGCTGGTGCTGCGGCTGCTTCACCTTTTGGCTTTCGCGCTGACTTCTTGGCAGGTTGATTCTCTGCAGTCACTTCACTAGTCGCGCTAGTCTGCTGCTTGTTCTTGCGTTTGCGAGAGGGAGGCGTGTTGCTATCTGCAGGTGCTGATGTCACTTTACTGGATCGTGCTCGTTTTGATTTGGGGACGGCATCTTCACCTTCACCTGTGGTTGCATTATCATCACCATGGTTTTTGGAAGGGCTGTAGCCATCCGACTTGCTGAAGCTGCGAAGGGTTTTCAACCCGCGGTGACCGCGGTGTGTGGACTTCACAGTCTTTTTCCCTTTGCGTGTTCTTTTCACCTTTTTCCCCTTCCCTTTCTTACCACCTGCTTTCCCTTTGCCAGCCTTGTCCCGTTTTACTTTCTGTGATGCTTTGCGTGTCAGTTGCTGATCCCTGGTGACATATGTTGCTGGACTACCTTCAGCTCCCGGCAAGGGATCCACAGTAGACTCATCAGCTGCCTCAGTGGAAACCACTTTGAACAGGGCAGGTCATGGATATATAAATATATATATATAGGCATTTCAAAACATGTGCAAATCTATATTGTGTTTCAAATGCCCCGGGTGTCATGTACCATATCGATTGACATCTGCACTATTCAATTTCCAGCTTTTGATATCTTTTTTGTATATATGCAATTTAGTTTTCATCGATCAGACCCAAGGTATGTTTCGTTCAAGATACTTCTGACACTTTGTCTTCAGGAGAAACCAGTTGGACACTGTCATCATCATGTGGCATCTGTCGACGTTGGTATGTCGCCCGGGACTTGGAGGTGTCAATGTCAGGAGATAGGGCTGATGGGGACAAAGAATCCGGGACCGACACCCCCATGATGTCTTCAACGGGCTGGGTTTCCACATGGTCCGCCGCAGCCACGGCAGCCACAGCAGCCACAGCAGCACCTGCCGTGGAAGGCATTTTAATCTTGAAGTGCCATGAAGTCACAACTTCATGTTTTGAATTTCTATATGCTCGGCTGCGATTGGGTACTCTTCTTAAATTGATACGATTCATATTTAATGAGTGATTTATATATATATACACACAAAAAATATGGTGACTTATTTAATGAAGTTTGATCTCAGTTTATAAACTCAGCATGCAAGATTTTACGCAGTCCAAGTATGGCCACTGATCGGTCCCTCCGTGCCTCGGGCACGCTCGGGATTATCATGCAAGTCTTCAGCTTTGAGTCTCCTGATGGACTGCTGCAACTCGATCTTCCTTTCACGAATCCTGGGCTGGCTGACAAAGATGCACATGTGCCCATATATTATTTTTATATTTATATACACTCATATCATGCGATCCTGATGATCCTGATGGCGCTTGCTTTTTGAAAACTTAAGATCTGCATGAAGGACTGTTTGACAAAAACAGCTTTTCGATTCTCGATACAGGGTGTGAAAATCAAATTGTAACACCACCAACGGTTTCTTAGCTCCATACTGAGCCAGTCTTGCTTTGGCTTCCTCCAAGTTCATCTTGCGAGTTTGGTTCATTGCATCACGGGCTTTTGGCTCTTGACCTGGGACAAAGGGAGCTTGTGCGAAGTCTATACACATGCCTCCATTTTCTATATATCTATCTATATATATCTATCTATCTATTTATCTATCTCTCTCTATATATATATATAGCCAAGTCACCAAGAAAGTTAACTTATATATATATATGTTAACAAAGACAAACATGGGTGGCGTCGGATGAAAGCCTGAAACTTTGGGCCCCGTGCTGAGGCACAATGCTTCTTGTGCTGGGGCAGGACTGACATTCGGCACATTCGATCCCACGCCTGGGTTTGGACCGGGATGTGCTGGAACATCAGGAGGGGCCGTAGGAATGTCCTTCCCTGGGATTTCCGCATCAGTATCAGAATCGGAACCACTTTCATTGTTAGCATCCGGACCATCAGAATCACTAGAGTCGTCAGACCCGGCAGACTCATCATAGGCATCATCATCCTTTTGTTGTTTGGCCTGCAGAGGGGCGAAATAAACGGTTCCAAATTCTACATGCCAAATATTCTTATATATATATATAATTATGTTGTTGATGTGCATGGAAACAACTATATACATCACAGTTAATATGTTCAGCGAAAGTTTGCACGTTTAAATGTGCATGTGCTGCGCATGCATAGAAGACAAAGCTTGTGCCTGTGACCAACCAAGGAAAGGGATCCATCTCTCAAGATACATGTGCAGATGTAAACAAATAATAGAAGCCCATGATCCTGCCTGCCGCGCAAGCTTGGCTGCCTCTTTCTCTTCCACCAAGCGATTGATCTCATCACACTTCGCCTGTATGCATTCGTTTTGGGCTTGCGCGGTATGCCATGGGTGGAGAATGGACCAAAGAACCTAGACTCGACCCAACACAGCATTGAAGTGTCTATATATACTATAGATCAGCTGAAATTGAGTTGGGATTCCATAGAAACAGATATAAGCCATCGATCTATATATGCAAGAAAGGGAAGGAGTTCATATATATGTTGCATGTGTGCATGCAGCCATGCAGGATGATTGGATGGCAACATAATCCATGACACATGCGAAATCAGAATGTTATCAGCAGACAACCTGCAACCCCAAACAATCCCGGTACCTGCAGATTTGGGTTGAGGATCAGGCACAGCTCCTGGAACCTTTTGTCCTGAGCCACATCAAAGAAAGGATATTCCCCACCGGGCTGGATAAGTTGGGTGACATCACTGAGACATCCAAAGACTATATAAGAACTGTCTACGGTAAGTTACACGCATCTTCTGTGCAATCAAGATGGTGGAGATGCATGGAAATTATCAACATGCATGCATGAAGTCCATGTCATCTTGAGACTAGCGGCAGTTGAGACCTTCTCCTTTCTGGTCTTCATCTTGACCAAACCCAAAAAATTCCTGATGAACCAGGAGTCCTCGATGACCGTCTTGTCATCACCCGGCCGAGACATCTTGGCATACAGGAGTGCAAGCTGCTCCCGGAGGGGGTGGATGGGAGGTTGAGGCCTATTAGGCGTTTCCACCGTCTTGATGAGCAAAATCTTCAACAGAGCATGGATCTGAGGGTGGCAAGCATGTTTGACACATATGTTGGTAGTCTCAGGGAACAGGACGGCTTTGGCATCCCCACGCAAATGTTCTCGGATTGCCTCTTGCCGCTCCAACTGCATGGCCAAATCAGATACATCTAATTTTGGCCTTGCACCCGCCATTTCCACCACAAAGAGCAGCCTACCCCAACTTTGGTTTGAGCAAGAAAAAGCTGATGGATCTTTCATGTTGGATCTTCCATGTTGGGTCTTCCATATATGTTGTATCTTCCATGTTAATTGGATCTTCCATGTTGTGACTCTGTCATCCAACCAATCAATGATTCTCATGTGACTGCCGCAGCCCCCCAGGAGCGGGCCTCATGAGAGAGAGAACCGGCGCGGCCATGGCTTTCATCGCACACCGGATTCAAAGATCAAATAAAATTCTGTGCTTCAGCAAAGTTTGTTGGTTCATATCATGTCACATATTCTTTCAAGGTATGGTGGCAGAAATATTTGCCATTTGCCATGAGTTTTTTTTAAAAAATATAGAGCCATATACATGCATTGTTATATAATCGCTTTATGTGCATCATCCCTGCAAGTCATCATCGTGAAATCCGTTTACAGGATTTTACTTATCAAGGTGAATCCTCAAATTATATATATCAATCACTTTAACCTCAATGATGCTGAGAGATCGATGAAAGCCACTGTATTTTTGGGGGTCTGCCCAACCATACTCAAAGAATTATCCCAAAAATGCTGCACCATCGAGACGCCTACCCCAGTGGCCGGCCCCCGCTGCTCAGCCACAGTCTCTTGATCCATGGTCCACGGCGTTGGTGCTTGAAACAGAGGGTGGCAGGTGGTCATGGAGGATAGTATGGTGGATAGAAGGATAAATTAATAGATGGATAGATAAAGGATTATAAAACAAGGGTTCTTAAGAAAACCGAGGTTTTCCATCAAAGTGCACAGAAAGACGAGGTTTTCATTTGGGACCGCTAAAAAGTGAGGCTCATGGCTCTGATGGTATATATATGGCTTTTGCGACGTTTTTCTTTCGGCGAATCTAGGCCACCTCAACCGAGGTAACCCACCTCCCGGCTCCGACGTCCAAGCATCGGTCAAGGCAACACATTCAGCAAAGTCACCAGATCCGCATGTTTTGGCTGTGTCCTCGTTGCAAAGCACAGGACAAGACCAATCGTCTGGACCTCGCAAGGAATCAAATGAATCAAACGCCGAGATGCAACTGCAATTTACATGGAGCTCACCATGTATCTATATATATATATATTGATCATTGATATTCCCGTTGAAATATGGCAAGAACTGCATTTCTAGCGCTGAAGATGCCAATTTACAATCACGTCCTCCGGCCTTGCGATTGCGTAGAACCAAACAAGCCACCGACCCACTGGCGAGGAAAGAAATACTCCAGACACCCATTAACATCATTTAACATCAACAAAATGGCTGAAAATGAAAGTCAACCGTCATCAAGCGGAGAAAACATTCCATGTAGAAACTCATTCTCAGAAAATTCACCAACCGATCATATTCACCAAGCACTAACAGTGTCATATATTGTCATCATAATTCCCCCAATCTGCTCACATGCCTGTCTTTGTATAGCAATACTCGCTCCAGGTCATCAATCCCTGCGAGTCGAATCCTGCCATGGCTGCCATGGGGAACATTTTTGCCGGAAATACACGGCTTTCTCTATCAGAATCCTATAATCAATGGATGGGTTTTTACCATCAAATATAGGGTTTTCCTGCAAATTTTCCCATCATCCAATTCTATGATATAAGATCCATAAGGCTTTCCTCTTGCTTTTTCTTTCCATCCAAGTCATCCAATGTTGGGATTAGAATTGATTCGATGTTCGGATTCAGGTTGAAAGTCCAGAAAATCCCCATGGTATTCTGGCGATGTATTTGGAAATGTGGTCACTTAATATCACCTATAAATAATGAATGGGGATTCCCACAATATATTTCCCAGTGAATGGAGCCGTTGCGAGCATCTACAATATTATTAGATAATGATGCGATAATGTTCCATCTGTTGGGTGGTATAACTCCTCAGAATCATCAACCAACAAGGTTTTTTTTTCACACTTCTCAGTGCATCAAAACTATTTCCTGCGATGATTCTCAGCGGCGGCAAAAATGGTCTCCTACATTGTAGCACCAGTTCTCCGTTTCGTAGTTGCACGTCAAGGGGCCTGAGAAAATGACAAAGACTAGTCAGTTACAACTGAAATTTCGGTCTGAAATTTAGGGAGAAAAAAACTGTTGAATCATCGGTTGATCACAATTTTCCCTAATAATTGCCAGACATTGGGGGTATCCTCCATTTTCTGAACGTTGGGACATCTCTGGGATACACATCGAAGAATCCGCAAAAATACCTCTGCTTTGAGCACCTACAGTGCCACCATACTTTTGTCGCCTAACTGGTGTCTATGGTCATGTATTCTCTAAAATGCGTGTTGTGTCTGGGAAATGCTCAAACAATTTTGCGTTGCAATCGAATCGGAAATGGAAACCACCAAAGAATCTGAGGAAAAAAAGAAAAGATCCGTGCCGTTCTGTATTCCATCTTTTCTTGAGAGCTACCTGTCAGTTTCGATTTGTATACTTTGTTGTATCGCTATGTATATAGGCTATATACATATTCCAATGCCAGTTTCAATGCCGAAGGTATCTCCGGGCACTCACTTTAAAACCAAGTTCCTTGTGTGAAAATATTCCCAAGATGTTTGCAAGATTGCAGAAGAAAGAACAACCTAAGTACCACAACCTGAATTCTGATATCATCTCTGGAATAATTTCTGCTTTCCTTTTGGGATCTCTGCCTGTCCATTGAACAAGTTGTCGTGTGCTGCGGTGACCAAATCGCTACAAGTCACAGGAGTCTCCGTACCATACCTTCGCGTAGCACTCGGTAACTCCTGCTGAATCCTGTCGACGGCTGGCTTCAAGATCACCTACCCTCCAGCAAACATAGCTATGGAAGATGACCTATTATAGATGATTCACCAGGGTATTTCCTACTAAAAATAGTGATTCACCAGGGTATTCACCAGGGTATAGATGACCTATTGATTGATGATTCACCTACTAAAAATAGTGATTTGGCGCCTAAGCTACTAGAGGGATCTAGAGGGTATTTCCCGGAAGCATCTACCAGGAATGATGGCATGATCTTGAGCAACTCATTTCGGTCAAACAGTAGTCATGAGTCAAAAATGCACAACTGGTTGGTGGTATACCTACCCCTCTGAAAAATATGAGTTAGTCAGGTGAGATGATGACATCCCCAATATATGAAAAATAATATTCATGTTCCAAACCACCAACCAGACAAATATCAATGTGTGCCATAAATCGTCATGAATTACTAGAAAATAACTTCAATACCATGTACATGATTAGCTATACCCTCTGGTAAATTAACATAGACCCTGGCAGATAGGGGTTGGAAGATTAGTTTCCATTAAAATTAGGCTATTTTCAGGGTCCAACTGTTAATTATTACCAGAGGGTAATTACATATGCCGGGCCTGTATAGAATATATATGTTCCAGGTTCCGGGTGCCCCCTCCCCCATGATCATGGTACCTCTCTCTCCCTGTGGTATGGGGGTGTGAGGGTATCATGGTACCCCCTCCCCTTGAAGGTGTGGGTGGGTGCGGTGGGGAGGCTGAATATGAAGTATAAGGAATAAATAATCAGTGGTGGATGAGCAGTATAATGACTTAGCGCCAGGTGAGCAGTAACTAGGTGGCTTATACATGTACATATATGTGTATGTATATATATATACATGTATACATACTCATAGATATAGATACAGGTAGTATGTATGTATTATTATGTATAAATGGAATACGGATACATATACAGTTTATATATATATATATTCAGAATATTCACGAGTGTAGTACTACTTAGTACTACACTGGATATATATATATAAGATTATATAAGTATATTTGTAGCTTGGGGGTCGTTGCTATATGTTTTTAGGTAGTACAATATAGGTACGGTGTATGTGGTTGCCTCCTTTTTCTTGTGGTGGGGGTTTGGGGGCTGGTGGTTTCGATGCTGCATATGAGTATAGACAAAAGTGTGTATAATTATTAATTATATAAACCAGGGGTATATAAAAATGCATTGAAAAAAATACTGGTACTTTTGGGGTACATCAAAATTACCAGGTTTCTTATACTCAGCCATAAAAAAGTAGGTTATTGTTTCAGTAGGTGTATGTATATTTATTTCTTTATTTATTTCTTTATTTATTTAATGTATTATATATAACTACGTGTTATATAGCTACGGCTACGGTATACGTAGCACATAGGTTCTATATATGGATAAAATGCAGGACATATATCAGTCATGGGCAACTGATGAATAGTATATAGATACGCTATGGCTTGTATATAGGTATCCGTAGAAAAGAAGCATATAGATACTACCCTCTGGTAAATTAACATAGACCCTGGTAGATAGGGGTTGGAAGATTAGTTTCGTCTAACAATTGGTGATTTTCATGGTCTATGTTTATTTACCAGAGGGTATATATTACATTGATTACGAAATATTACCACATGGACAGCACTTTGGTCGTACGTAGCATATGGCTTTCAAATGCATAAAAAATAGGCTGCAAGTTGAAGGTCGCGGCTCTGAAATGCTGTACCATTGGGAGGCCACAAAAAACCAGGAACATATTGTATACCTTCTGGTAATTTAACATAGCTAAGGAAAATCCCCATTTTTAATGGGTAAATCCACTATAAATGGCCATTTTCAATAGCTATGTTAAATTACCAGAGGGTACCTTCTGGTAAACTAACATAGCTACGTATGGAAAATCACCATTTTGAATAGGTCAATCAACGAATCAACAAACTAACTGGAGCATTTTCCATCGCGAACTTTTTTTAATTACCATAGGGCATCTTATGCTGCACCATCCATCTGTCAACTCGCCTCACAGGCAAGTTCATCCTCTTCACAGGTGCAGCCACTCGCCTTGCCACAGCTCTGATTCCCCGAGTAGTGCCAGCCTCGGGATGCGATGTTTCCACAGCTGATGGTACCAGTTCTCCAACGAGAATCCCAGTACTTAGCGTGTCTTTCCACGTGAGTTACCGACTGGTGCAAGATCATTCGTCAGTATTTTTTTCCATAATCACATCAATGGGGGAACCCAATAAAATATTCCCCCGAGAAAAAAATTTCCCATTGTTGTTGGTGAGTTTCCCTTTATCCATAGGTGCTCCCAGACCCCTAGTCACGTAGTGGGTTTTCCAAGATTTGGTTTTGGAACACATGGTTCATATAGAGATACCGTTGTAATCTATAATATTAATATTAATATTTCAGGAAAATATGTTCATCAAACCTTGGGGCAATGCGCCAGTGATTTCTGGTAGAAGTGCTCTCTAAAAGGGAAGCCAATGGGTTTCAGAGAAAACCCCCTGGGGATATCACGTTGATAGTACCCCTCCTCCATAACTGACATGGAATCCAGACACGTTTGATTTTTCTCTATGCGTTTGGATCTTTGGAAAACAAGTTGTACATCTTGATCATCTTGGATCTCGCCTATTGTGAGGTTGCAGCAAGTAGAGTAGAGGATGCAACCGGTACCGATCAAACAAACGACTAGGCAATACGAGTTTTGACCAGCAGCATGTGATCGCATCGCCGCAATCCACGGGGCAACTGTCAAACTTGCTTTGACACCAGGAGTAGCCTGAGAAATGGGAACGGACCATCATTCTACTGGCTAAATTTCAGATGAATTCAGATGTTCAGACTTCTACATCAATCCAGCGCGCAAAACACACGGCTTCTCTGAGATCGAAATCATATGTGCTTTGGTTCCGAGGTTCAAGATCGGCAAGACGACACCTATAGGCCTATAGATATTCCCCCCTTAACAGATGTTTTTCATCAGAGGGTACAGTGTACAGCAAGGAAAACTGATATGCAATGGGGACTAGTGGGATATCCTGAACATCTCTGAACCCGTCCCTGTGCCACGACCTGGCCTTGGCCAGTGCATTTCTGCTCCCAGGTGGCATCACATGGGCAACCAACTTCTGCGGCTGCGCAACTCTCCTGCGGTTTTTGTACAGATCTCTTATCGAAACTGAGAAAATTTGGGAGGCTTTTTTGCACATAATTCTGGGTAAATTAGAATATTTCACTAATCTGAATTGTTGGGCCATTTGGGGATGATTTCCCTTATTAACCATGATTAAGGCCATAGTTCCGTCCCCTCCAAAGAGGGATATTATCCGACCCATCCCATGGTGAATTCAACTGCGACAACGAGGGTCCACTACTTTCTCCACTGGTTTGTACCTGGAGACAATGATTAAAAAAAAAAAAACATCCATGGTGAATTCCCATCCGCAAGCTTAGAATTCACAGTTTTTCGATTTCTTTGCTTTTTCTTTTGGTGCCAAGTGTTCCAGTAAAAAGCTGCAGCTGTAAAGAAAAGCTCGGCTCGCAGTCCTTCCATGGAGCTGAATAATTCACGTTTCCAAACTCGTCGTAGGGAGTGCTCCAGCAGTAATGCCTCAGCTGTGAGGCCGAAAAACAAGTCCTTCCTGCAGAATTCTTCTTCCTGCAGTCAGCTTGCGAATCGCTGAACCAATGGACTCCGGCAACACTGTTTGAGTTTTGAGATCCATGTTTGGTATCTAACCATATCTAACCATATCTAACAACCATATCTAACCATATCTAACCATTGTATTTACATTGAACCATCCAATTTTGGCGGAAAAAAAGGGGCATCTGCCCTGTCCTTTTTCTCCACCGAGGGTCTGATCCCCCGTGCATTCGATGGGACAGGAATAGCCGCCATGTGTGGCTTGGCAGTAGCTGCCCCAGGAGCTGTTGCATTTCTCCTGGAATTCTCGGTCCGTTGGATCTTGGATCCCAACTCCAGGGGATATGTTTGAAAAAAAGTCGAGGATAGAAAAATGGAGATCATGAATCATTGATATCTAATATCATTCAAATATTTATCATAAATGATGGGATGCACATTCATCATAAATGATGGGATGTGATGGGATGTGATTGGATGATGGAATGTGTCGTCACTGGCTGTTGATGATGCTAGTGTCTCCAGTTAAGTCGTTGAAACTAAGCCAATGAAATGAAGCCAAAAGGAGCTACCAAAACCAAGGTTGGCAATTACATCAACCAGTTGGCTAGCTGAAGGCTAAGGGGGTAGGCATATTCAGGTTGACAAATCCCCGCCGCATCCCACTTTGACATGCAGAAAGAAGATAAGAAATCATGAAAAGCGCACCTAGACATCTATGGTGTTGAAAAGTCTTGTTTGAAAATAACGTACCCCAAAAGTGTGTACCATCACAATCCTCATAAAGATTGCCCATCTCAAAATCATTTATAAGCCGGTTGCAGGTCCCTTTATATCCCCATCAAATCCAATTATATAAACTAAATCCACATGTAATCCAGTTGATGGGCATGCTGGTGATATCAATGTGGATTTCATGTGGATAAAATGGTGGGATTACGTGTTGATATGCACGTTTTTGTTGCTGATTGTTGCTGGTGATATATGGTGATATCATAGCCCCATGATATTCCCATTAAATCATATTGCATCCACCTTTAATCCATCCCCATGTTACCTGATTAGTCCTATATTCCCATAAAAAATCTCCCGATTGCCCGTGGTGAAATGGGGATCTCTGCCTTGTTTTTCGACCAAATCCCCAGAAACTCAGTCCTCATAGGTCGGATGGCAAGGGCAGCTGCCTTCCATAGGCGCACAGCTCCTATGGATGGCTTCGTATTGGCTTCATGGCTTCATATTGGGTCAGTTTTCAGGTCCTCAAAATCCTCAAAAAAAAAGACTCACTTTCTACTCAAGCAGTGCTGTGGTGTTGGACTACACTTCTTGGACCAAAATTCATGACTGGATCCACACCTACCAACCAACCTTGCTGACTTCAGTGCATTTGGATCTACAATTTCTTTGCATTCAGAACGTGTTGGAAGGTAAGAAAAACTCACGATGTCACCATGCAAAAGTCACCCAAACCGGCATTGCCTTATTCCTTACAGTGTGAGTCATATTGGATTATGACACATACAGGGGATGATCAATCATCCATGGCCCCCACAGTTCTGCAACTGACCTTTGGAACCGAGACTTATGGCACCTTATAGCCGCTGCCCAATGCCATTAAATGCGTATAGCCTGTATGGCGACAATATCAATGGCTGTGCCTTGACTAAAAGTAGGGTAGTCCCGATTCTAATGGATTATCATTTTCTCATTAAAAAACAACAATTTTGGGTATCCACCATTTTCAAACAAACCTAAACGTCTAGAACAGTCTATGGCAAAAATGTGTTTGTGATAGACATCGACGCCATGCCAGGCATTGTCTTGGCCAAGGATCTGGTTTCCTGCTGCTGACCAATCAGGCTCCCCCGTTTCCAGATAGACGGTGCTGTAGCACACCTGACTTTCCCAATTTGGGGATTGCACATCTGGTGCCATGAACATGGATTCATATATAGCAACCAAAAAAAAGATTGCATTTGGTAAAATCCTACTAAAATAATAATGATACATTACGCTTCTATCTTTTAGTTCTCACTTAATGTCACTTAGAAATCGTAATTTGAACATGTTTGAAAGCGAAACCGTTCTAGTTAAATAGTGAATAGACCAGCCACCTGCCCCATTTTTCCACGCCTGCTGGTCCTCAGCACAAGTGATGGGGCACGGGTAGGTCTTGGGACTGCACCAGCTGTATCCCCAGGAGTCTGTGCACTTGTCCTCCCACTGCTCATCCTTAGAAAAAAGCGTTCAGCTCATCGGAAATCACCACCACATTTTTTGGTTGTGGGACTGGAACCATTGGTAACTAATGAATGGAAAATCCATCGATAAATGGATGATTTTGGGGTACCCCCATGGATTGGAAACCTCCATACTTCGGGCTTCGGGACTTCCAAATTCCCTTCGGTGAAACCCTCCCTCTGCCCAGCGTCACAGGGGCAACCGGTGGTGGCGTTGGCGCAGGACTGGGTCATGGGAGCTGTCCAGTTCACGTTTCCTGCGGGAGAAACACATCTAAGCAGAACTCGCAGTTCTGCTCACAAAAAATGATGGATGGTGTTGGTTTTCAAAACGTTTACCTCTCCCTTCTACTTTGACTTTGATCCATGGCGTGCAAAACCTCCGGAGAATTGGAATATTAGAGAAGAACAAGCCAGGGTAAAACCGAATCAAAGCCCTTCCTTCGCTCCAGTCCTTGGGAATCATAGGTATAGGACGAGCAGTACACTTCGTCACTTCTGCAGGTCACAGGGCAGCTGCCCCAAGCCCTGTCCCAACAATAGGCGGACCATTCGTCCTTGCAAACATGTTCCTGGGCTGGAAGTTGCGGCATGGACACATGCTTTATGACAGAGAATGAGTGACAACATGTGACGAGCAACATTGTAATAGGATGTTCCATTATAAACCATCCATTGTGGTGATTCCCCTATTTTGGAAACCCCCACATAGTGATAAACTATTGCTCTCTTTTTCTCTACAGTAATTACCTTTCAAGCTCTTGGCGTTAGAACAACTGGGACAACATGGGCAACAAAGAGGAAGGAACCAAAAAAGGAAATTCATGGGAATTCGGGAATGAAAGTACCTTGGACACTGGGGACGACATGGAAAACCCCATGGAAAACCCCATGGAAAACCCCATATGTTTTTTTCATTCGCGTCAGAACGGGCAATCTTTTTGCCACTTTGGGCTCAAAGGCCCGGTAGTGCGCAGGGATGCTTCTCAATGCATCTGGTCGAATCGTCAGGGTCAACAGTGCAGGCCATGCCCAGATCACCGGTCTTCACAAAGGCATTGTTGCAGTCGGATCCAGTAGTGACCTCTCTATCCTTGCAGGCAGTTCCAGAAAGATGGGTGCCACGACATTCCATGTAACATTTGGACACTGCTTGGCAAGCTCCAGAATTGGAAGCTCCACATTGTTGGAAAATACCGCTTCCAAGATGCGTGCATCTGTGGAATGTTTTGGTGCAGGATCCTTCTGCACAGGGATCCTCCGAGCTGCAGTTCAACATGCTTCCAATACACTTCAATGGAACAACTGCCTTGTGACCCTCCTTGGAGTTGCGACCAATGGCCACTTTAAAAAAATGGAAGACTCATGAAGACTCCCCAACTGCAACAACCCTGTAGTCTCCCTATTACCTCAAAAATAATCTCATTAGCTTGGCCAATGGGAAAATAAAATTTTCTCATCAGCAAATCCAGGCCTCTTGAAATTCAAGGTGCTTTGACAGTTCAGCAACTGCTCCAGCTGCGCTTACCCCATACTGTTTGCCAAGGCTGTTGCCAAAAAGGTTGGCAAAAGTGAGAACATGGACGAACGACAAGTACATCTCAGGCCGAAGAGACTTGCTCCCTGCTCGAACTTTGCTTGAGTCGGAGCGGCTGGAATGGAAAACAGCTGCTCAATCATGGAAAGTTTGAAGATGTTTGATGTGTAGAGAAGAAGGGGACAAGAATCGTCCATCTCTTTTTAGCAAATCATGACTGGTTGGTGGTTTTAACCATCTTGAAGAATATTAGTCAATGGGAAGGATTATCCCATATACCCTCTGGTGAACTAACATAGCAATGGAAAATTGCTATTTATAGTGGATTTTCCCATTAAAAATGGTGATTTTCCATTGCTATGTTAGTTCACCAGAGGGTATTAATTATGGAAAATAAAAGCCATGTTTGAAACCACAAACCAGATGATAAATGCCATGCATGTCTGCCTGTCATACTCTCACCATCACTCGCCAGCCCAATGGGCCATGAACGCACCCTAAACCCTACCGTTTCGAAGGCGAGCATCTGTCTCATCGTTACCTGGCAGCGCTATAGTGATTTTTGATGACACGTAGCAACTGTTCTTTGAAACTCAAAAGTAAGAAACATGTTCAAAAATACTCCAACAGTAACATGTTGTAACATACTCAAAGTAGAGAGATGACAACAACTATCATGTTTTTTCAGAAAGGAAGCGAAGCACACGCTACTGCAGCCATGTCACAGGTCACGGCAAAAGGGTCGAAGCAACCCTCCGACTTGGGGTAGCAGGTCTCAGTTTCACTGAGCAGTTCTGGACTCGGCATTGGTGTCAAACATTGGAACCAAGACCACCCCACCAGAGAAACAAAAAAAGGGCCCCCAAAAAAAAACCAGTGAAAGAATGTAAATAATTGTAAATAGCCATCTTGAAGGTATACCCGTATACCCCACTTTCATACCCAAATCATTACCTGATTGTGTTTGTCTTTGCCTGCTATGCCCCGTGTAGATACATGCAGCCTCTCCTTGTAGCCGTAACTTTCGCATTCGATCTCCCACTCCTCATTGCAGGGGCATCCTTTCTCATAGGTGGCACAGGTGTACGTTACCTGGCGCATCGTCAAAGCTTCATAGGGGCAGCCTCCACTGTCAACAGTCACTGCAACATTCTAAGTGCCAAAATCCACATTTGAGTTTGTCTGAAGTTGTAGTGGTTTAACAGACGCTGATATTTTCAAGTTTCACTCATTGTTGTCCTCTTCGTTCCATTGCGAATATACATTCCTTACACAAAACCTGTTTCATGCTCAGATCTCTGGTAGATAGAGAAAAAAAAGGATGAACATCTTCAAATCATGGGAAACATCACCAAAAATCCAGTGATTTCTCATGGGTTATCATGTTATCATCATCCATATTTTCAGGTTTCCTCCCAAAACCCCAGTTACAAGAGAGGTAAATTGGGTCAATAAGGAGGTCAAACCCCTCATTTCCCACCTTTGTGGCACCGGCGCCACCGGCCTCCATCATCGTGGCCTCCCAGTCCAGCTCTCCATCTTCCATGTAGACGCTGGGGTAGCAATACATCTCCGGACACTCCAGGAAACCTGGAAAAGTGCTGCCAAGATAAGGATGTCTTAGAGGCATCTTAAACAGGCTCAAATCCGCCGGCCTGGCGTGTTTGGTGGATGTTCTTGTGGTACATCTTGTGATAGCGAAAGAGCCTCACCTTTAGATTGCTTCTCTTCTTCTTTTGAATTGCCATATTAATATCCTCTTCCACAATTTTTGCTTTTGCTGTCCTCCCCCCCCTCCCCCCGCCCCCACCGGCCCAACCACATATACGCTATAGTCATAGTCTAGTATACACCAGTCTAGTCTCGTCTCGTCTCGTTTCTTCTCTCCAACGAACTAGCACTGACTTTATTTATATCATCCTCAGGGTGGTCATCGTCATCGTCGTCGTCATCATATGTCATCATCATCATCTTCTTCGTCTTCTTCTTCTTCTGTTCTCTTACTTTATCCTCCTTCGTCCTCCCATGTGCGTCTTCTCTTTCGTTCCTCCGGCTCGCCCCTGGGATGCGGCATTCCAAGTTTTCTCCATGGTTTCCTGCCCCTTCCAGAAGTACGTTCGAACCTGGCGCTTTTGCGCCCAGCCACTGCTGCTCTTCCTCTGCACTCACGGCCTCTGCATGTCTCACAGCCATGCCGCTTGCATCTCCCCACTTCACTCCTTTCTGTTCAATCTCCATGGTCTTACGCACACCAAGTTCTACACAAACCAACTTTTACACCAACCAGCTTTTACACAAACACTCTTTGACACCAACCACTTTTTGTTGAAACCCACTTTTACACGCGCCAGCTTTTGTACAAACCCGCTTTTACACACACACTCGCTTTTCCACAAACCACCTTTTACACCAACCAGATCTTACACAAACGAGCTTTTACACACACCAGCTTCTACGCAAACCAACTTTTCGTCCAACCAGCTTTTACACAAACCACCGATTGCACCAACCAACTTTTACAAACCGGCTTTTACACACATCAGCGTTTACACAAACCAGCTTTTGCACATGCCAGTGGTCTTGACCCCACCGCTCACGTTCTAGGCAGACGTACTCCGCACCTTCTTCAAGAAGACCCCAAAACGTTCACCGAACGCCATACACAAGCCACACCAAAGTGTCAAACCTGTCCACCGCAAAACTGACCACAACGATTCCAAACCGGAAAAGCCATTCCAATACGGGACTCACCATGTCCGACCGGCCTAATCATTGCGACTTCTTTCCTAAACCCAAAAGGGACAAGGAGATGCAACAGGACCAACCGGAAAACGGCCTGGTGGGCGGCGGAATGCCGAAGGCTATTGAATATGCATATGAAATCGGATGTACGGGTAACATGGGATAAGGCATATTCTGTATTATATATATATAGGCAATTATAGGCATATGATGGGATATAACATGGGATATATATATATAGGGGGAAACATATGTGGGATATAAGATGATATCAAGGCCATAAAATATGATATCAATGAGATATCCCTATCATGTTGTACAAGTCCAGGCCTGGAAATCCGCAGCGATGCGCAGCTTGCGCAGCTTGCGCAAACGCACGTTTGGTTTCGTGGACATTGTCGGCCTATCTTCACAAAAAGATTGCTTAAACGGCTTAAACCAAATGTGAAAACAATAGATGTGAATCAAATGTGAACTAGACTCACATGATCTCAGATCTGAATGTTATATACCGTAGATGATAGGAAAAGAAATCTGGTACATGATCTAACGATAAAAACACGTGGAAAAACAAAACAAAAATGCAAGGCAGGGTGCAGGACATCAAACATTTTTTCGTCCTGTCATGAGTCCAGAATCCCACATGTCACATAGAAAAATGCCTTCGTCATCCATCATCTATGGGACCAAAGAAATGCACAAAAAGTAAGTTGTCACCAATTCCCAGATGCTCCATGGTGCTGGAATAAACTACCAACATTTACCCAAAAAATCACCCACATGTAGGTAAATATACCAGCACCATGAAGCATTTGTTTTTTAGCAGGATTCTAGCAACGTCGATCTTTTATTGGAGTTGCTGTATCCATCAGTTGCTGCTGTTGAGGCCCCAGTTCGGCGGCGAGAAACTGTAGTTGCCATAGCCGTACCTAATAATTGGGCGCAGGCGACCTTTCGATCTGGGAATCTCTGGAATATTCAATGGAACATCTGGAATTCTGAAAACCTGAAATGTATGACAACTGAAGAGGCATATGTATATATATATTGTCAACACTAATATTAACTGAAGATGTTTTAGACAATCTGAAATGTATTTCCATCTGGGAATCTGAATATTATTGAATATTCATGCGATTCAACTGAAGATGCTTTTAGACAATCACTCAAGCTGCTTTGAGACGTGAAGTGACACAGCAAGGCAGCAGAAACATGGTCTGGATGGTGGAGGTTGAGCTATCATCCCAGCTTGCAAAATCAACAGCAGAACCCCAACCAGATGTAGAACTACTGCTAGCACAAGCTTTTTGGACCTTGTCAATGCCCCAAACCAAGGTCCAAACTGCAGCCTTCGGTCTTTCTTGTCCTGAGGACCAGCGCATTTTTTGGGGGGAAGTTCAGCACAGAACTCAGGTGAGAAAGATGGCTGCGGGACGATATGAGTCTAAACTGGGTTCCCAAACTAGGATACTTAATACCTGTCTTAATATGTTTTCATACTAATTATGCACATTGACTAGAGAAACTGTGTGTGGTCCTTAAGATGTTGAGCCCTGCCCATACGAATAGCCTACATTAAGGGTCCCCCTGTGAGCCAAGTGTAGCGATTGTTGTCATCCCTATTGACCAACTGATGTCCATGCCTTTTCAGGTTTAAGGCGCATGAAAACCAATTGAATTTGCAGTTACTCACACTTGAAAGACTATATTTCAATCGAATCAAAGCTAGACTTTAACATGAAAAACCATAGATGAAATATAAAGGTTCACTGAAAATCTGTTCCAGAATGTTCCAGATTATCACCAATGATTAACTTAACACCCCCTATAAGAAAACCGAAAATCCACCGGACGATGAACCAAAACCGGCCCCCAAAACCTCCCCGGTTTGGGCCACAGGCACCATCGACAATGGCCGAAAGGAACCGGGACCGGAGCTCAGCTTCTGAATGACATGGTCCTGTGAAAGGTCGCAAGGGATCTTTCAAACCCTTTTCTGATTGGGGTTGTAAAAACATGTAAAAACCATAAAACATATAAAACATTCATCAATGAATATCAGCATTTGGGAACTTCACCTGCTTCACCTGCTTAGCTTCCGCAGCCTGAGGTTTATCGAATCCGAGCAACTGCTGAGGTCGCGGAGCAAAGGACCAGCACGATGACCTGGAAAATCATCATGGTCGCCATGGCCTCAGAAGGCTTCGAAATTTCATGAAGCACACAGCTACACCGTAGGGCAATGTATGTAACCATCTGCAACATGATGGGAATATACTGGGATTGTCATGGGATTTCTGGGATTTTACCTAAAATGCTGGACCTAACCATGTCTTCCATGCCAGCGATGCGATGATCCGATGTGCGTCTGGAAAGGGGTGTGGAATGGTGTGGACCCAAAAAAACTATGCCAGTTTTTTTGCTGGTATCCAGTCATGACAGGATGCACAGCTGATATCTCTTGCTCTGAAGTCAAGTCCAAAATATACTTTTATAATAAGTGTATTAAGTGTGTATATATATAGTCGGTATTTATATGTATTAAATAATACATTCTTTATATAATCAATGAATTATGTAATCATTGATAAACATGTCGTCGTATAATATATACATATCATAACAATAGTCTGATAGTAACAACACACACACAAAAAGAAAGCAGCCTAACAATAGATGTGATACTATTTTATTGTGTATACTGTAATTACTATACTTGCATGGTGAATCTTAGATACCTGTCCCAAAAAAAACACGATTTTCTGGTTGGTTAGTTAGTACATTTTGCATCATGTTTTTCATTGATAGCAAGAGATTAAAGTACTAACTCAAAGGTTGACCCAGCTTGCATGCCCTGAGGCCCCGACCAGTCGCTGATCTTCGATCAGCACCGCCCGGTTGATCCAAATAACTTCAACGTGCGAAATCGTAGGTGCGGCCCCCAAACGATAGCTAAGTGAACTTCAAAATTCAATGGGATTCAATATGATTCAATGGGGGTTAGTTGGATTTAATGGGATTTGGATTTGATGGGATTGAATTGGATAAAATTGGACTGAATGGGATTTTGTTGGCCAAGTTGATGCAAATAGCTTAAGGTTAACTGGGTTTATGGGGGATGTAACGAAGTAGTTAATGGGGTTATAAATCAACTTATGACTGGAGGGCCTCATCTTGTTTTGCGATGATACCTGGGTTTGCCGAAAGTTCTAACGGGAAAAAACCGTGCCATGGGTTTCATTTTTGTTACCCTCATTTCCCTCAAACAAAATTGCTAATTTTGGGATGTACACCAGTTTCAGACATCCCAACCTGAGCTAGTTTCAAACAAATATCATTGAGTGCAAATTTGTTCCTCCTTTTCGTCCATAGCGTTGAACAAGCAAAAAATATTGAAGCGCTCAAACAAAATAAACAAATTTACAAAAAAAAAGTGTTTTTAGGTCTGTAACATCAGTAACTTCTAATCCAACTGCTGACCATTTCGTACCTTCCGCGATGATCATCTCAGTACATGCAGCTGCTATCCTACAATAGCAACGGTGGGAGTCGGAGTCTCCTATGTAAACTCGGTGGACCCGCGCGGCATTGAGATGCTTTGAGTAGGTACTGTCCAGGTACTGTGGATGTTCATATTTCATCATATTTCCAAACTGAGATTTGATTCGCCTTGCCAAACGAAGAGTTGCACCGGTTTGGTTCGCTGTAGCTACGGTCGCATTCGAATGCCACTGGGTCCACCATCTCCAGCCTCGAACTACAGACGCTCCTCCATGCCCGGTTTCACCAGGAATCGGAGGGTGTCCCATGATCTTCCCAGGAAAAAGCAGGGTCTGGCAATTTTGCAGTGTCGAGTGACTCGAGGGATCCATGAAATCCATGGGATCCATCAAAAAGTCGACCACTTTGCGGATTCTGGTCTTCTTTGGCTATTTTCGTTATTCCCCAAGCTTCACATGCCCAGTGGTTGGTTAAGAATGGGATTTCCACTTCATGGATGAGGATGATCAAGGTATGTTAACCAATGATTATTACCAAGCCTTTATTTGAATATTCCACTTCATGAATTTTCACATTACCCGTGTTCAACCCGTGTTGGTTAAGATATGTTAAGATTATCTCTTTTATATCCTACAGATTCTCCCTATAATATCCCTATAATATCCCTATAATATCCCTATAATATCCCTATAATATCCTATCAAGGGTAATATCCACCGCGGGTGTCTTGCAGCCTCTCACCTACGCGGACAAGATCGATCCCAAGAAACTTTCTCGACTCATCGTCCCAGGTAGGAAAAATATCTCCGCAGCAGTAATACCTGAGATGCACCTCTGCTCCATGAAAATCCACAAGACTATATTATATTATATTATATTAATATTATATTATATTATATTATATTCATGTATTGTAATTATTTATTATTTATGTATAATTATATATATATATATCCTAGGTTATCCTTTTCTAGGTTAGATGATGTCATGACGATATCCATTTGGCCCCACATCAAAAATTCAACAAAACACTTGCCGTCTTCATCCGATCTTCCTCTGCCATGCCCTGAGCTGAGAAGGTTTGATTTTTTCCGTCGCTAGTTGAGCCGCTGCAATCAGCAGCAACAACAACGAGGCGCCTGCGCTTTCGCCTTTCGCCTAGCTACCCATCTCCCCCTTCAAGAGCTGCGCTCTCAGGGGAAGACCGGACGTGGACCCGCTGACCCCAAGGTTTCGGGAAGAGATGTCGTGGACGAAACGTCATGACCATGTAATAGCAAGAATATGATAATGATGATAACAAGAAATTGTGATGATAATTAATGATTATATTATATATTATATTACGATAACAATAGGAATGATAATGACAATGATAAACAGCATGTGTGCTCCAACACCCAGATTCTTGTCATCCCACTGTCTTCCAGCTGGTCCACTCAGGCATTTAGTCTTCCAGAATAAAGAGATACAGTACAGAAGATATTAATATCATAGTTGGGAAGGATCGGTGGAGATCCTTGCATAATCTTACACCAGGGTCAGGAATCTTATATAAGATCTAAAATGTTCTAAAATGGCAATTCAATGCAATTCTGCTTCGCAGAATTCAACATCGGTGGAATCGTCGTGTCGATTCAAACGCAATATGTGTGGTGCCGACTTCACCTTATTCTCACTGCAGAGCTAAGACCGAAGCCAGGAGCAGAAATTGAAGATATCCTTAGCAGGGCAAAGAGGTCAACCTGGCTGAAAAAACTCCTGGTCTTTCATTGGGGTGAGGCATTTAAGTAGATGAACTATGATAAACTCACTATTTGGGGCACGCCCCAAAAAAATCATCAACCAGTGTTTATTCATCCGGGGTTAGATTTTCTGGTGCCAATCAAAGCAGGGCCTCAGATCATTGGGGGAAGACATGAGAAGACTGGAGTGGTGCTGCAAACGATGTTTGGGATGGGCGAAAGCAAACAGTCTCAACATGCAAAGTGATAACTTGGATTTCTCTACGGCCAACGCCAGGTAGGAATCTGTTCTCAAAACGGCCATCTTCACCCCATCTGCAGATAAGCTGCCGAGCAAACCCTTAGCCAACAGCAACTGACACCAACTCAGTGAGACTTGTGCGTCTTGCAAGGTGAGAACTCCCAGAGAAATGTGTGTTGCTGTATTAAAACCCATTAAGATACTATAGTTTTATAATTATCATCATGATTCTCATGTTATATCCCCCCAAAAAAAAACTGACTTCAACAAGGTCCGTGCACCAACTTGGCTATCGCAAGTTGATGAGCCTCGCCGCGGTAGTACCGCTACTGAGGTCATCACAAAGCTTGGTGTTGCTGCGTCGGAAAGTCCGTCGCCCAACCTGCATCCGGGGGGGGATCACTGAGCACTGGCCACATGGTGAACCAGGGATGGATGGTTTTTATTGGGTGAACCATCAAATGTTGAGGGCGTTTCCATGGTTTTCCATGTTTTTTTAATGGTATGCTGAACCAAGCAGCTGTATCATAATTATTTGGTGAATTATGGATCCAGAACTCATGAAGGCGTCCAGGCAATGCTTACACTTCAGCTTACGCCTTGCGTGCCCACAGTTTTAGCTTAGTCCACAATTGCCTCTCCTTCACTAAAAAACAACGACTGGGTTTTGCGCTTGGCTCATATGATCCCTGTTTTGGAGGGTTCAAATTTCATGTGATTAAGGCGATAAAGTCGTACAAAATTAGGCTGGTCCAGGCATCATGTACATAGACATAGAAGAAAAAAATGTAGATTAGATTAGATTAGACCAGACTTAGACTACAACCAGATCGGATCACCTTGATAGATAAACACACAGATACATAGACACTCCTAGCTACTTGAGGCAAGACACAATGCCAACTAGTTCCACACGGAGAAAACATTACAGTAAATTACATGGCGTACATTACATACAACACATATGCAATACATATATTATGCAATACATGCAATTACATACATAATTCTTTCAGCACAATAAAGCTGTACATTGCATTGTTTGTGTCACCATCACATCACAGCACATCACATCATAGGTTTGTCTGAAAATGGGGCGTCCCTGTTTTATCCTCTGGTTGATGACCATTTTCCCAATTCACATTACCATAAAATCGGGATATAACAGGATATAACATGGTATAATATGATAATATATGATAATATCATCAATTTTCAGAAGCACACCTACATCTGAGACCACAGTAGACACAAACGACTTTATGCAATTTGGCCCCCACGGCGCACAGGGTTGTGGCAGCATCAGGTGTACCGGCCTATGGCAACTAAGGGCGAGCCAGCAACGGATGGTTTCCGGGTGCCAGGTATGAGAATATATATATATATATCTATAATATAAATTAATATAATATATATATACACATGTTACTGGACCCTAGTACGGAGTTATAGTTACTATGCATGTTACTACAGTACTACAATAACTGGAAGATAACTGTAGTTGCATAGTAAATATCATAGTAATTTGTAATGTAGAGAAAATCAATCTCTATGTAATGAACAAGCTCTGGTTGATTAATGGGGGGGTACCCCTCAGTGATCCACAACTCGGGGCTAGGGGGTTTATTACGCAATCTCAGGTTGACATTAACACAGTTTGGAACATGGATGAATAGGGGGCACATCCTTGCAGCGGTCGACCAGTGAGAATACGACATCTAGACAAGCTGGAAAAATCGTTGAATCATGTTGAATCAGATGCCGGGGAAATTCCCCATCATCGAAACAGCAGTCTGCCCCAGTCTAAGGCTGCCACTGTTGTGGTAGACGTGGTGGTGGAGGTCGTGATCGTGGTGGTCGTACTACCAGCCTGACAACTTTGGAAGGGCTTTCCCTCCTCAATTTGTTGCATCAAAATCATCTAATCTAATCCCCCAAATCCAAGAGGTTCAAAGGATCCCACCATGGGATAGTTTGCTACTAAAACTATCTAAAACTGATTAAATTGGTGAGTCTTTTGTTACCCTCCGGTAATTTAACATAGCTATTGAAAATGACCATTTATAGTTGATTTACCCATTAAAAAATTGTTATTTTCCATAGTTATGTTAGTTTACCAGAGGGTAAAACCAGTGGAATGAAATCTTTCCAGGTCCCAAAGGGGACCCACAGCCATCCAGACATGTTAAAAATGTCTCAGCTTGCGACGGTTGCATCACTCTGAGAGGATGACCTGCAATAAAAAGTCTCCACCCAAGAAGCAACCGATCTATCTATTATATACATATATGATGTATATAATACATATATCATATACATATAGTATGTATATGTATGTATTATATATACATGCAAATTCCACGTTTGCGCGGGGTCCATTCATGTCCTTTGGCGTGCTCAAATCCCTCTGTAGTGCTGGCATGCTTGACAATGGGAGAGTCTTCTACTTTCAGACTGAGGTACCATAGCCTTATCGATCGTCGAGATTAAGAATTGAGAAGCCTGCTGGAAGTCCCATCTCCCCCAAACCCTTCTCAGTTGCCCCTCACCCACGGCATCCACGGCGCACGTTGTGGTGGTACTATCAGTACTATCAGCCTGAAATCGGGAACTGTGCAAGGTTGGCAGCATGGAAGAGATTTCATCCAATGGATCGTTTGATTCAGCCACGTTCTCTTGATGAGTCATAGAGAACTTTCAGTGGGTCCCAGAACTTCTGACAACCACAATCCCACACGCCCGAACAGCATAGAACTATCTCATGATCAGCGAGAAAACGTCCAAGCCCCTATTACTTATATATCTAGTTCGTGGCTTCAACCCTGTTGGACAATATCAACTGCGGGTGCTATCAACCAAATCAGTTTTTTTCTGCACCACGAACAACCACCAAACCCAGTGGTCAATCATCATTTAACTACAATGAACCTCTTAAAATGGCCAAAAAAGGGGGGCTGTATCCCATTTTTAGACACGCCCAAATCATATTAAGTTGATTTAAGTTCATTCTACATCCCATCTATGAACCTTTGATATCCCCAGTATTGTTGGTGAATTCCCTATTTTGGCAATGCCTGCGTGCTGGACGTTGACGTCGTAGTGGTGGTTGTTGGTGCCCGAGTCGTCACTCCGGCCTGGTAGATTAGGGGCCCCCCGCCACAGCGATGCGTCGTTTAAAACTAAGGGCACTGAAGTTATATAAGTGCATATGTATAATATGTATAATATGTGTGTATATGTATACACTATAAATTCTAAATGATTCCAACCACTGTTTGATGACTTTGTTATAAACCAAACAATTGTCAAACGTGAATTCATTGAAACACATATCAAAACATATTGACCAATCAAACCACTATAATAGTAACAACCCCACCTTTGTGGCAATGTCTATGGTACGTAGGCTATTGAGCCATGCCAACTTTGGCAAGTGGAATCTCAAAACTCTTTCAGCCGGGATCTAGCGGTGGACAGTTTGGGGAACAGCATCATTCACTTCCTAGATAATACAACAAAGTTCTTATCCAAAATACTACTTGGTGATATGTGCGTGTATATAATCACCATATATAAATGTGGTTATATCATATCCCCATGATATCCCCATGATAGTTCACAGTTCTGTATACAGTATATGGCAAATTATAGCTCTGGTTGATGGTTTGAACTTTGAACCACCTTAAAAAAATATGAGTTCGTCAATGGTTTTCGGATGACATCCCATATATGAAATGGAAAATAATCCAGATAATCCAGTCATCTTTGAAACCAGCAACCAGAGCTAGTCCCCCACATGATAGTGATCACTACCCTCTGGTAATTTAACATAGCTATTGAAAATGACCATTTATAGTGGATGTTCCCATTGAAAATGGTGATTTTCCATAGCTATGTTAGTTTACCAGGGGGTATGTGCAAAAAAAAAACATGGCCCCATGGCCCCATGGCCCCATGGCCCCATGGCCTCGCCTTCTTCTCCCTCTGAGCCACAGCGGCTTGGCTTCGACTCTGCATGGTGCTGCTGGAAATCTCCATGTTGACTCCAGCCTGGAGGGAATCCCAAGGCGGATTTGACAAAATGTCTGAAGCCATTGGAAATCTCAACGAATTCTGACATATGGAGATATGAAACTTATGAAACTTATGAAACATAGATCACTATGATTGTTACATATTGTTACACTGGTTTCGATATGTTTCGATCATGCGCTGGATCTTTCAACGTTTCTTCAGACCCTTTAGTATCCATAAAACCGCGCCACAAGCCGTCACCTGAGCGTTGATGACACCAGCTTCGCTGACTGCCTCGATGGGTCCCCAAATCGTCCAAGTCATTAGATGAGTTTCGTCGTTTAGTATTGAAATCTATGGTGACTTCGGGGATCCCCCATCACTTACCCTCTGGTTATTTAACATAGCCATGGAAAATGGCCCAGTTATAGATGGTTTACCTATTAAAAATGGTGATTTTCCATGGCTATGTTAAATAACCAGATGGTAAGATGTTTCTCCATCTTGGAAAACCACCGTAACCAGTGGCTTGCTTTGTCTCATGTACATGATTGTACATGTATAGGGCCAACATCAACTGGAATATGCACCGGTGAATCAAACTGAGATGGTTCATGCTTGTCCCATTTCTACAGGGACCTAAAGGGGAGCCACCTTTATCTGCCCGATTTTTTATATAAATGTGGAAGACCAACCCCACAAAGATTGTGAGACATGGCCAGATATGGTGATTGATCAAAACCTCTCCTGCTATGTGGGATGGACATCGGTAACTTCCAGCTATTTTTTCGGCTGTTCAACAGGAGATTTCATGGCTTTTGACCCGGCAAATTCAGATCTCGCCGGGACACGGAGGTCAGGGAAGGACTGCTGCTCTTCACCATCTTCTTCAACTGCTCACAGACCTGTGCTGGCGTCGCCGAACTTGCAATTCCTGCAAGCGGCGCTAGCTGGTGCGATGACTTGTCAAGGCACAGCTTTTTGTCTGTGGATGGAACATGATGGAACACCTCCTACCTCTATATGGAGCAAGAGCTGTATACATGCAGCTGTTGGATGCTGTTGGGACGCCCTGAAAAAAGCTGTTCCCGTCGCGAGCCAGGAGCGAGCGAAGTCGGGACTTTGGGTGGTTTTTGTGATTTCCTATCAAAGACATTCATTCAGACCCTAGCTGCCTAGCTCTTGATAAGTGGTTTTTCTGGATAACCCATCAAAAACCCATCAAAAACCCATCAAAAACCCATCAAAGCCATAACAAAAATAACAAAACATCAGCTGGCCGCGATGGCCCATGGCCGCCATGGCCTTGATTGTCGATGTAGAAGATCATGGTGGATGCCGTTCCACTCAACTTCCGTCCCTCCAAACGGCCTTGAAGCGACGACAGGAGAACGGTAGAAACCAACAGATGCCACTGGGTTCGGTAGGAAACCAACAGAAATTGAAATATGATGTGAACAACTTGAGTATGCTTGAATCATTGCCAGGACGACTTCAACATGGTTGATGTTCCAACTTGAGTTTCGTCAGTTGAAGTGGGGCTCCGACTGTTCAAATCTATATCAAGGTTATCAAGCGCGATTTTGTGATTGACACGCCCCATGCACCGCTGCAAATCAAGATGCGCGTTGTCGCAGCGCTCTTGATAGCAAGGGAAGTCTTCAGGCTGCTGGGGATTTGCAGTACCTGTATGGGACCCTCGGCCACAAGGTGACTTGGCCACAAACCCAGGGATGTTCAACTGATAACGAAAATCACATTGTGACTGACCCTCAACACTCCCAAGGACTCCCAAGTCGCTAAATCTTGAACCAAACTAAAAATGGAATCCCTTCGTCTGCACCACAGGTACACTGTTCATCTTCACCCTGACTGTCTCGGCTTTGGACTTCGCATCCGATCCTTAGCGGAAGCAAACCAGCCAATAAAATTGTGTTGTGTGTCCAGCTTTAAGCAGACTTCCTGGAAAGAAATCAAGGCCACTTGATGACCCCGCTACTGTTTCTACTTGTGAGGACAAGTCTTGGCTGGCGTCTCACAAAAAGTAGTAAACTGCAAAACAAAGTGAGTGGTAGATGTTAGAAACTCATCACTTATAGCCATTCGATAGGAAAAATATGGGAAAATGGTGGAAAATGCTGGTTCATCAGTGGATTTAGGGCTACCCGATTTTTAGACAACCCAAATACTGGTTATTTCCTGCTAGTGACTGAACATTTAGATTGAAGTTTAGGGCTTTAGGGAATGGAGCGGCAGATGGTTGAACCATGTCGAACCCCCCCAGTTACATTTGCCGGTTTATAACCTTCCGTTCACCAGATGCGAACCATGGTGCTGGAATATTTACCTACATAACGACCCCAAAAATGACCCAGTTTTGTAGGTGTGCATATTCCAGCAGCATGGAGCATCTGGGTACCATAAACCCAACAAATTCTGGAGCTGTAAAAAAAACACTTTTTTAACTTCTCAGCCACCGAATCCAGGGGTTGGTAACTGTCCCATTTTGGGAATATTGGACATCACCTTATAGTAGCCATTATAGACCATATACCTAATGGTTGGGTGATGTTCAATGGGGACATTTAATGACCCATGGAATCATCCAAATCCACTGGCTGCAGCTCCTGCACCGAGCTACGCAAACTGGTCATGGTGATGATCGCATTGCACGTCTCACGCTGGGCGCTGGTGCTTTGCAGTCGGCGAGTGCTTCCGGCAGTGCCGTACCTTGGCGGAAAGGGATTGCGGTGCTATATATATAGATATAGAGAGAGAGAGAGAGTGCTATATGTATATATGTATAAATTTATGTATATATGAATATAGCATGTTTTATCGCGGAAACAACTCAGGCACTCAAACCAAACAGCTGCAGATCTATCTTTTGGCCACATGGCGTCAGGCCATGGCGTTGAGGAGTCAATGGTGCCAAAGCTCAAAAAGACATGGACAGACTTGCCTGGTCTATTGATGTCTATTGATGTTTATTGATGTCTACATGGTCCAGTTCCCGTGATAAGTGGATTAATATAACCAGAGTCGAATATGGCGTATATCCCAACATTTAGGCGGCTTAACTTCCCATGTTTACAGCCATATTAGTTCCACCTCAACTGCACCAACAAGTACCCGGATAAACTAATGATAGTTCATCAACCTGAAATAAGGCTCGATTATTGAGAAATGTTCCCTTACTATCCCTTACTACCTATGATTCCAGTGAGGTCACTACATGAGGTCGCTAAAACTTATCACTACAATTAGGTCACAGTGAGGTCACAGTGAGGTCACAGTGAGGTCACAGTGAGGTCACAGTGAGGTCACAGTGAGGTCACTAGAATTTCTCCAGATTGATGTCAAGCTGCAAATTGACACATGTCGTATCAACTGCTATCGTCGCTCCCGAAGGGCAACGCTTCATTCCCTCACCGATGCCGCAGGTCTCATTGGCACCGATGCAGGTGATCTTAGCGGGCCACTGGAGCACCGGTCACCACCGGTTCCGGCTGTTGGATGAAAAAATGAATGTTGGTTATGTCATGTTATGTCACTGTCCTGTATCCATCTCTTGAGACACGCCACGTGGCCATGTATTTATCATATTTTTATGATTTTATATGTCAAAAACCTTGTTTTGGACTGATTCTGGCATGATGTTCTTCTGTTTTCTCGGGGTACGAGTTTTCATGTCAAAACCTTATTTTGGGCGCAATGTGTGTTTTTCTGTCAAACCATGTCAAAACCTGATTTTGGTGTTATTTCAGGCTTATTTTCTGAATATTAGTAACCCCTTATTCAGGCCTTCATAAGGCTTAATTAAGCCGAAATAGCCTGAAATAGCATTTAAATTCAAATTTAAATCTTTCTTCTAGCCTCATTTCAGGCTTAGGGGGGTCCATTTTGTGAACACCCTCAGCAGCTACAGCATCATACAGGCACTGGACTGAGTTGATGTAGCTGTAGCTCCGCATGATGAGGCCAGATTTGTCTCTTGAGACTTCCAAGTGAAAGACGCAAGCAGTGAAAAGATGTGAAAATGTATAATCCTTTGCCCTCTCATTAAATACTCCCCAAACGAAACCGTGGTTTTGTATCGGATCTATTCATTCCTAGGGTCAAGATGGAGGGGTATGTCCTACATTTTCCTACTACAAGATGAGGCCCCTTAGATAACTAACTTAAGTTGACTCTTCACTTGGTTAACTCTGGTTCATTGGGGACATAGCCAAAGTTAATGGTCGTATAAAGCAACAAACATCGACCTCACCTTCGGAAGGGATTGCTGCCACGCTGCAGTCTCAGACTTGAAGTTGCCATTGCTGTCCATATTCGTCAGCACACAAGTCTGGTTGCCTGACAGGGCAACTTCTGCACATGTGTTGCTTCCCAGCCTTTACAAAACGGCTACCCAAGTGGCCTTAAATGCTTTCCCGGTCAAACAGCACCCATTTTTGGATTTGGAGTTTCCCGCTTGATGGTAGGCATGCTACCCACTTTCCCAACACATCCAACACCCAATTCTATACATCAAAAAAGTTAGGTCCCAGAACTCAATAATTCAATAATCATCCAAAAAAAAATACCCCCAAGAACAATTGCTATAGTTAGATAGGTTCCATTTTTTCCCACCCGGCCGCTTTTTTTTTTGTCGCTCCATACGACCGAAATTGGAAGCTGGATGGGGATGATTTCCGGGCCACCTTGTCACGACGGAACTTCGGTCACCAAAAAATCCAGAACGCCCAGATAGTAATGACGATTTTTTGGTGAGGGATATACAATGGATATATTTATATCTTACATTAAATAAGGCTCATAACTAATGATGATTTATTGATGATTTATTGGTGGCTTTTCCGTATCTATGAATGTTCTATGCTCGGGGGCATTTTTTCGTGGCCTGCCAGGATCGCATCAGCGGTGCAGGGGCTTGGACATCGCTTGTGCTGGCTGCTTGGAACGCACATCTTCAGCAAGGCCTCGGCACAGCACGGAAAATGCGCATGGAAGCCACGGAAAAGCGCAAACCTATGGAAACCTATCGAACATATGGTACATGTTTATATTCAATAAGTCCATATATGTCCATATGTTTCTGCTTTTCAATAGACCATTGACATCAATTAACAAAGAATTCTATGAAGGTGAAAGTGAAAGCCTTGGTATTCCCCTGACACCAACATCAGCAGCCTTGGGGACTTACCACCTCTAAAACATTCTAAAACTAGCAAACTATGGGGATGCTATGAGGGGCTAAGTCCATCATTCAACATGAAATTCAACCACCAACCAATTTTGCTAGTGGTATATCATTGGGATTAGTTCATGAGAGATCATGATAGTTCACGGCATTTAGCATGGTCTACGAGAAATTTTCCAGGATCCTGGATGATGATCCTGCTACTTGGGATCTGGCGACATCCGACATCCGTCAAGTCACATCGTTGGGACCCATGGGATCTGGGGGCTTCCACAAATGGTACCCCAATAGCTGGATGGTTTATTTGCTGGAAATTCCATCTATAAATGGATGATTTAGGGATACCCCCATGGATTGGAAACCTCCAAGGCACGTCATTTGGATCAGGGCAGCTGATGGTGTTCTTGCCACAGGGACAGGCGGTGCCCTCCTTTACGCATTGCGTGGAAAAGCCGCTGGGCTCACCATCCTTGTTGTAGTCGGTGACTGAGCACTCGGTCTCTGAGGCCTCGTGGTTTCCGGTTGGAAACCGGGAGTATCCCCAGCTGGATATAGCTGGATGGTTCCTGGAGCTAGGGAAAAGCCTATTTCAATGGATGATGACTAGGGGTACCCCCATGACTTCGCAAACCACCCAGTTGGGCGAAGACTTTCCGCAGACTTCCCGCCTTGCAAGGACAAACCAAATCCTTCTCGAATGGTAGCAAGCACAGGTCGCTGTTGGCACACCTTGCTGCAATCATTCGGAATCCCATGACTGCTGTGGCACTGGAGTCAAACAGGTATCCAGGTTTGCTTCTTCGTATATCCAAATCCGACGTGTCATACTCTTCACTTATTTCTCCCAATAGGCAAAAAGAAACTCGTTCGGTCATTTTTCGCGGTTCAACCTCCTTCCAGCTTGATTTCAGAGGAAATCATCTATAGATGGAGGAGTATAGCTGGAATAATCATGAACAATCATGAACAATCATGAATAATCTATAGATTCCAGCCATTTGAACATGATTTTCATGATTGCTTATTTACATTTATTTACCTCCTCGGTCCAAGTAGCTTTGCGGTGTTCTTCCCGCACGGGCATGTGTCCGCGGCAGGCACCTGCAGAGCTTTCTGGGGCGCAATTGGAAACCCCAAACCAACTCATCCAAACGCTAGAGATGTCCTCTGGGACATGATCAGAATGCTGACAAAAGACACACTGTTCTTGATCGCTGATGAAGGAGCCATCCGCAGTGTAGTCCGCCAAGTAGCCTTACTCTGTGGAATGTTGCTGATCATCATCCCAACAAAGCCGGGATCGTCGTCCCGACATATCCCAACCATCTGGGTAGATTTCGCTCCATCTGAATTAAGGCCAGTTGGGGATGAGTTACCTAAACATTCACCATGATTCCAGGCTTCGGGAGAACAGTGAGGTGATTATAATTTAGCCAGAGCCATTGTTGCCTGTAAAAAAAAAAAATCAGGTTCTTCTTCAGTCATCTTGCCAGTGGGAAAGCTTCATCAAATTGGAGTAGTCAGCTTCAGTGCTATTTTTGTCAAAAAAGGATGTTGTTTTACAGCATATATTCTATTCCAGTATATCCATGTATATCCATGTATATCCCGTTTAAACGCTACAAAATCTCCGTAAACCCCCATATCTTCTCTAGCAATGACAACGACTACGAACTTTGGGGTGCGGAAGACAGCCGAAAAAAGTGGAAGAAACAGCTAGCGAAACCACAGAGCATGGATTTGCTTCGATAGGTTCTTTGAATAGAAAAACGGAATACATTGGTTTTAATGGATTTTATTGGGACAGAATTGGGATATCATTGGCATATAGTTGGGATAATGAAGTTTCATTTTGATTCATTTTGGATATAGTTAGATATCAATTGCAAACTGCAAGCCACCAATCGGGCTAAAGAAAAAGTCTCATGGTCACAGAAAAAGTACGCAGATATTGACAGCCTAATAGAAACTGATTCATTGAATCGCCATGTCCTCGTTTCGCCCTTCAACTGGCGTCAAGGGAACGTGCGCCTTCTCGCTTCAAAGTCCCCATTGATCCCATTGCTTGCGGTATGTCTATTGGATCTATTGGATTCTATTGGTTGACCTCGCATCAAGAACCATAACTCATCCATGTGAGTGTTCAAACTTCTCTGCCACTCCATTCTACTGGTTCGTTGATAGAAATTCCCACTTCATGGACTATGATAATCCCCAATATATTGGTTCGTATAGTTCCCGAACCAATCATCAACCAACCAGGGTTTCGAACATTGCTCATGTGGGGGCTTCCATAAATGGGGGATCCCCAAAATGATTGTTTATACTGAAAAATCCTACTAAAGTTAAAATCTAGGGGTACCCCATGACTTAGGAAACCTCCTAAAGTGGCTTAGCCAAGCAGCACTTCTTCTCATTCGCAGCACACTCCACAGCACAACCTTCGTCCTTGAAGATGCAGCCCTCCTTCGGACAGCGCGAAGCCTCTTTGCCGCCTGGCGCCAGAGGCTTGGCCCATAAAGTTATATATCGGAGGTTTCCTAAAATGGGGCTACATGGGGATGGGTCAAAACCCTGGTACCTAGTGAACCCCAAAATAGCTGGTAAATGGATGTTCATCCCACTAAAAATGTATCTATAGGTATTGACCCATACCCATATTTTTATATAAGTCTTGATTTGATGATCAACCAAGATTATTGATTATTATTGCATGTGTATATCCTAGTAAATCATATACCTTTGAGTCAACTGAACATCCTGAACATCATCCACCATCACTGGGCCCCCCGGCAGGGGCATTGATCGTGGCTTGCAGCGCATTTCACGGAAGGCTGAACCCATCCCAAGGAGGTGCCGTTGGGCAGGTAGTCTTCCACCAAGTCGCAGGCCACTTCTCCCTTGGCCATGGCAACACAACGGAAGATACTGAGTGAAAAACGAAGAACTCGGATCCAGCTATATGTATCTATATGTCAAATTGTTAAGAAAGGTTTCTGGAGAAAAGTAAGAACATGCAATGACCATGCGAGAAAACTTGATTTTCGCAAGGTCTTGGTACAAGTTTCACGTTCCAAGCCGCATCGGCGCAGGTTGCTGGGCAATAGCCGGTCGCGGTTGGCAGGCATTCTGTCCATGATCCCCACACCCTTAGGGCAGTGAGCTTCACCAGGTGCAGTCTATCACAATGGTAAATCCAACAAACCATATCAAACCATCACCTATTTTACCAGACATGGGTAGGAGGAACCATCCCAAACTTTAGGTTTCTTGGTGGGTTTACCACATTAGCAGAAAAGTGACCCAAGAAATCTGCAAAGCGAGAAGTGGTTTTTGAACACCTAATGTCTCAATATTGGGTACCGAAGAGAGATTTGGAACAGCATCAAGCGACATTCTCCCCCGCAACAAAATCTAGGAGATGCTTGCATGCTGCATCATGTTGCTTATGACTTGTTGGGAAAAACACTCCCTGACATCTATACATGACAGCATTGCTCCAGAAGAGAACCGAGCAGCGGATCCGTCCAAGTGCAAGAGAATGCATTTTGCCCCTTGGTGCAATCGCATGCTTGCCCTTTCGGAACGCATTCCTCCTGCATGCACGGCTGAGGTATCCTCTGGCAATCCAACATACAGTAGCTATGATAACGGCCTGTTTGCAAACATATATATATATATATATATATCACTATATGATTTATAAAAATTGGTATCCAATTTTGTGATTTTCCAGTTCGCAAACTGTTAGATTACCAGGGGATAATCAACAAATTTAGCAGGTCAAATGCTGCCCTTGCTGAGCGAAAAACCGGGCATTTGGGCCTCAATGTGGGGATTCCATCTCTTCAAATGCAGGGGTCCTATAACAGAAAAGGAACATGCAACATGCCATCAAAACATATCAAAACTGTATATATAGATATAGTAGGGATAGGCTCATCATGGTTTATCTATGCTCGTCTATGATCTTAATTCATCTTTCGGGACTTCCTCAAGGTCTTTACAAATCTGCGGCCGCCGAGCTTATCATGATCCACTTGTGCTGCGGTGTAGACCATTCTTTCATATCACATTCTTCGCAATAGTTGACGCAAAGTGACACTCATGAAAAAAAGACCAACATGGAATTTTGCCAATGAATTATCTAATCCATCTGTGCTCTGCAATATCCAAATAATCCTAATAGATCATCCCAGTCAATCACCCCAGACAAACTTCAACCAGGAGTAATAGATTTGGAAGAAAGGCCGATTGAGACAGGTTGAACAGACCCAGAATGTTGATCTAGCTTGCACATGAAACACTTCTGTAGCCCCCAGACTCCCTGCGTTTCACAGTTTCACACTGCAGCCCCCACCGTTGTTTTGATCCAATTGCCCTTGGCATCGTAGCTGGGAATGTAGCAGTAGTCTTCCGAGTCGGAACAGTACAAAGGGCAGCTAAGCGCTTCCTTCAACCTTCGGACCAGGTTCTGAGCGCATGGATATAATGATCCTCAACCAGCTGCTGGAAGTCCCAATTAACAATATTAATATATAACTTTCATGGGTCATGAAACACCAAGTCGAATAGGTCCAAGCAACCAGAAGTCTGCCAAGGGATAGCAATAGGTCTCGCCAAAGATTGGGTCGTAGCATTCTTGAGAGTTTGTTCCGCACGGGCACGACCGGGTCTGCGGAACATGAAGCATCCGAAGCATCTAATCTTGGAAGAATGCCAAAGAAAGGAATGGAGGCTAGGCAAGCCATGCACATCTACTCAGGGGTACTACTCGTTGGGGTATAGCCGGTATAGCCTACCCACCCTGTTGTAAAGAGCCTATTTCGGACCTACTGATCATCAAAACGTATGCAGCGTGCTCGTGTGTGTGCGTGTGTGTCAACTTTGGCACGGTCCATGTCCACCACCGAACTCGAAAATAGATGCAGGGAACCTCGGATTTGCCTCAGTGTCTTCAAATGGAATATCATGTCTTTACACAAATCATATCAATATAATATAATTAATATATATATAATATATATATATATATCAATATTCAATAATCACAAGCTTGTTTTCATAGTTTTTCATAGTTGTTCCACATGTCTTGGTTGATCTATTAAGATAAAGGGCATGTCATGGGTTGTCATTTTTGCCCCCACCTGCGAGACGCAGCTCTCAGAGAATCTCTCCGGATATCCGGAGGAGTTGTAATCTGTCTGGTAGCCTTGGAGGATGCTCCAGCATGCTTAAAAAACCAATGGGTGGCCATTTGTCCCACATTTTTTTTCAGGGTCCAAAAAGTGGAGAAAGACCTGTGGCTTTTTTGGGGGGGAGAATGTGGGATCCCCCCGCCACATGACCCATGGATGGCTGGAATCTAAGCCAAATGGTGATGACTTGGGGATGGCATTGGGCTTACCACAGAGTTTTTAAGCCTGGCAGACGCATCAGCTACCAGCACACTGGGGTCACTTAAATGGCTCTTGATGGACTGTCAAGTGAAGCAAACAATCAGGTGGATTCAGGTGGATTCAGGTGGTCATTTTATGTCTCCGTGCAGTCCGTCCACTGTAGATTCTTCAGGGCCTCAGGGCTTCAAATGCTTCAAGTGGCGTCCAGCAACTAAGGTGGCACCAAGAAACACCTCTTCTGGTCCGACGTGCAGGTGACCGGGCATGATTCAACTTCTGCGAAGCACCACTCCTGGAATCTCACGGAGAGAGATCTGCCCTGATGGGTCAACTGGGGTCGAAGAAAAATGTGGATGGACTGAAATGATGTTGCAAACTATCTTCCTCAATTGCTTTTGCCATTCATCTTCATGTCATTCTCCCAAAATTCTAGACCATTTTTTTTAAGCCTGGAAAACTGATCCCCAAGTCCGCAAGTCCGCGGCCGTCCTCTTCGAGACCCCACTCATCCGTCCATTTGCAAGGTTTGGCGTTCGCACCACAAGGACATGTGGCATTCAATTTCGCACAGGATTCTTGGACAGGTGCATCCCAATCCTTACTCTGAGCAGGTCACCATCGGTCACCATGGAATCCGCCAAGGCTTGGTCTGCTGAGAATCAATGAAACACACTATGTTTAATGGAGTATGTGTTATTATATGTTATTAGTATTGTATTACATAATATGCTATATTATATTGTATTATATTATAGTGTATTATATTATATTATATTATATTATATTATATTATGACTCAAGTGTTATAAATATGTGTATATATATAATTATAACATTATACAACTGCATTCTAGTATACATATTCATACATAATCTGATATTGATACAATTCATACATAGTTCATTGATGTTCATTATAATTACACACATTGATACATTGATACAATTGTATTGTCTCTATAATTCTATACATGTTGATGGATTCAACCATGATTTTTCAGAGGACCTGGCACTGACAGCTGGATCACTCCAATCGTCACAGACTTTTCTGCTGAGCGTCGTATTCACCTACGCGACGGGCCGCTCCCATGGGAGAAAGCCATGGAGCATCACTGAAAGGTGATTTGGGGCTTGCTGCACCCTGATGTTTTGCAAGACAATGCCATGACTATCCATGACTAGCATATATTGACAATTATTAACATATAAACATATATTAACAATTAATAGTTGTTGAGGCACCCCCAGCTGCCTGATCCCCATGGCCTATCTCTCCCTTGGGATGGACATGGACCAAGCCTTCAGGCGTGAAGGACATGGGGTAGCAGTACTTCTCATCCGCTGCGCAAACCAGCGGGCAACCATAGTAGCTTGACTCGCAATATGACCAGCCATCAAAGGTGCCTGGAGGTGCAGTTGAGTGGCATGGCTTGATGTGACGATAATTGCCAATGTAGCACTTCTGAATCTTATTCAGGCGTTGGTCTCAAAGATCCGTATGGTCGCCAAGATACATAGTTCGGTGTTCTCACCACAGGGGCAGTCTTGGTCCTTTGGCCAGCACTTGTCAGTGCCACTCAAGTAGTTGCCTGCGTTCTGGCAAGGGCGTCCCCACAAAGAGACGCCCTAGGCCGTTACCCATTTGTGCCATTGGTCAGATGGTATATGGGGTATCCACCATGTCATCCATCAAGAACGGGATTCCTTCAAAAACTTGGCTGACTATTCATCATCCCAATTTTCATGGGGGGATCACCATGGATGACTCGCACCTGAGGTGTCATAGTTGGCCACCCAGCAAGTCTGCTGGTCAGAGGTGCAAATCTCTGGGCATTCGTCCTCAGTCGCCCATTTTTTTGGTTCAATGATTGATGGTTTTCAAGGGGGTTTCTCAAGATTAGTGCCAAACACCATCGGTTTTCCTATCAAGAACTCTATAAGGGACCAACTTGGATGATTTGGGGGTCCCCAATTCAACCCCGACAAAGCAATCATTGTTGATGAAATAAATCCAGATGCACGCTGAGGCTTTACACACTTCAGCTGTCACAGGCGCTGCCTGAATGTCTCAGTTTGAGCGGTTTCTGAGACGAGGGAAGAAAGCTATGAAAATACGATGAAAACCATGAACGACTCAAATCCATTCAAATCCCAAATCTATCTCTGAAATTCCATGGACATTCATCATTCATCAAACTTCTCAATGAGGATTTCCATCCCATCTAGTCATCAATCAGCACTGGGGCCCCCCCGATTCCGTCATCCGTCCGATTCCATCCGCGTCCCTGCCCCCAGATGCGAACCATGGTGCTGGAAGATTTACCTACATAACGACCCCAAAAATGACCCAGTTTTGTAGGGAAATCATGGTGAATATTGGTAAATATTCCAGCACCATGGAGCATCTGGGATAGCAAAACAGCTTGTCAGAGTGTCTGTCAACGGGACACATTCTGCAAAATCACCAGATCCACAGGTCTTGGCCGTGTCCTCGTTGCAAATCACTGGGCAATACCAATCATCTGCACCTCAGAGCCAGAGCCAAGAGCCTCCTCGCAAAAAACAGACGCAACATTGGAGGTTTGACTGAAAATGGGGAATACAATAAAATCATATAAAATCGCCATATTTTATTTAGTTTTATATGATATAATAAGTTAATAATTAATAGGGACCATTTCCAGACAATCCCACATGATCCCACATGTATCCACATGTTTCAACCACAGCTCGAAAGCAAAAGTACTGATGCGCAATTCTGTCGGGATATTTGGCGAACAAACCGGTGTGTGGGTCGATTTGGTCTTTTCCAATTCAAAAAAAGCCGGCCAGAACAGAATGGGACATGCATGTCCCGTTAAAATCCTACACTTATTTATTGGTGATGTCCCAGCTATGTTTCCTGACACCCTTCAGATGTCGGCAGCAAGCCGCTTGTCTTGGTGTAGCAGTACTCGGTCCACGTCATAAAGCCTTGAGAGTCGAATCCTGTGTTGCGGGCAGAAGACTTGTAGCTGGTGCTGGTGTCATCAAATGTGGATCGAAAATCCCTTATTTATAGATTGATATAGATAACTTAGATAACCTCCAATTTAAATCACTTGCTTAAGGGATCTTCATGGATTTTCCATTGTCAGCTTTGACTACCGGAGGGTACCAAATTCATAGAGTTTCAGTGCCGGGATCAACCGAAAATCTCTCCTACGCGGTAGCACCAGTTCTCCGTGTCGTAGTTGCACGTCAAAGGGCCTCGCCAATTTTTTTCCAACTCTGGATATCCCAGAAAGTCCTGTAGGGACTTATGAAAAAAATCATGTTACTGGGACTGGATTATCATGGATTATCACTATGGCTGGTAAAATGAGTCATTTGACTTTCAGGGTCTGCGACTAGTCTCAGATCTAGGGTTGGGGTTGTTTTCAGATGATGACAAGGGGTCGGTGATGCCACTAACATCTGCACTTCGGGTAATAAACGTTGCTACAAGTAGCAGGATTCTCCGTACCATTCCTTCGCATAGCACTCAGTCTTTCCAGCTGAATCCTGCGAGACAGATTGAATCACATTCAATGAATCTCTTTCATCTGAAACATTGAGGTTTCCCAACTACAAATTGGCAAACTAACAACTAACAACCAACAACTCGCATTGCCATCCGATATCATCCGATCTCATCCATCTCTGGGTCCGTGCAGGCGAGTTCATCCGATTCGCAGGTGCAGCCGCTGTCAGTGGCACAGCTCATGTTGCCGGAGTAGTGCCAGCCTTGGCTGCGCCGGAGAAAGCACACCACTTCAAAGGTGTGAAGACAACGAAACCATTCCAGCACTCAAATGCATGACTATAATTAATTAGTAACGATAGATAACGATATAGATATATAATACATATATTAGATATTATATATTATTATATATTATTATAAATATTACATATTTATATATTATTATATATATTATTATATATATTATTATATATATTATTATATATATTATTATATATATTCTTATATATGTTATTATATATGTTATTATATATGTTATTATATATAATTATGTATATTATAAAAAATATTATTATATATATATTATTATATATATTATATTTATATATATTATTGTATATATATATATTACTATATATATATATTATTATATATATTATTATTATATATATTATTATATATATATATATATATTATTATATATATATTATTATATATATTATATTTATATATATTATTGTATATATATATATTACTATATATATATATTATTATATATATTATTATTATATATATTATTATATATATATTATTATATATATATTATTATATATATTATTATATATATATACATTATTATATATATATATATTATTATATATATATATATTATTATATATATTATTATTATATATTATATATATTATTATATATATATATATTATTATATATATATTATATATATTATTATATATTATTGATATATATTTTATTATATATATTATTATATATATTATTATATATATTATGATATGTATATTATTATATATATTATTTTTAAATATTACTATAAATATTATTATATATATTATAATATATATTATAATAAATATATTTATAAATATTATTATATATATTATTATATATATTATGATATATATTATTATATGTATTATCATATATATATATAATCATATATATTATTATATATGTTATTATATATATTATTATATATATTATTATATATATTATTATATATATTATTATATATATTAGGATATGTATATTATTATATATATTATTTTTAAATATTACTATAAATTTTATTATTTATATTATTATACATATATTATTATAAATATATTTATAAATATTATTATATATATTATTATATATATTATGATATATATTATTATATGTATTATCATATATATATTATCATATATATTATCATACATATTATTATATATATTATTATATATATTATTATATATATTATTATATATATATTATTATATATATATATTATTATATATATATTATTATATATATATATATATTATGATATATATTATTATATGTATTATCATATATATATATATTATCATATATATTATCATATATATTATTATATATATTTTTATATATATATTTATATATGTTATTATATATATTATTATATATATTATTAAATATATTATTATATATATTATTATATATATTAGGATATGTATATTATTATATATATTATTTTTAAATATTACTATAAATTTTATTATATATATTATTATATATACATATATGTTATTATAAATATATTTATAAATATTATTATATATATTATTATATATATTATGATATATATTATTATATGTATTATCATATATATATTATCATATATATTATTATATATGTTATTATATATTATTATATATTATTATATATTATTATATATATTATTATATATATTATTATATATATTATTATATATATTAGGATATGTATATTATTATATATATTATTATATATATTATTATATATATTATTATATATATTATTATATATATTATTATATATATTATTATATATATTATTATATATATCATTATATATATTATTATATATATTATTAATATATATTATTATATATTATTAATATATTATTATATATATTATTATATATATTATTATAATATATTATTATATATATTATTATATATATTATTATATATATTATTATATATATTATTATATATATTATTATATATATTATTATATATATTATTATATATATTATTATATATATATATTACTATATATATATATTACTATATAGATTATTATATATATTATTATATATATTCTTATATACATATTATTATGTATATTATTATGTATATCATTATTATTTATATATATATATTATTATACATTTTATATGATAGTATATGATATGTTTTTCCTCTCTTGCCAGAAGCTTCCCAATCGCCAGGAACATCCGGTTAACTGCCCAGCAACATGTCACTGCCGTGCCGCAATCCACAGGGCAGCTGTCGAACTTGCTCTGACACCAGGAGTAACCTGAGCCGGGTCTTGGAGCGGAACACAACATATTTTTAAGCCATAAACCTATACTAAAAGCCACAAACCCATATAAACCCATATAAACTACAGATTAGTACCGGATTTCTTCCTTTTGTGTCCATCAAAGGGTATACCACTGGGATGCGACCTTCGAGTCAGTGCAATGAATTATGACTGTGGATCACAAATCCCTCTATGACCTTATATTATAACTATGTATAACTATGTATAACTATGTATAACTATGTATAACTATGTATAACTATGTATAACTAGGTATGTATAACTGTTATTTCTAATATTGTTCTGTATGATCCATATCTCAGCGGCGATATATTCCGCGTCTAACTGCAGGATACTGTAGGTATATAAGTATAGTATATTATAACTACGTATAATATATATTATACTATATATGATATTGTTTATTATATATATATATATGTTTTACAATAGTGTTGTTTTGTGTGTTCCCAAACGGTCCACGGGCCCATCACCATCAACACGATGAGCAACCATCGCCGGTGCACTTGTGCTCCCAGGTGGCATCACAAGGGCAGCCAACTGTGGCATCTGCACAGCTCTCCTGCTTTGGTTGGTTTAGTTCACCAAAAAAATCGCTGGGGCTGAGTGGGTTAGATCGATCTAGGGGCTGATGGCGTTATAAACCAAGAAACAGAACGAGGGGGTAAATAAAAATCGAATTGTCTGGGCCGTGGCTTCCATAGCTATGTTAAATTACCAGAGGTACTTAGAGACTTAGGGGTGCATCCCACTAAATAAGTGGGCAGTGGCCATATTCTGAGTACCCCAGTTATAAATGTAATACAGACGTGTTATAACAGAGTAATTGACATGCACGCCCAAGTACCCATATGCTCCATTGTGCTGGAACATCTACATGTATGTATTAACATTAGTCCAAACACTGTTTTTAACCATGTTTTACCAACATTATCCCATATTTTTACCCAATATACCATATATATCCATACACCCCAATTATTGCTGGTAATTATTCCAGCAATTTCCAGCACCATGGAGCACCATTGGCCATTCCAGCACCGCATCGGCACCATGTCCTGCCATGGTGCGGTCCAATCGGGGTTGCCAAAGTCGTCATAGGGAATGGCGTAGCAATAGTGCCTGGGAGTCATAGAAATGCTTGGGTTGATTGGGATTGAAGCAACAAAAATAGGGATATATAGTTTTAGGATATTTTTGGGAAATACCCTCTGGCAATATCTAACATAGTTTTTTTGCCCATTGAAGTTCGATGATCTACCCATTTAAAATGGTCAAATGGCCCTTGCCAAAGGTGCTGTACAGTAACTCCCACCATTGCCAATGACATCCCTCATAACCAGGTCAGGAGGCTTGTCCCACAAGCCCAAGTCCTTGGCGCCAAGCGTCTCATTGTCGTTGCAAGTAATCGGACAGGTGTGACCGCCATACGTAGATTGACAGTAGCTACCCCAATCTGTAACGCATTTCTCCTGCCGAGCTTTGGTGGCGAAGATGCTTTCTGAAACCATTTCTGTGTCCACAGTGGGAACCCCAGTTTTCCTCTGCCGAAAAATGTTGCCTCTGGAAATGAGCTCCAAATCGGTTTGAGATTTCCAAATGGATCTGAGATGATTGAAATCGTTGTTTCTGAGGAACTTTATTCATACTTGTACTCTTCGATTTCGCTGGGGCCCTGCAGGTCAATTTGTGGTCACCCATATGAATTTCTTCAAAAAATGGCTACCCCTACTGCAAGCCACTGGTTGATCATAAAATTCCCCAATAAAGATTGCACGACTCTTGGGTATCCCGGTATTTTGGGGGGATTGTGATAAAACTTTATTAATGGCAAATATGCATAATCCCATCCCCCTATGCCTCTAGTATTAAACACCCGCCAAAGCATCATGTTTCAGGAAGGGATTGAGGCATATTTTGGACCATCTAGGGGGTGTTTAATTCCAGGGGGAAGGGATTGAATATTCATAAAAGATTCATATCCATGATGAAACATGATAGAACTATAATATATATAATATCAATATCCTATTATCATAATCAAATCAATATCATATTAATCATATAATCTGTTGATATATTGCCTGTCATTGTACTGAATATGCATTAAATATGCCCCGGCCACAGCCACTTCCCGACGGCGCTCCTCATAGTCCTCATTGCATGGACAGCTGCCGTTCAATGGAGCGCAACTCCTGGTTTTTCTCCCATTTTTGGTGGTTTTCGAAGGTGATGCGCATGTTTTTTAATAGCAAAACATGAGAATTGACCAGTAAAAATGGTAATTTAATGGGAATTGACCAGCAAAAATTGAAATCTAATGGGAATTTACCAGCAAAAATTGTGATTTAATGGGAATTTACCAGCGAAAATAGTGATTTAGTGTGAATTTACCAGCAAAGATTGTGATTTAATGTGAATTTAGCAAAGATTGTGATTTAATGTGAATTTACCAGCAAAGATTGTGATTTAATGGGAATTTACCAGCAAGAATGGTGATTTAATGTGAATAAAGATTGTGATTTAATGGGAATTTACCAGCAAAAATGGTCATTCAATGGGAATTTACCAGCAAAAATGGTGATTCAATGGGAATTTACCAGCAAAAATTGCGATTTAGTGTGAATTTACCA